GACGAGTTAGCGTAGCGAACGAGCTAACCTGAAGGCAAGTGAGCGCAGCGAACGAGTTTCAACCTAAAGGTCAGTGAGCGTAGCGAACAAACTTCAACCAGGACGTGATTGAGCCATGCGAACGAGCTCACTTATGAAGTAAAACGGGGCAAAGCCCGCGGGTACAGCTAGTTGCATATAAAACTGCTCACTCTAGAGTTTGAATCTTTCTTATACGGTCCAGATGTTGCACATACCTTTTGAGATTCTATCATACATTGTAAGGGATATTATAAGGTTTAAACTCTTAATTAAAATAATGTTGTTTCCTCCTTCAGTATATTGTTGCAATGTAAGCCTAACCTTTTTTGTTACCAGCGTTCTTGAGCCAAATTTAGTAGTTCGGTAATCACTCTATGCACATCTTGGGTTTTCATTTGCTATCTTCTTATACAGTATCACTAACACAACACTACTGTCTATTTATACGCGTCACTGGAATCGCGATCAGACCGAAGACAAGACGACGGACACGCGGGGTGTCATGTTGGCGGGAGGTCTTTCTCCCTCCGTTTCATTTCATGTACTGGGGATGTTGGATTGGAATTTGGGGCATTCGACGGCTGTACCGAAACTGCCACGACGTTTTATGATCATAATCCATACCGAAACTGCCACGCCAATTAGTGAGGATTATAAGGGTGTTTTTGAGAATGCTAGAAACACTGAAACTGCCACGGCGGATTCCTCAGGAAGGGGAGGTTGGTTTGGCAACGTGCAGGGAGAAACGGGAATGAGAATATCCCTCACTCATCACAGTGACGATTTTGAAACACAACACTTTACTTTGCTCATAACTTAATTAAATGCTTTTCATGTCGCTACTTAAAAGAGGCCATACTAACATTGTACTTATTTAAATCAAGTATCAATAGAAAAAGTCATTTAACCACCGATGAAGTCAGGAATAATTAAATAATATGTTCTAAAGGATTAAGATTGCAATTGAATGTAAAATGTTTCTTACTAAATGTATTATATGAATGCTCTTAACCCGTTATAGTGAATTACTGGCGTTAAAGAACTCGATAAACACGTATTTTATCATTATATTTGAAGTTTTAAGTTTATAAATATACCAAGGTGTAGGTAGGCATCGTCAAAATTGCACAAGAAGAAACGTAATCTAATGCAAATAATAGCACAACAGGATACGTGTCCGTGTCCTGAAGTATAAATAAAAAACACTATTGTGATAAATATGTTGATCATATTTGGTGAATTTATTGATTTCATCCTAAACTATTAATATATAAAAAAAAAACACTTTTTAACCTTGCCGTAGTAGTAAACCCTAGGTATTTGTTAAATCTAATGTTATTTAAATGGGGAATAAATATGTCTTGTTTATGGACAATTTTAGTAAGAATCCAATCAAACAAATTGAAATTCACTTAGTGTGCAGGTTTGCTGCGGGCTGCGGTGGAGGTAATGTATTTAGAAATGAGCTGGGAATATCATGAAAACATGCTTTTCAGCAATGAGTTGGAAATACTGCGCGCACTGCGTTCCAATTGTCTTAGGAATTGGCGTCGAAGTATGAGATCCTTTGTGATGACTAGAATACACAGAATTTAGTTCGAGTCTGACCAGATTTTGTTTAGTACGAAATACAAATAAAATACAAGACTAGGCCAAGAAATATACAGATACAATTATACTTGTATACATAAGACGAATAATGTGCAGGTTCACATTAATAATACCAGATAAAAACTTCATAATTGATAAGTATACATTTTAGACACGGTTGATAAAAAATAAATCTTAATTAGCCTAGGCTACTTGTAGTGATAATTCAGGGTCACCTAATTCTGCCAACCTAGAAACCGGGAATAGCCATCGATCTCTATTGTTATTACAACAGCACGTGAATTTTAACTATCAGGAAAAAGTCCATGAGTTGTAATTGAATTTAGTAAGAAACCGGGGAATAAAAATGGTCAAATATTTGCCGTTAAATCCGCCCGAAAACACAGAGTTTACACGTTTTGCGTAATCGAAAAACGCCATTGCGAGAAACTACTGTAGAAATGACCACGGATATTGCCGCAATATCGATAAATCATCACACACTTAGCCGCAAGTGCAAGATGATACTTAATTTTTCGTCGATCGCGAAAAATAGTTACGGGTGTTAAAATAATCGCTGGAGATGAATACGAATGTTGCCGCAATTGTGAAATCATCACCGGTCATCATCATTGCGGTCGTAGTTTACCATCACAGTTATTTCTGCGTTTTATCGCGAGAAATTATCACGGATTTTGCCACGATCGTAACATACGATCACGGATGTTCGTTTAAGTTTCTTACGACGATTCTCCATTTTTAGGCGTTTCCGTGATCGCAAGTAATAATCTCGGTCGTTTCTATGATCACAGAAAATTGTCACGGATGTTACGCCTGGTGGGAAATCAACACGTATTTGCTTCCCATTTTCTCATGTTTAATTAGAATGAAATGAGACTCGGTGTATGTTTTTGCATATATTTATTTAGTAATATACCTCAATTATAAATTTTGTTTATTCACATATACAGGGCTGGGCAAAAGTATGGACATCACCAGTTAACTTTTTAATGGGTTACGCCAAGAAAACAAAACTCTGTACACGTCTCTATGGCACGCAAGTGAACTTTTTGTTGTATTCAAATTTTGTTCTTAAACCCAAAATGGGTTATTTTCGTGACCCCATCGAGTGACACCTCAAATTAATAGGCAATTAGACGAAGAAATATATATCGAAGAAAGAATATCGACAAAAGCTAGAGGTCTCTATCTAAACTCAACCCACTACAGTGTATGTAATATGTAATAGGAGGGCATTCCACTGAGATTCCGCGTGACCACCCCTCTGCAGGGCATGGAGGTTGGTACAGTATTTGTAGTTCTGCAACCTAGCGGCTTGGGTGAATAAAACTATTTTTGAATATTACAGTTTTACAGTATTATATTAGTATTTGATCACCTCTAGTGTAATTAAAAGCGTCGAACAGATCATATAAAATGCAGTGTTATTGTGGTAAATGAACATAAAACTTGTTTCTTAGTGGTAAATAATTATTCATTAAAGTAAATATATTCTCAAGAGACGGAATAAATACTTATAAAGGAAATACTCTAACAGTCGCAACACTCAAAACTTAAATTAACATAAAAATAACTCATAAAATATAAATACGAAAGGGCAAATCAATCACTTATTTTTCCAATCAACGTATTATTGTGAAAGAAGGTTAAGACAGAAATGGGAATTTTAAGTCTCCCGTTTCTCCCCGTCTATCTGGGGAATCCGCAGTGGCAGTTTCAGTGTTTCTAGCCCTCTCAAAAACACCCTTATAATCCTCACTAATTGCCGTGGCAGTTTCAGTATGGAGCATGATCGTAAAACGTCGTGGCAGTTTCGATGTCCCCCATTCGACGCTAGGGTAGGGTCTTTTCAGGTTTATGATTGGGCCGATGCTTTGTTCTTTGTATTGTTGCCGGTTTGTTGTTGTGTTGCCAATATTGTTAATTTCAATGTCGTAGATTGAAGAGCTGATGTAGTCTTTTATGGAGGGGTGGTGTTCGATCCATGCTTGTATATTAGGTAATTTTATTTTACCCTCGCTAACGGCTTTGAGTGAGTTTAGTCACAGAAAACATACTACTATTATTATGGTTTAGTAGTATGTTTTCTGTGGTGTTGTTCAGAATCTTAGGAGATCGGGTAAAGTTATTGTGTGAGTAGGATGTTGTTTTACGTGTTTGGCTAACAATGATAGTTATGTGGGATTGTTATGACTTGTATTACGCTCTATAGATCGTTGAAAAAATCTGTGTAGCCTTGTCAATTGTTGGTACATGGGAATAGCAGGAAATCCTGTTCACGCCTCTCCCCTTTTCAAGTTAGTCTGTCTATTGTTTGTGCCTGGTATATTTTGTAATTCGGATTGGGATTAGACCTTTTACTTCTTACTTTACTTGATAACAAGACACCCACTGAAGATGCCACACAACACAAGCTGATTAAACGGCCATATGCAAAGAAGGCATTTAATAAAATATAGTAACTAAACTAATAATATATCATTCAAGTTTTTGAACCTGGGATAGCTCAAATATTCGAAATATTGATGCAATGGATACGATTAAATTGGTTGTCCACCTGCACCTTTTTCGTTGTTAATCTATTATTTAAGATCACTAGTAGGGGGGTCGTATCGTTGGTCGTAATTATCTTCAGCGCATCCGCTTTGCTATCTGGCTTTGTCTTATTTGGTTTGACAGACAACGCGAAATTATGTTGATAGTACCTTTGACTATCGTTAAAGTGATTAATGTGTTATGGCCTTTGTAACCAGTTTTCAATGCCTTTAGTGTTATCGGGAACGAAACTTGAGCAAAAAAGGAAAAGTGTGCAGATTTGAGGTTAAATGTATCAAAGAGGCTTACTAGCAGTGAGATCAGTTAATAATTTCTCTAAATTGGCAATAAAAAAGTATGTATAGTTAAATAAATGTGATTGATAAGTGGTGAAGGCAAAGTACAATTAATTTCACTTTGTAACAAAAATATCTCAGTTTAGCTTATTTTATAGGGAGGTCTAGATTAGCTTATTAATAGATAAGATATCTGTAAGCTATGTAGGAAGCAGATTTGAAATTTGTAGAAATATTAAATTACTTGAAGAGTTGATTATCTGAACTAAATTCTTAACCAACTTTATAATTTGCATTTGCATCTATCTGCATAATACTTTTGCAATTAAGTTTTAACGCTTTTAGTCATACCGTTAACTAAAAACTCCATATTATCCTATTCAATTATCTCATTCACTTGTTATATTGAACATATTTATTTTTTGAAAATAATATAAGGTAGGTACTTGGGTTGTGCAAAATTAACGTGTTTGATAACATATTTGAATAGAAAATGACAATTCATATTATATATAAAATGCTATAATGTGGCTGTCAACAATTTGTTGATACACAATCACAAACTCCTTATATAATTACAATTAATTAACAATGTAAATTTATCTCTTTGAATCTAAAGACCACTATTATTAAGGTTTAATATGGCATTGGCTTATTACAAAAATCATAGTGAAACTATATAATTTATAGCAAATTTTAATATTCTAATGCATAAATATGCAGTAATTGTACTGTCTAGATTTTAATGTTATGTAAAACAAAGCTCAATTTCTCTTACAATTTGCAATTTTTCCCCCCTAGGACGCTAGGCATGAGCCCAGAATTGTTTTTCACATTACTTCAGGTACAGCATTACTTCTAGGGGTTACGGCATTATCACTTAGATAAAATCCAATGGTGATTTGGCGGGATTTGAACCCGAGACCCCTGGAACCGGAGTCCCGCGGTCTAACCACTAGACCAGCTCGCTCCCCCATACAATTTAGCCTACAATAAGTGTCTCAAATACTGAATTTTTAGTTTTCATACCTATTTGTTATCTTTCCTCTTTATTTAGCTGTTTTTTACAATGTATATTTTTCACTGAACACACTAATGTAAGAATGCCATATGAATGAAGAATTATCGATTCATTTAAATAGACTGATGGAGGGTTTTTATTATTCTTCAGTACAAGTTAAGAAGGATCTTTCTTGTAAATATTCAATGTCAGGTAAACTGAATCAGATGTCGACATAGCTTATTAATAGATAAGGTATCATCTGTAAGCTATGTAGGAAGCAGATTTGAAATGTGTAGAAATATTAGGTAAATTACTAGAAGGGTTGATTATGTGAACTAAATTCTTAACCAACTTTATAATTTGCATTTGCATCTATCTGCATAATACTTTTGCAATTAAGTTTTAACACTTTATTATTTCTGTGTCGGAGTACTATATCGGTGTTTATTTAGGTGTATTAAACAAACATAGACAAATCAAACTGTAATAATGGTACACTACAAAGAGGAGTTTTCCTACAACTACAAATTAAAAAATGAATGCAAGAAACAAGTATCAAGGTTAGATATGTCATTACAAAATCCAAACGGACTATGACCATACATGAAGTCTATGACCAATTTATTTTTATTACTAAGGCAATCCTATTAAACAGCTTGTTGTTTAAAAGTAGATTTAAGTCTTTAACAACCCCAAACTTAACATTTTATGTACATTCCTGCTAACAAAAGTCATGGACAAAACAAACAGAGCAACAATGGCTTATGTTTATGGTTCTTAAAGCATTCAGGAGTATTTTCAACCAGCCGTAGCAAAAGAAATAATGTGACAAATATTTCTAAAATACATAATATACAACTATTATAATATATTTTCTATATTAACAGTCTGTCATGACCCTTGAACACACACTTAAAATGCAACGCACAATTTAAAGAAATCAAAATATGAAAATTCTGATTTTCGAGTTTTGTCAATGTAGTTTGTTAAAAATATAAATAACAAAATATTGGTATCCTAAACAGTTTTCTAATTGTCTAGGTAGTCTAGTGGCTATAGCAATTGCCATCAAATCTAAAAGTCGCTTGTTCAATTCCAAGTGATATCGTTTCATCAACATTAAGACCAGGGTATGAAACTTTCCTTTACAAAAAATATACCAATTCTATTGGCGTGAATAAAAGCAAAAATTTCATAAAATAAATTAAATTGTTGAAAAAAATATTTACACCTACATTAACAACTATTTCAAAGATTTCACTTGATGCTCTCCTATTCTACAACCCCATTCTTCTTTTTCTAATATTCTCAGATTCCTTCTCCCAGTTTGTACTCTTCAGATCCTCAAGTTGTTTCTTGTAGCTTATCATGTCTGGAGACTCTGCCATGTTCATGTTCCTCAAGTACAATCTGACTCCTCGCCCCCGTCGGTCCACTACCTCAAGTACGTCTTTACCCTCTGGGCGCAAGTTCTTCTCCTTTATATACTTCCTAACCAGGGTTTCCAGTTCCACTTTTGCCTTGGAAATCCACGCCTTTACCTGGAAGTGGTGAGATAAATTCATTCAACAGTTAACATTAAGTTGAAAAAGATAACCTTAGGTAATATTTTAATAAATGCACACTCTCTTATCCTAAAACCAAGAACTGTTGTTTGGAAGCAGTAAAGCTGGGGTTTCCTAGGCAGGGAAGCGGAGCACAAAACGGGGATGTCTGCTCACCTCTTGTCTCAGGTAATTTAATTTGGTAGCTTACTGTATTGTTTTCTGCGCTAAGGAAACCCGACTTCAATTGTATATATCTGTACCAAAAAAGTTTATCAACCACATTTTATGAAAATAACTGCTTTTGCAACAGCAAAGCATCTTAGATAATTGAAAAAAATGTTCTAGTTGTTTTGATATTTAGTGTGTTTTTTTAAAGTTATTGAAACTAGTGTACATGTTGCTCGAATTTGAGAAATTGCAAAGTATTACAGGAGTTATTTCAAAACGAATAACAGTCATAGTCATATTTACAATGAGTTTAAAAGAGTCATCTCAAAGATTACCGGTGTGTAATATACATATTTATAATATATACATGGAGAAACTCACGATATGTATATATAACAGTAATCAACATTTCCTGTAAATATTTCATTACCTGGTATTGCTTTTTAATTTTTAATTCCTGACTTATAGCCGTATAAGGTTGTCCATGTTTATCTTCGTTATTGATAAACCTAAAGCATTCCGCCCGGTTTTCTCCTTCTCAAAATGTCTCGCTGTACAGCCAACACAGGTCATTGATAGAGGGCCAATTGAGAACGAAAAGTCTTTTGGGGTAGTGTTAGGGTGCATTTGTAACCTAATAGTTGAGATTGTCCAGGGTCAGGTGCTGACTGTGATGAGTTAAGCATATTACGCGCCACTGTTCTGTAGCTGCGGTCGTTATCACAAATACACCTCCTGTCTATATGTGTCGTTGTCATCGCGTCGGAGGCATTTAAAAGAATAAAAAACCAAATAAACAAATTATAGCTACACAAAACAACGATAAATGCACAAATTTAAGTTACAATCATGCTAACACGATCCGTCATAGTGACACAAAACAACGATAAATACACAAATTTAAGATACAACCATACTAACACGATCCGTCTTGGGGGTTATGTTTACATAAACTCAAATAGTAAATAAATGTACTCAATGTGTTTCATTGAATTGAAAAATAAATAACAGCAATTAAATTATACAGCTGATCAAAATTTAAACAATTATGTTCTTAAGGATAACATGGTAACTCTCAAAGCCACTGGGGCAGAGCCCAAGGGACTTCCTTCATGTTAATACAAATTTTAATCCTTGTTACCCTAATTAAGTTTGGGCTAAACACTATTTTCTATACCATTAATCAGAAAGCTTCCCATCTAGACTCAGTACCGTATTGTCTGGATAGCCGAGTGTGTATTGTGGATCTTTTCAAATCTTGAGGCAGTTGGTTTTATCTCAAGCACAGCTAATTAGGACTTGGATGCCATTTGCAATTGGGCTATGAAATAATGCCACTGTCTAACAAAAGGTCAACGTTATAGTTCGGCCGCTTAGAAAACGACCTGCGCGCTAATGCTAAACCAATGCTGGAGGAGGTCGCTTTCTAAGCGGCCGAACTATAGTAAGAAGACTAGTGTTTGGAACACTCATTTACAAAAAACAATCAAAATGTTAAAGGCGTTAAAACACAAAAGGATAAAGCTAGTATTTCTGTCATAAAATTCAGAGATCTCATGTTAGGAGCTTAAAATGTTTTATAGCTTCAAATACAAAAAAATTTCAAATAGCCATTTAAATTTAAATTTTAAATTAAGATTTATAACCTCTTCCTCTGCTTCTGAGTCTGTGTCTGGGATGTGGACTGCATGGCTGTTGAGGTACTCTATTCTCTCAGCCAGAGCTACTATGGCACTAGCTGTGTCTTCAGCAATGGTCCCGGTTGTCGTAGAGGTCGAGAGATTGTCGGAAGTGACTTTAATGTACTTCCTCACTATGAGGTACCCCACCACCAGAAGCGAGTAGGCCTAGAGGGAACACTACGGAACTGAATACATTTGAAATGCAGCAATAAATATCCCAATGTGATACTTACAAACATTCACGATGTTTGTTGAAAACATGCATAGTGGCTCAAAGCTATCATGGGATACAACTTATTTGACAAAAAACTCAAAGGATATTTTCCTCATTCAGGTTCTTTGTAAAACACTAAATGCCTCTACAAATCAATGTCATGTGTACATAATACCAATACTGTACTGCTATCTGACTTTGGTGAAATTATGATTCAAGGTAAGTTTGTTTTGAAGCTTCAGAAAAGTATCATACTGTATGTACAGTAGACTCCCTCTTATCCGGACTCCTCGGGACCGAGGTCAGTCCGGATAACGGTTTTTCCAGTTAAACCGACGTCCCCAAAATCTCATTAAAACGGACCGTTTAAATGCATACTCTATACAGTATTTGACTTAAAATTAGGAGAGCATTGTATTTAGAAACGTAATCACTGGTCTCAAATCTTTCCCACGAGTCATTTCAGTACCGCCCTCTTCCTGCCGTTCTAGTCCGGTTAAACCGATGTGCTGATAAAAATTATCCGGATAAAGAGATGTCACTTCAACCGAGTGTGGTCCTGTTAAACCAATGTCCGGTTAAAAGGTGTCCGGATAAGAGGGAGTCTACTGTACTTTTAGACATTTACAGAAAGTTCAACTCAAATCAGACCCCTTTTTGAATATTTTTTTTCTAGGGTTATTTTGGTTTGTCTACTCTTTGTTCTGTGGTTATAGTAAAAGAAGACTTTAATTTGGAATAGCGAAAGGTATTGACAGCCAAAAGCTGAACTGTCATTGAAGGATTGAAGGGTATAATCGGCTGTCAAAGTCTTCCATAAAAGTTCATAAACCTGGAAATCAGTTTTCTTGGTACCGGTAATTAACTCTCATCATTACCTGACAGACCCAATGTTATACTCTCCCTTCCCCGTATGGTGAAAGAGAGTGAGACATGAACAAGAATATGAAACAAATGGAAGACTCGGCAAAACTTGGCCGAACTCTGGCCGATGAAAGTACTGGAAATATTGTTTTCTCCGAAAAAATTAACCACATTTTTGAAATTTTCTTTACACTCAATAAATCTTAAATAAAGCCAAGATTCAGCACCCAGCGACTACTTTCTGCTTGCATAGTAAGAAATGGCTATGGGATGTCAGCATTTCTGTTTCTATATTTTGATGAAGAACTGTAAATGCTGTTACAGAATGGCTCAAGGCTTGGGTGGCTAAATATTTTTGAAGACCAAATTTCAAAGCTTGTACTATCAATCAATCAATCAATAATCAATCGTTGAGATGGGGACGCCACCTAGGTTTCAATAAGTGGTTAAATGTTTATGGTAATTAATTATTATGTAAAAAAATATATACAAATAAAATATGTAATATAGTTGTTTTTCATATAACTAAACAAAATTAACTTTGTGAACAGCTCTCATTGTTTACTCTTTGGTTATAACGTGTGGGACTTAATGACCGCTAACATTTTGTATTGTGACAGCTCAGCTAATTCATGGGTTAGAGAGATGATTTTTGCCTTGTATGGTTCCTTAATTAGTAGCATGTTTTTTTTAAATTATAAGTTGTTCAAACTATTCAACTTTTTTAATGGAGGTAGAAAAAAATAAATAATGTGTGAAATATAAGCAATGTTTGTTTTGCGGATGTGAAGTAAATAAATAAAATAAGGTGATGTAAAATAGCAAACTTCAGTTTATTAAAACTCAAATTATTTACATAGCTAAACCATTTTTACTAATGAAATGTGACATCCCTCATATGATGTCCACCGATACCAAAGCAGCAAAAATCTTTTTGGAAACTCACAATCACCAGTATTCCGAGTACAATCGTCGTATCATGGGCATTGGTATAGCGGCAATTTCTTAACGGATTTCTTTGACGGAGGCTGTTCTTCAGATCTGCTATAGCTTGGGGTTTCGTGGTAAAACCATGCTCTTCAAATAGCCCTACAAGCAGAAATCACAAGGCTTTAGGTCTGGAGACCCGGGAGCTGCAAACGCGCGATGGCGAGTTGGCAATAACCAACGATAGTTCAACATTACATAGATTTCACTCTTTATTTATTATTATACCACCGCCACCTCATTTAAAAAGTTGAATAGTTTGAACAACTTCTAATTGCAAAAAAAGCTATTAATTAAGGAACTATTCAACGCATAAATCGTCTCTCTAACCCATGAATTAGCTGAGCTGTCAGAAAACAAAACGTTAGCGGTTATTATGGGCTGCCCGTAAATACCAGAGACAATAGTTTGCAAATAGATAGTTTTATTTGGTTAAAGTAATCTTAACAAAAGTTAATAAACGATAAATAAGTAGTAAACAAATAAACACCTTCACAGTCTACGTATATTGAACATGTCTTTAGCTGGTCTACAAGGGTTATCAATTTATAAGTGACTACATGTTCAATCTATTCCGGTACCTTCAATTTATTGGACAAGGACTTGATAATCATACCTGTACAACAGTGCCAAAGTATTGTATCATAATAATTATGTATATATGTATATAACAAGGTTAGTTATATCCTTGCAAATAACGGGACTTAAATCAATAAATATAACTTAAAATTGGATTGTGTCAAAACATACCATTAGATGTTTGGTGATTAAGTTAGTCATTTTTACCAACTCACACTAAAGCTAAGCCACTGAACAACTGTATACACGCTACGTGGTTGTTTATCGTTAAATCTACATTTCCCAATAATTATCTGTTTCTGAGTTACACGTCACAAGAACTGTTGGCATCGTTGGCATGCATCACTACCATATGACCTTAAATATATAGGCCTGCCAATACCAAAACAAATTTTGCTCTTAGTGTAACAGTGTAGCATTTCAAAAGAGTTTAAGTCAATCGTACTAATTACAAACACTGATACCTTTTCAGCCTAGAGAACTGTTATTGCAATACATTTTATTCATTGAAAGTTATTTGATCATGAAGTACAGTCTAGTTCAGTCCCAAAGCTCAAATAAAGATATATATTGAAGGTTGATCTGTACTGAAGTTTGATTGACGGACTACCATTTTGGATAGAGAAGTGATAGCGAACTGTAGTTTGCACCATTCTTTAAGGTTTTGTGAGCCCTTTAGAATGAGGTGTCACTTGAAGGGGGTTTACATTTAAAAATTTAGAATTGCCCCCAAAATCCCTAATTTTTGGAGGACACTCAATATTTTCAAAACCATAAAATGAAACTTCTTGAAAGTTTGTATGATCACTAAAAGGATATCTCTGTATATTTACTTAGAAAAATATTAGATTGGGGATCTTGACTTTTTATTTCATTAATTCACCCTGTATACGTTTGTGACTATACCTTGTATTGCAGTTCAAATATGAAGGATTATATTTGAACTGCAAGGCGAGGTATGTAATAGTTTTGTATTGGGGCTACCTTGAAAATGTAATTTTTTTTAAATAATATCACCAGAGTGTTGTTATCAAAAAGTTAGAAAGAAAGTATAGAGTTAATAAATTGACAAAATAACTACCAATACCGTATACTCACACTGCTGACAGTAGGTTACATTATTCTATTTATGTTTATCTGTTTTGTTTTTGTTGATAATATATAGGCTACATCCAAATGTATTTTGTCAGATAAATTCAGGATTTGAACAATCTAGCAGTAATCTGAGGGGTGATAAGTTGAAAATAAATCTGACAAATTAATTAAACACAATTTTGACTTTTTACCCCTGGTTCTCTAGAGTAAATAAATATCATGTTAAATCATTACCATACTTCTTAATTATATGGGTTTATACTTATCTTTACTTTTTAACAGTTATACAACAGGTAATAACAAACCTTATCCAAAAATATTAGTGAGTATCACTGACTAATTGTGTACTTTACCAAACCTTCTTCACTTTATTACATAAGAGCCAATGACATAGCTTAAGCATATCCAAACTTTGCCAAGGGCAAAGTTACTTCCGCATGGATGGTGCATTACAGATTTGTCAAAAAGTTCGTTAAGTTTTTAACATGGCTTGATAAGTTATCACAAGGTGCAAGCCCTGAGCTACTTGGTAAATTGGCTTAAACTGCTAAATTATTATTATACCCAAAAAACAATGAGGAAAACCTTTAGTCCATTGTATATAAGGAATGCATTGGTTCCTTGAAACATAGTCAACCAGCAACTATCCTCAACAATGAATAGTAAGTACCATTGTGTTTTACTTCCAATTTAGCCATACAAATCACTTGCTGTATATTCAGGGTGGAGTATTTTTAATATGTGCTAAAGAAATTATAACAATATAAAAACTTAAAAACTGTCCATGTTAGGTTTAAAAAACTCACCGTTAGTATGAAAAATCTTCAAGAATAAAATAATCAAAAAGTTTAGTAAGTTAATACAAGATTACCTACAAAAGGCTTCATCAGTTATACATCCACTTTTACATTCCAATAAGACAGTACCAGGAAAATAAGGAAAAAAATCTAATCAATATAAATTGAAAGCAGCAACAACAAAATAAACTAATGAGACAAAAACAATACAATAACAAAATATACAATTACAGACATTCAATACAGGACCCAACAAAAATAGTTACCACTATATCACGTTCACAAAATCCTTTCAGTCATGAATCTGGTTTTTAAACCATTTTAAATCTGAAAATTCAAAAGATTCCAGAATTTTGTTTAAAAAATTGTATTAGTACATATTCTTGACTCTTTAGATTTTTTTCTAACCTTGGGGTTGGTAAAACTAATGAATTGTTTTGAATATCTCGTTTGATAGTTATGAATGTCACTAAAACAACAAAGGTCTGTAATATTTTACTTAACAATTTAATTCTGAAACATGAAATGCAGGGAACAATAATTATATTATGTGTAGAGAAATGACTCCTACAGCTATCCCTAAACTCTAAACTAAACCAGATTCTTATTGCTCTCTTTTGCCACAAAAACAAAAAAAAAACTCATTTCATCCCAGCACTACCTCCCCCCAACATACTTCCATATAACAGATGCAATGAAATAAGAAGTTTTGATTGGCTCCTGACAAACAAGTCTTTATTTTTCTCAGAAAAAAAACAAACCCTAGCCAAAAATATAACTAAAGTTGTTGGTATGTTCTTCCCGTAGGATTGAATTACCTTCAGACTTATTGAGGGGTCAAGAGTAACACCAAGAAACTTGATTGACTTAGCCATATTTATATAGTGTTCAATTTGGCTCAAAGTAAATATTATAATTTCCGTTTTACTTTTATTTAATCTTTAGATAGTTAGAATCGAACCACAAATTGGCAGGGACAGTAGTTGCTCAATTATTATGGTCATCACATCATTCAAAAAATTCACATTTACTAGCACAGACGTCCACATATAGTACGGTGTCACAATCTAAATTTACTGAGAGACTTAATTACAATATAAATAAAAAAGACCCAGGACTGAACCCTGTAGGACCCCTGCAAGAGCCTCTATTAAAGATGACAAAGTTCTTAATAGCTAACCAGACAAAACATTTCATCAACAAATATATGAAAGACAAAATTTTCAAGTTACCTATATTTTTGTATTGTTAAATTTCCACATGTGGGTACTACATAGAGAATTTCCTTATGTGGCCTATAAAAAGAAAAACTTGAATAGAGAAATTAACTTAAAAAAGGCTTTGTCATGTAGGCTTTAATGCAAATCAAAAGGAGTTATCTAATGGTATTAAATTAGCTAATTTGAACTCATAATCAAAGAAATACAGTACGGTAGTTACATATTTTTTATACATATATTTTTATGACAAACAAATAAACATGAGAAAAAAATTAGGTTTGCTTTTTGATTATATTTATTACAAAAGTTTTAATAGCATATTTTATTGTTATGCTTTATTTTGAGCAAGGTACAAAATACTAATATAACTTAACTTAAAGTTATATGAAACAAAAATTGTTTCTTACTGAAGTCTGATTGCTACTTTATGTTAAATTCACTCTTTTTAAATTTTCCCACCTAACTGAAGATTGATTCATCCTGCCAAATAGTTTCACTTTTGGTGGTTAACATAGCATGCATTCAGCATGTATGTGTTTGATTACATTATAAAAGCATAATAATAAAAAATATAAAATCTTAATCTATATGTAAAGAAATTTAAAGATATATTTTCCTTTTTACAGCCCACATTCTCTTGGTAGCCCTTTGCTTCGTCTTCTGCAGCGAACTAGTTGCGGCAAAGAGCCTTAATAAGAGATCTCCTGAATCAAACTCTATGAACGAAGAAGATTTGGTCAAAGTCGATGAAGAAGTGGATGCCCTCAATGAAGGTGAGGAGGATGTCATGCGCAAAAGAAGAAATGCAGCATATGAGGAACCAGAAGCAGTGATGGAAGGAGAGGAATACGTCCCTCCGGCCGAGGAGAGAATGGGAGAGGAAGAAGAAACCCCAGAGGAACTCATGACTAAAGGAAAGATAATGGAAGACGTGGGAATGGATGTGGAGGATTTGGCATTTGAAGAGGAAATGGCAGAGATTTTTTAAGCAATTCTGCAAAGGATACTTTAGTTTTGGTATTTATTAATTTTTTTCCAAGCAGTTATTTTCTTTCATTAAAAATATTCTTACACACAACTCTTTTTACTATTTGATCCACGACAAACTTATGAAAAACAGGCTTGAAACTGAATGATGTTAATAAAATAATTATTGACTGGGTGATTGATTTACTCAGATACCAACATCAGCTTGTGCTTGTAAATCTTGATTAATAAATTGTTTATCTTGTTTTAAACAGCAAATGTTATGAGAGCTATTAAAACTGGAAGCAATGAATATATGTCAGAAATGAATAGTAACTTGATTGATGAGTGCTACTCTGTGACTTATTAGAGCATCTTGCATAGGTAGTCAGATTTTTCTTACATGAAAATATTTATGTTTTAAAGGTTCGCCAATTAATCTTCCTTGTACATTCTTTATTCCAAAAATTTAATATATTGATAGGTAAGATCATTGACTATACACTCTATTATTATACCGTTTCTATAATTAAACTATTAGTAAAACTGTTATTTGGATCAAAATATTTTTCCTATAGTCACCTGACAAAGTGGGCTACCTTGCACAAGTTATAGTATAGAAAGCCTTACTTTGGCGCACAGTTTTTATTTTTGCACACGCCAGTATTCCAACCAAACAACACAAAACACTGTGCCTGCACGTAATCCATGTACGCTTGGAAATAAGTTGGCAACACTTAAAGATACTACACAACTACGATCAGCTGGTCCAGCTTTTCCCATTTCGTTCAATGTTTGGATTTAGCCTAACCTAAAAAGGTGTTGTACAGTGTTTGAAAGAGTAATTATTTATATGATTTATAGTAACAGTAGGAAAAACAAATGTGAAACACGAGTGCAAAGTGCCTTTGCTGCACTCGAGAAACTTTCCACATAAATAACAAAACATTTAACATTTCTCTTGTGTGCAGCAAAGTGCCACTTCGCCCACTAATTACACAGATAACTATAGAAAATCACTTTAGTTTGATAATGGTTAGTAGTGTTTTTAAAGAACATTAAAATTCTTTCTGTATAAAAGTTTTCATATAGAATTTTTTTGTAATCATTAAAAATCACAGTTGCTAGATCATTACAAAATAAAATATAATAATCAATTCTAGTAATAAAGTGTGGATTGCAAGGCTTAGTTTATAAAGCACCAAAATACACCCACCGCCACATCTGCTTATCTGAGCAGATAATGAGGTTTAGGTGCTTGTAACTGTAATATTGTCTAAAAGGTATAGTTTCTCCAGGTTTAAACACCAGTTTGAATGTTAAACAGGAGACTTTGTAAAGCCGGCTCCATACATGCACCATTCACCAAACACCGAGCAGCGACTCGCGGAATCGAGAGTATTGTGGATAGGTGTTTGTCTGATGTGTTTCACACATCAAATGAACAAATATTTTTGCAATTATATATAGCAAATATGCAAATATGTTTGCGAAACGAACATTTGCTCGGAAAACAACACATGTGTGTAGACGTCTACTCGTTAATCGGCGAATTGCAAGACAACTAGATCGCCGAATGTCAAATATTTCGTGTTTTGCGAACTGCGCATGTCTGGAGCCGGCTTTAGAGGAAAAAGATGAAAGTGTGTTAAGACATAAGTGGACAAGACTGATATAAAATCAGCAAATTTAATTTATTGTAATGAAAAATTGTTATTACAGGGGTTTAAAACAAACAACATCACAAACTTTACAGAATCCATGTTCAATAAACTCATTTATAGGAAAAAAAACTATCTTAAGTTAAGTTGAAATTTGTAACTCTCAAGAGACACACAAAAATAATGTTTTGCTGCTTATTAGTTTGCTTATCTCAACAAAATGCCAGTCCTCACATCTACAAAACTAATAACTTTTACATGTTAAACATGAATCATGTTAAACGAGAACAACATTTTTCTAACTAAAAAAAAGTACAATGGCACATTTTAGAATTATTTGTTATGTCAGTGAATGGAAAGTTTCAAATTTTTACTTGATTATTATATGAATATCCAGTTTAAATTCTAGTTCTGTAGTTGAACCTCCAACGAACTCCATGGGGTTTTATGTTAATAGGAACAAATATTTTGAAACAATACTTTCTAGGGTGAGCAATTTAAATATTTTATAAACTGAAATTCACAAATCAACTTGATGATCGCTTTACAACCCATATAGGATAGCCATTTTCCCTCTGTGCTTCAATCACAAACCTGAATGATGCTTTTTTGGTGTCTGCGTTTGTGTATAGCTTGTATTCTTTGACGACAGATACGATCACGATCTTTAAGAACTGTGTAGCATATGCCATTGCTGTAACAATGTTACCGATTCAATATTTAAAGTAGCTGTAATACTATAAGTATACAAATATATAAGTATCACTCTACATAGGTAGCCTACTATACTAATAAGTTAAAAAAAAATTAACTGAAATGATTGTATATTAATAGTTGTCTTAAGCTTAGTTTATTACCCTCAATTTAGCATATATTAGTAGTACAGTAGAATCATGACAATTCAAAATAGAATTGAATTGATTGGCCAAGCTAATCAGTTTTAATTATTTACAGTTTTGAACTATCAAGAGATTTGATTTATTCAGAGAAAAATAAACCATTCGGATTACGAAGAGATAATTTTTTTAAGACACAAGATAAAGATAGTTACATTGGAAACCCTCATTTTGGTTGAAAAATACTGTTACAGTATTTTCGTTGATTTCTTGCTCTTGAGTCTTGCGTCATCAATGACATCATTTAAGACAAAGAGTGTATCAAACTCTTCTTTTTCTGTTTGAAGAGATTTGAAATATTTTCACTACTTCTGACTACCACTTCTGTTGAAGTGATCACTTCTTTTTTCCACATTGGAAAGGGGCTTTTATTTATGTTAAGTTGCCATGACAATACATAAAATACAGCTTCTGACACCTGTTGCACAGAACAAACTGAAATTTCAACACAATGACATACAGTGAACTAAAGAGTTGCTTGTGCAAGCAATCATTGCAAACATAAAATTACTGCTCAACAGAAAATAACCAAACACTAAAGCTTCCATGCTAAAACAATGTATTGTTTTGTTTCCTGTAAATTCACCTCTGTACCGTCAAGTTATCGATAGTTCTGCTGATGAAACTTCAAATTACTGCGCGTTCCAAATCGGCCTGCCCTCTACTTGAATTTTGAAATACCGAGTGTAAAATGCATAGTAAAACTTTGAAATATGAAGATATTCTTTACTAACAGAGGTTTTATTTTGAATTACACGAATTGGAGTGTTTCCTTTCAAATAACGTTAAAAACTACTATGAAAATTACAGGTTATCTTAATGGGTACTTATAATCTACAAAATTATAAATCTGAATCACTTACCAATGCAATTTCGAGGACCACCACTGAAAGGCAAGAGAGAAAACTTGTGTCTGTTTGCTGAGTTTTCTGCTGAGAAGCGCTCTGGATCAAATTTGTCAGGATCCGGGTAAATTTTTGGATTCATGTGTACTCCCAGCATGCCAACGTGTATGTATGATCCAGCAGGCAATACGCCAAAACCTGAAAACACAATTATTTAGAGTAGGCTTATAATATTTTCTAAAGGGATTAACCCCTGGATTGACAGAGAAATAAAGGTTTTGATTATGTTGTTACCTGTTTTACACTCAAAATGACCATTTGTAGTACAAATATACTACTGCTGTTTCATGCTGCCAAAATGGAACATATCTTCAGGGGCCTGTTTCATAACAAACTACAAGTTAAAAGTTGTAATTTGTTAACTATAGTTCGGCCGCTTAGAAAACGACCTGCGCGCTAATGCTAAACCAATGCTGGAGGAGGTCGTTTTCTAAGCGGCCGACCTATAGTAATTTCTACTAGATTTGCACTGGGCAATCAGTTGAATAATAACAATAATAATACTAAATATAACAATAATAATAACAAAGTAATATTATTAGTTTGTAGTTTATTATGAAACAGGCTCCAGGTGGGATTTGAAACTACCGCAGCTGACATTCATATTGTTCAGACAGTAAAACAAAGAACATAAACATTTATTTCCTAATGTTAATGTTTGGCTTTACTTCAGCTAGTTTCAGACATTAAAATAGCTTTTCAGTGTTTTTAATTGATGCTTAAATAATTTCTTGCAAGTAGGATGAAATATTTGATACACGTAGTTTTAACTAAAAATTCTGTATTGTTAACCTACTCAAGGGTAAATCCTCAGTGGTCCATCGTTGATTGTATGGAAACACTGTATATCTTCTCCAGGTTTCCCTCAATACTTGATCTAGATAAGTCATCCTCTTCAAGTCTTCTGATGTCACGTCTCGGTTTAGGTCATCCCCCATCACATTTACAATTTCCTCGTAAAGTTTCTCCTGAGAATATCAGTTTATTAGTCTAAAATAGAAAGATGTGTTTTTTAAATTAACTATGTACTAGGCCTAATATGACCACTTAAGGATCCGAGGATTCACACACCAGTGGATCCGAAGATTGTGCAAACTAAAGTATACTGACAAATAATTATTTGAAATTAAACAGTAACAAGGTCAGGGTAGTAGGCCTATCTACACCATTCTCTAAAAAATTGCATAAAATACAACGGGCATAAAATACAAAAACAAATCTAAAATATGTGCAGCAACTGTTTAAATAGCAATCACATGATTTCTGCCCATATGTTGTTGACAATTAAAAACAGCTGATTCGACTTAGAAAAATATATTGTAAAACATACTAGAGGTCGTAATGGGAAAATGGAAAACTGTTTGAGAGCATGTTAAATCAGACGATTGTTTCACTTGGGAAATCTTAATTTTCTTTAACTTTAGTTATCATTGAAAGTATGTAGCTATTTCCTTTAAAAAGTCATGACAATTTGTATATTTGTTACTCTACTTCAACTTTTCATTCTCACCTGAACGTCAGGATGCCAAGCCAAAGCGAGCAGATTGGAAGATAAACTCACAGCTGCTGAGTTGGTGCCCTTCAATCATACACCCAAGAAAACAAGTTAAAACAAAATCAAATATATATTATATACTAATGAATGATTCAACACAAAACTAAAATAAACACTATAGTGGTGGTAAAATAATAGTAGGCTACCGTTTTTAGAGTCCTTACTTAATACAGGGTGTTTCAAAATGAAATAGCAGATTTAACCTCTTAAAACTGGTGTAAATCCTGGCCTTAATGGTGTAAGGCGGGATAAACTTGAATGAGTTCGCATACCAGCATGATCGGACCATGGGAACAGGATTTTACAGGGGGTTTTATGGGGTAAAAGTTGGGTTTTCCTCATTATTGGCCCTCAAAACACAAAATTTCCCAATTTCTCTCTAGACCTTTTTAAAGAGCTTAAAAAAAATTATATAGTATATAAAAGTGATTTTTTAACAGTAAAAATTTATAATTCCCATGTTATGCTTTTGGAGAATAATATAAAATGTTGTACTGTAGTTTGCTTGTTTAAGGATATATTTTGATGAAACTTGGCAAATTTATTTATTTTATACTAAGCTATTAATATTTTACCAAAAAACGCACTTTATTAGTTCCCTTGTTGCAGCAAACCTAGGTACTTGTTAAACTTAATGTTATTTAAATAGATTTAATTGAAAAACAATTCAGACAAATAGAAATTTGCTTAGTCGGCAGGTTATTATTCTTTACGAGAAGAGTACCTAATTATTGATCATCCATGTCAGCTTGGCTGTTGTTGTTTCAGTTGGTTGCATTACCAAAATAAATGTAACAACAACAAAAAATTATCTTGCGAGGAGCAAATACTAAAGCGAAACACAGTGGATGGCTGTCATGTATTCTTCTGAAAAAACTTAACATAGATCTTTCTCCACTGGAGTTCAGAGATGCTCTTGCATTCATGGGAAAACTCCTATACACCTCCCCTCTTCATGTGATGGTTGTGGCAAAAACTTCAATCTGGAACATGCCCTTAACTGTCGCACAGGTGGTTTGATAATAAGAAGACATAATGAGGTAAGGGATACCCTTGGAAGCTTGATGGAGCTAGCATGGGGAAACTGTGTTAGAGAACCAATGATCTCTGAGCAAGGGTCATTTGATACTGCAGCACTAAAAGCAGACTTGGCTTGTAGGGGTGTATGGGAGGTTCAGGCGGTAGCATTATTCGATGTACGTGTCGTTGACACTGATGCTCCGTCGTACTTGAACCTCCCATACAAAAAAGTGTTGGAGAATGCAGAAAGAGAGAAGAAGAGGAAATATTTAACAATAACAGAAACCAGAAATGCATCTTTTACCCCACTAGTCACGTCTGTGGACGGAATGCTGGCAAAGAGTTTCAGACCTTGCTCAGAGCAATGGCAGAACGCCTAACAGAAAAATGGAATAAACCTTTCAGTTTAGAGATGAACTGGATAAGGGTAAAAACCATCTGTGCGACGTTAAGGGCCAGCAGCATGTGTCTAAGGAGGACAAGGAAGAAGTGGAGGACCTTTAGAGAGTTTGAAGATGGGGCTGGAGTACCAGTTATTTATTAATTTAAATAACAAATGTTTTATTATTTTTCCATGTCAAAATTGACACTATAATAATTGCTGTCTGTATCTATTTCCCATGTTTTAGATTTTGAAATAAGTAGGTCAAAATGACCAGACACATGATTACCAGATAATAATAAATTTATTACGTTATTGTTATCACAGCTACTGTTTAGTATATAGTTGTGCCGCTAGAGCTTGCTCAGGGAGGCTTGAATGAAGTTTATGATTTGTAGCGTTATTACTAATCAGCCATTTCCCTAGCCAGGACAATTATTTATTACAAAATCATTAATCCACCCCTCAGTGTTATGAATATTTGTTTAATAAACTATTGATGATCAATTCTAGCTTACTCATGGGAGTAGTGGTATGGTGTCCACAAAATAACTTTTAGAATTAAGACTTTAACTAGCTATTAAAATAACATACAGTCTTTCTGAATCATTTTGTACCTCTGGTAATGTATTAGTTTCTCACCGCTGCACATATCGTTACTACTTCATGTTGGAAATCTTGTTCATTGAAACTAGGGTCTGCTTGTTTTAGCGATATAAATGCATCAATAATAGTTCGTCTCTCACCATCTGAAATGTAATAACAACAATGCATGGAAAAATCTCAATTACTTCTAACAGCTTCAATTTCAACCAGAGCATAATTTTGGTAACTTACCTGTACATCTTAAAGATAAGCTTAAAAGATAAAAAGATTCTATTGTTCTCCTGATAGTTGATTTTATAAACTCTAAACTATAAATTTTTGCCAAGTGTTGACAGGGCTGAAGTTGAACGGGAACTCAGTGGAACGGCATATGGTGATCTTTCTCTAACGAGAGAATCTCCTTGAAATATCAAACTATTTTCTAAATTATCTCCCAATAACAAATATGGATTTTGCTGATTGCATTTTTTTCTGCTATACCACAATTTTTGTTGGAAAGGAAGGAATGAGAGGACTAATGGATGATGGACGTTGGAGAAAAACCCAATCCATTTATACTGTGTTAGTAACCAGGCCTGCTGAGAGGGGGAGGGCAGCGGGGGCATTGCCCAGGAGTGGGCCTACAAGGGGCCTGGGACGGGCCTGGTCTAAAATGTAGTATGTAGTTATAACATGTTGTATTTTATTTTTAAATAAAATATTAACGTCTTCTTAAGATTTATTGATGATAATTGTTACACAAGTTTTAAGGTTCTTTGCCTAAGCTGTAGGGCACTGGCACTGATGTGATATGATTACCAAGAGCGACGCACGATGGGTAACGCTACGAGACAAAAAGGATTTTGTAGCCACGGGCAATTTCAGCCTGAGGGAAAAAGGGAAATTTTGGGCTTTGGCGAGGGAGAAACTGTCAAAGCGAATTGGAAACACTGATTCAACATTTTGTATTTAAATATGAAAATATAGATATCTCTAACTAGCTTTTTACAAAAGCAAGATATCTTAAAAAAAATTAATCTTTGAAAAAGAAAAGAAAAACAAAAGTCCTTTATGGCCTTAAAAATTTATTTAAATTCTGAGATGGTGTGATAAGTGCTATTAAGATCATCAACAGCCATGCCTGCACCGTTGCGTTGGTGGGGGGGGGGGGGGGGCGTGGAATGGGCCCGTGGCAACGATTGCCCAGGGGCCCGAGATTTATCTCTGTGGGCCTGTTAGTAACCCATGATAAGTGTTAGTTCTGATGCCTCAAATTTAATAAATCAAACACTCAATTTATATACACTACTCTAAAACTCAAATAAACATTTTAAAATTCCTTTGAAAAATGCATAGCAAATATTCTAGGCCTAACAATATTTATAATCTGATCACCTACCTACGCTGTCTGCAATGTCCTTATTTTCCACGGTTTTAATTCTGTCCTTGAGCAGCTGAAACCAAATCTTATTATAAAGGTAATCTTACAGGTAGTAGTGAGAGCCATAGTTTAGAAGTGTTCGGAACAGGTGTAATAACATCTAACTAAGGTTTATATTCAAAACTAGCTGTGTACCCGTTCTACGCACGGGGATCTTATAATATTCAGTTGAAACCTTCTTATATAAAGAACAGCAGTTGGTTTGCATATTTTAAGATATGCTGGCCAAACTATTATACATAGCTTCATTTTATGTTGTTTTTTGTTGTTCCGGATCGGTATGACAATCAATAAAAGGTTAAATTACCTCTGTGTCTGCCGGTCGATCCTATAACGGTAGGCTTACTTTTATTTTTACTATCTGATCTCGTTTGCATGGCTCAATCACGTCCTGGTTGAAGTTCGTTCGCTACGCTCACTCACCTGTATGTTGGAGCTCGTTCGCTGCGCTCACTTTCCTTCAGGTTAGCTCGTTCGCTACGCTCACTTGCCTTCAGGTTAGCTCGTTTGCTACGCTCACTCGCCTCCAGGTTGCAAATTAGCTGTTGTCATAAATGTAAAAGAAATAATAGTGCTAGTGCTGCACCCTGTTGGTAATCCTTGTAACTTTAATGCTATTGAACATCACAGAACAGAACCAACTTGTTTAATTGAAACAGCTGTTAAGATTCAATAATTTCATTTCTCATAAGGTTAACATGGGCTTCCAGAAATTCCACGTCAAAAATCGACAAAAACTTGATTTTCAAGGGTTTACTGTTAAATATCTAACTGTCTCATATTCGATGAAATACGTCTAAAACCATCTCATATATGTATAGTATTTGGAAAATAAGTTTCAGGCGGGACAGTGCTATAGTTATTGAGGAGTAGTTGTAATAAAGTGCGTATTTTAGCGTTACCAAGAGAATGACAGATAGACAGACAGACAGACAGACAGACAGACAGACAGAAATTGAGATAAGGTTTGATTCGGTTTCTCTGACCTATGAAATGTAAAAATAACCAAAAAGTTCATTATTCTAAGCAATGTACAGACAAAACTCTAATTTTATTTATATAGATGTGTTAGTTGATAAAATACTAGTGCTGGACTTTTTAAGTAGTTACACAAGAATTAAATTTACTGTAAGCCCCTTGTCCTCCATCATTCTACAATAAAACACAAAACAAAACTGTAAATGAGAATGCAAGAGATAGACAACAATGATATAAAGCAGCTGTTGCTAAATAATGGCTTGACATGTCCTAAGAAGTATGTTTGGGTTTGACCGAATCCATTGCAATATAATTACTTTCCCTCAAGATTAAGTACTACAAAAATTGCTTTCCCACTAAAAGTTTTACAGTTAGTTTTGAATACATCCTGTCTAATAATGCCGGGACCACACCGCACCGGTGTGAAAGAGGGCTAAGGTGTCCACTATTGGTGAGTATGAATGTGTCAGTAAAATACAAAAGTTGAGCTTACCTCCACCGTTTCTCTTGTTAACAATTCAGTAACTTCTTCCATTTCAGTAACATCTTTCTTGTAAAATATCTTGAATAGCCAATCAGGGAATAACCACGGTTGCAAAAACCTGATACTCCAAAGTTCAAGAGTACTAGAAAATACAGTTAACTTAAAAATACTTGATTGGTAAAATGAAACAAAGCGGTTAGTTCAAGATAGACAAAACAATTTAAAAAATGTTATGCTTAACTTGTTAGGTGATGTATGTAGACATGTAAATGAATTTGATTCTTAACTTTGTAGGTACTCAAGTTGAATAAAAAAATACTGAAAACCAAGCGCAGTGAATATTTGCCAAAAGTAATTTTCTTATTAACTTCTTACTGCAGAAAAACCCCTCAGTGCTTATAATAAGTTGTTATAAATTATATAGCTATTTAATATCAACAAAATTACCGCATGATAGAATTAACTGCACGTTTCTGCACCTCCTCTCCAGGGATGAGTCTTGGAGCATCCTTTCCAAACAATAAATCTGTGACAGAAAAAATTATAAAGTAAAAAAAAGGATTAGTAGTAGAGTCAAAAACATGAATAATTTTGTTAAAAAAATATACGGAAAGTAAATAAAAGAAACGTCTTATAACACTTAAAACATATATTTACGCTTATACTGTTACTCACAAGACGGTAAATATACAAAAACGATGGTAAGTGGTGATCGATTTCGATTGGACACTCCAATCATCATCAGACCCAATAGGCGAATGACGATTGGGCGAATGACGTCATTCGCCTATTGGGTCTGATGATGATTGGAGTGTCCAATCGAAATCGATCACCACTTACCATCGTTTTTGTATATTTACCGTCTTGTGAGTAACAGTATAAGCGTAAATATATGTTTTAAGTGTTATAAGACGTTTCTTTTATTTACTTTCCGTAAATTTAATAACACGTACAATGCTGATCAAGAAGTTATTTAAAAAATTATGTTTAGTGGATGAATGCCAAGGTAATAAATGGCTTCCAACAAAACAATCGCAGAAACATGTTTAACATCTGAACACAAAAGTAGACCTACATGTGCTAGTTCAGAAAGATGTAACAAAAACATGGAAAAGAAAATACCTAAGGATTCATGCCTTGGCTATGGGGAGAGAAGATGACTGAAGAAGGTCAAAGCAATATGAAACGAAATGAAAAATGAAATGAAAAACTATTTATTTAAATAGGCAAAAGTACCTGTAAAATATGTAAAACTTCAGATTGGTTTCCAATGTCTGAAGAAAATTTCAGATCTACTTTGAAGTCCCATCCCTTGCTGAACTGTGCATATTAAAAGTAAAGAAGTGGTAAGTGGAAACTTTTTGTAGAAAAGGTAATTTTCATAACTTTTAGTTTATAATATCAATTAATGACGAGATTAGAACGCCAACCTAATTTCCTTTCCACTAATGAGGCATTTAATACATCTAAAATAATGGTATGGTACCCAAAGTTAACTTAATTATTTAAGAATTTTCCCATTCTATATTCTATATGTCAACATTCTCAAACTCTCAAACAATATTGGTGACATGATATTTACTCCCTTATCTCCTTTACACTAAAAAGGCATTTTCAAGATACCAAAGATAACTTAAGTGAGCTAAAACATCTCAAAGATCTCTTACCATTACTATGGGTAAACTTACGGCAGACATTTACAAAAGTAGGGATCCTCATGAGAGGAAGTATGTCCGTAGGAGAGTTAGAGCAATGCTCTCTCAAAATCTTCACAACCTGTCTGCCTCGGTCGTTAGATGAGGGGACGACATGCTCCAGGTTGCTGCCGTGGAACACCGGCAGGAAGTGGCGACGGATCAGCTTCCACTTTGGAACTAGAACAGTTTATTTTTTTATCACAATATTCATAACTCTCTCATCTGAGACAAGGCTTGGCTTTGTCTGAGTGTTGAGAATTGTGCTTTTTACGTCCACTCTCGAGGTAACGCAGCACAATCATCGCTGCTCTTTTGTGATTCGTCAGACTGAAATATTTGAATACCAATTGCATTCGCTGATTCGGTGACGCACCGTGGCTTCGCTGGGCCTTGCCACCATTAGCGAGCGCCTGTTAACTACCACACTATAAACCGTTCACAAAATTCAGGCGGTTTGAGGGGATGTTCCCCCACTACTTTTTTTGCTTGATGTAAATATGTTGCAGCTGATTGACGTTTTGACAAGTCTCAGTGGAGTAAAACAATAATGGTAAGCTAGCCCTAACAGTTTTAAGCTTTCCTCCCAGATTGCAGTATACACGAGGCATAGTTTTAACAGTTTTTTATAGTTGTCCTCAAATGGTTATAAGTGGAAGGTTTTTACATTACTCATGATGGCTGATGTATCAGGATCCAAAGGGTAAAATAATTACAGCTCTAAGGAGTAGAAATTGGCAGGACAAAAGAGTTATAAAAAAATTAAATTACCTGGGCCTGTGAGCAACCCCGACCCAACTGCAAACTCCACCATTTTATAGATGAATCCTTTGTGCATCGTTGCAGGTCTGGTGTAAATCAGCTGAAAAATAAATACATTTCAGTTAAAAAGGGTAATTCAAAATGTAACATTTAATGCTCTGGAATAAATCACAGAGTTTCTTATTCATTCCAATTAACCTAACAATAATTTAAATTTGTATAAGAAAAATCAATCACAATTAAAACTCTGCATGTCATCTTATTGCTAAATTCCCATGATTAAAAGTGAAATATTAATTTTTCAAAATACAAAAATATTTTATTTCTTTCAAACTTACAAATTAACTCAAAAAAATTGAGATAAATTAAACATCATGTCTTGGGTCATTGAGTTGTTATTCTCACTAACTAAATTGCATAAGTAGTTAGTTCATCAGTTCAACAACAATGAAATAAGGGTGATCTGATGAACCAACTAGGATGGGATTGGATTTATATTCCAGTATTCCAGATACCCAATCATCATAATACTTGTTTTGAACATTTGTGATGTAAACAGTCTTCCAGTTTCTAACCTGCACATCTTCTGGCTTCTGAACAAACACCATTGGGTACGGTCCCAGCCACACAGTGTACACGTCCATCCCCTTCTCTGCAGCTCTTGTTAACATTTCCAGCAAAAACTTCTTACTTAAACCTGAAATGATCACATGTTTGTATAAGGATGATGGAGATCAAATCCTCTTAGTAAAGTTAAAAGTTATTGTGACCTGTTGCCCCTGTTGGATATTGTTAGAAAGAAATAGTGTAGATTATTGGGCTGATGTATGAATGCTGATGGAAAATAAATATTTTTATTTCCTTTTCCTGTACATTGTATATGGAGAAAGTATTGTTTTCATAAACATTTTTGAGTGGAGATTTGGGTGGATATTGGTTTTGGGTCCTCTGAGCCCAAAAAAGTGTTTTTTGAAGTGATCTCTTGAGTGTGTGTGTCTGTTTAAGGATGTGTATAGAGTTAGGGACCACACCAGTGGTCCGATTTCCAAGAAATTTTGTATGTCGGTAGCCTACTAATCTAAAAGGGGTTTTTTTCTTTTTTTGGGAATTTTGATTTAAAATGGTGATTTTCTCATAAAAACCCATCAAATAGCAGGAAAATCGAATGAAAAAAACTGCCTGAAAAACTTAATTAAAATATAGTATGTTATGACCCTTTTAACTATAATCAAAATGCTACAATCCCCAATGCTCTAAAGGTACGGGGTTCAAAAGTTATTGCAACATTTTCGATTTTCCTAATAAAATATAATAGTTATTCCCACCGTGCTTAAGGGTTGTTGAAAAGTTCATGGGAGAAAGTCAGATTGCTGATACCGTTTATTATTCTTATTCTAGATGAAGAGATGTTTTTTAAACTAAAGACACTTTCTTTACCAGATAACAAATACTTTTACATTTAACTGTAAATAAACCTCATAAAAAAAATAAAAAGAATTTTGCAGTTTAAAGGAAGTATGGTAATCCAACTCATCAATTTAAATAATATTAATCACTTTAAAAAATAAAAAACGCAAACCTTTGGTTTTTGGGTTCACTATCGCAGAAAGCAAGTGACCCAGTAGTGGGACAGGTGGGTCCACCATGGGTAGAGTCTTGGCAAGGGATATCAGTCTTCCGCAGCTCCTCTGGATCCAGACCCAGCCTAATACTGAGGTGGCTACGAGTAGTAAAACGAAGGAGTTGAGGAGATGGGGCATCCATGAGTGGTCTGAAACATCTCTCAGTAAAATCCAGAAAACACTTAACAATGAATATAAAGGAAACAAAATATAGCCTACGCCAGTTGCACTACACCCCACAAGCGAGTTGTCCCCAGAACTCAAGATAGTCCTGCACACGTGCAGCTGCGCTGCCAACATTTGTAAGCCTACTTCCCAAGCCATTGAGAAGTTACATACTTTCGATTCATGCAATTGTTTACAATTGAGATTTACAACTGAGTTGACAACACTGATTTTTACTCCCTAGGGGCTAGAAACCCTTTTAACTGCCTAGAGAGTAACATCGCTTTTAATGCAACGCATGCATTAAAACCATCTGTTTTTGCTGCAGTATGACAAAAAAGATTTATTTGATTTGAATCAAAATTTGCTGCAGCTGGTAGATAGATATTGGATGTCTACTTCAGTATCCAAACACAATGTCAAAATACTACACACATAGATATTTCTACACACACACACACACACTGATGATTATGTGAAATTAATCATACAAATAATTTGGCAAGAGTGTTGGATTTTAGAATTTAATCAAAATAATAATTACTAACAATCAATGACAATTGGGTCTTGTTTCACCAATAAAAGCTATGGATTTTCCCAGTAATGATAGTGCACTTTTAGTACCAGTACTTTCTTAAATTGCAACAATATTTAATTACATGAACAAAATGTTTTAATGATGTGGAATTAAATTAACAGTACCAACCTGTTTCAATATCCATTGCCATTGGTTATTCGTGTTTCCACTATATTCTTTCATGTGTGACTCCCGTATCACTGATAACTTACTGGTAGTGCTTGTCACAAATATGATATATACTGCCATAAAGCAATGTTTATTTTACTTTGACAAGACTATGTGAATGAGCACCTACTTTTCCTCAGCAACAATACATTCATTTTTCTTCTTTCCTGTTATATTTATTTGTTTAAAATAATTTGAAGAACTAAACACTGAAATTGTGAACATCTTTGAGAACTTATATTGGAAAAATAATATGATTCAGTTTAGATTTCTAAACCAAATAAGTTGTACCCTATTATTATATACATTTCTCATAGGTGCTCATCTTTTACATTATACACACACAAGTACTATATATTTTATAAACATCGAATTTGTAAATCAAATCAAATTTGTAAATATGTCATAACGTGTTAGTACAATTATAGTGAATTTTAGGGAAGTAGCTATTATCGTAGGTCTCATGGTAAGACCTAGGCCTGGGACTGATTTACTTTTCCATTTTGATGCCCCCAGAGGCCAAAAACACCATCCGTTCAAAATGTTATACAGGGTACGGCAAAATAATCTCCCTATTTTTAAACGTAAATAAAAAAACAGGTTTTCAAAATAAAACAGTTTTTATTTGTTTTACTTATTCTCTAACAAGGGAAGTTTACTTTTACTTAGTTTTAAAAAGAATGTCTGTTAAATGGTGACCATGGCTGTTGATACACTGCTGCAGACAAACTCTGAAGCTGTCGTGGACTGTCTCGAGCATGGCTTGAGGTATTCGCAGAATTTCCTGGCGTATTGCCTCTTTCTGGTCCAGCAGATTCCTGGGGCGACGTTTGAACTACTCGGCATTCAAGTAACCCAAAAAAAAATCACATGGAGTGAGATCTGGGGATTGTGCTGGCCACGCGATGTCCCCTCCCCGAGAAATTAATTTGCCAGGAAATATCTGCCGCAAAACGGTCATTGTTAACCGAGCAGTATGAGATGTGGCACCATCCTGCTGAAACCATACATGTTCCAAATCCCTCTCTTGTAATGCTGGTTCAAAAGATTCTGAATCATGTTAGTATACCTGTAATACACAGTAACTGCAACGCCTTCTTCTTCGAAGAAATATGCACCGATGATTTCAAGTCTTGAAATAGCGCACCACACAGTTACACGCTCGCTGTGAAGTGGTCTCTCGTGGATTTCATTGGGATTGTTTTGACTCCAATAACGATAATTTTGCTTATTAACGTTGCCAGACAAATGAAAATGTGCCGCGTCACTGAAAAAAACAATGGCGTCTGGTGGAAGTCGTTCCAAGATGTTTCGACAAGCTTCCGTGCGACTCTGCCAATCACGTTGAGACAGTTCTTGCACAAAAACCATCCTATAAGGATGAAAATGGAGGTCCATTTGAAGGATTCGACAAACACTACAGTCAGACATCCGAAAGGCGGCTGCGTGTTTATGAGCTGATCTTTGAGGGGACTGCAACACTGACTACCTGACAGCATTGATGTTTTCAGGTGTACGCGCACTACGATGTCTTCCACCCCGTTTTTTTCACAACTGAACCAGTCTCCCTGAAGTTTTTTACCCACAACAGAATAGTCTTTCTTTCCGGTACAGATCCAAGAGGAGGAATTTGATATCGCGTTCGAAAAGCACGCTGTGCCGCGATAACCGACTCATTGTTGCGAATGAACGCTTCAACCGCAAAGGCTTTGTGTTCACTCGTCCTCGCCATGATGGCGACTGGGGTCTACGTGCCGAATGAATGCCACATAAACTTCCCTCTCCCCTGCGTCGACGGCCGCCATCCTCACCACTCTAAGTGTCTCCCCCTACTCACCACGACGCAACAAAAATTGGGAAGTTATTTTGCCTCACCCTGTATATGTATAGACTGATATATAGCCTATATAATATAAGTGTACGTGAACAGGATAACCTAAGTAATTTTTGTCCGATTTTGATTACATTTGGCTTGAGGTGTAGGGCGGAATAAACTTGAATAAGATCGCAAACCAGCATGTACGGACCATGGGAACGGGGTTTTACGGGGTTTAAAATTTGTTTTTTCTAATTTTTGACCCTCAGAATAAAAAATTTCCCAATTTCTCTCTAGACCATTTTGAAGAGTTTAAAAAATAAATAATTTAGCATGCTAATGTTTTTTTGTAAGCTTATCCCAAGTAGCAAGAAAATGTACAAACAATATTGTAAAATATATTGAATCGATATTTACCCAATATTAAAAACTATTGATTTAATATTGCAATAACATTTTACAAATATCGATTTGAAACAAAAGACATTTATCGGTAAATATTTGAGTCAATATTGAAATATATTGAAACAAGGCAAAATAAATATTGTTTAAATATTGTTTCTTTAAGTATTTAACATGGTTTCTATATTGTTTCAATATTTCAGCCTAAACACAAAAACACAAAATAATAAAGATTTAATATGAAAATCATTATTATCAGTTGAGTAAAGTGATGAAATAGGTCATAAAAACAAAATTTGTAAAAAAACTAGAACAAAACTTTTTTGCCCCAGATGGGGCTTGAACCCATGACCTTTGTTTGACTTATGAGCCCGATGCCTTACCTCTGAGCTATCTGTGATAGTTGATATTGTGAGTTTTCAAGTGTTATAAGAGCAGCCGACAGTTGCAATGGTCGCAATACTTGAAATATTTTTGATACTACAGTATAATATGATTCTGTTAATCAGTTTAGGCATCAAGTAGTTAAATTGTTTTTCTGTGAGTTGGAGAGGATACTGGTATTTGAATATAGATTATTTAATTACCATTAGATTAGTAATGTTATTATAATTTATTGTTATATGATTAATTAATCTTTTCCCTTAGTTATAAATAAATCAATTTGTTAAAATGCATTTTAGAATGTTTTATACTTAAATCCAACAAAGGCCCAACGATTATTTCCTTTGTAGGGCCAACAAATGTTTCCGTTGGGCCAACGTTGGCAAGGAGTTAAAATTTCCTCCAACCTTTCCCAACCGTGCCGACCATTTCCCAAAGTTGGGCCAACATTGTGTGCTACGTACATACCCCTAGAGGAACCTTTTTGCTTATTTTAACCCAATAAACCATTATGAAGTTTAGTGACGGAATTTACAGACCAGACACCCTGTATTGTAATAATTGACAGTGGCATATGACAACAATTTCTACAATGATGATAGCTGATAAAAAATCTCCTAAAGTGCACAGTAAAATGTTAGAGTAGGTTTGTTTATGCCAATGGTGCAAAACTGGTTTGTTAACTACTACATGATATATTGTGTTGCCGATATTTATCGAATATTTCATCAATATTTAAACTAAGTTGATAACAACATTTTTCTATAGTTATTGTTCAATATTGAAAAGGAATTAAAACAATATTGTTTGAATATTACCTTAACAATATTGTTTTACAATATTGAACAATATTGGGAACATATTTAAACAATATTGTTTTAATATTGAATTATAATATTTATCGCCAATATTGTGCAATATTGGCAAAATATCAAAACAATATTGTTTTAATATTGAAGAAATCAATATTGTTGTAAATTGGACAATATTGTTTCAATATAATGAAAATATTTTTTTGCTACTAGGGATTGGTTACAGAGAAAAAAAATTTTAACTGTTGCAGTTTGCTTGTTAGTTGTTTAAAGATATAATTTTGATTAAATTTGATCAATTTATTTATTTTATACTAAAGCTATTAATATTCTACAAAAAAAACACACTTTATTATTATTACCCTCCCTGTAGCAGCAAACCTAGGTACCCGTTAAACCTAACGTTATTTAAATGGAATTAATTGAAAATCATATCAGGCAAATGGAAATTCCCTTAGTTTGTCGGTTTGCTGCAGCGGGGGTATTTTATAATTCCCTTAGTGATTTAAAAATAAAGGGAGTTAAATATAAATATCCTGGTCAACATGATAGTTGTCAAAAATAGATTAACAGCATTTTCACTCATTCTCCTTTAAATACAAGAACTGTAAGTAAATTGCTCCAAACAGGTAAATTATTAAGTCAGTTTATACACATGATGAAACTAATTGAAAAATCCTTTGTCACCTCTGACCAGTATTATTTATAGAGCTTAATTTTATTCTTTATGTAATTGTTACAAAACCCTCCAACACTACAGCCTTCTTTCTATCCTGATGGGATAACCTTGCTCTATTTGAACTTCAATTTGGAATTTCAATGTAACATCAGACATTTTCAATGTTGAGTGGAGTTTGTATCTGCTGATGATGTGGACCAGAACTATCTTCACAAACATAACAGCATATTCTCCAGCTGAAACAAAGTTCATGTGATGATATAATAGCACAGTTTAAGGTAACACAGTACTCAAATATGAATTTTTTTTAATTATTTTTTTTATTGTTTAGTTTTGTAGAACAGACTTTTCTGAAGACGTAGATAATAAATATTAAGGAAGAAAAAAATTATTTTTAAATTTTCAGTTACTTTTGTTAACTCTTGCAGCCTAATTTAGCATGCCCAAGGTCCTATTACTAATCATGACGCAGAGGGTACGCCGTCAAATATTAAAATTTTTTATTATTTAGTTTTGTAGAACACACATTCCTGAACACGTACATACCAAATTTTATGGAAGAAAAAAATATTTTAAGTTATACAGCGACTTTTATACACTCTTACTTTAGCACGCCCAAGGGTCCTACTACCACCCGTGACAGAGGGTACTTTAATCGTTTTTCCGAAAGTCAAGTGGTTTTTAGTCAGGTACACTTTTCTTCCACAATTATAATCCAAATTCAATAAAAATTGGTGTGTGTGTTCCTCATATGATACGGAACAATCAAAAACCATGACAACCAAAAACCTTTGAAATAAAAAAATATTTTATGTTAATAAATTACTAAATATTTTATAACATTTTTAAAACGATACAAAAAATTTAATTTTTCTCAAAAACTTTTTTTACTTCATATTATTATTGGTAATAATGTATTAAACTTAGTAAAAAAATTCAAGTTGATAGGTTAATATTTGTAAAAGTTATGTGTACCTACCTAAAAACTGTCATTTTAACATGGGCGGGATAGGGAGTACTGTGTCACCTTAAGTAAAACATAGGTGTTATTATTGAGTAAATGTCCCTTCCTTCAAAAGCTTGACAAATTAAGCTTTTGATAAAACCAATAGGTACCGGTATAGTGAAACCAATAAATACAAAACCTTTAAGAAGCAAAATGCTCATAGAGAATAGTCAAACTGGAAATTTGCCGCCAAAATGAGCTTAACGCGGCCACCACCAATATCGCTCGCTCGGCGGCTGCCTACTCTATCTCTCCTCTCTCTCTAGGCCAATTCTTTGTCTCACTCTCTCTCATTCAGTCAGCTGACTTGGCCGCACGCTCGGGATAGTCTACCTAGCTCAGTATAGTCTACCTAGCGGCGGCCGCAGGAACTAACAAAAATTCAAATTTCACCAGATTGAATTTTTAACAAAAGCATTGTGTTTCTTAAAGCATTTGTATTCATTGGTGAAACATTATATCATTACATAACAATTAGGTTATTATAACATTAGGTTTTATTCAGTATAATGTAACGGTACGTATTCCTCTTGGAATACGTACTGTTACTTTGGGTGACGTAGCTCAGGAATGAAACTCAGCACTCGCTTACAAAACCCAACTTTATTAGTTACTCAAAACAACACAAAGATAAACTAACAACAAAAAGGTAGAGTAGACTGGAACTGTACAGGTCATTTAGTTACAAACTGAAACCCCAATTCGGAAAAGACTCTAAACCCCAATTTTGAAAACCCTAACATTTTCTTACCTGGACCCAAGGCCAAGGGCCTTGGGCTCCAGCTCCCCCAGCAGGACCCCGTCCTCTGTTGCACCACACAAACGCTACACACCAAAACTGACCCCTTGATCAAGTGCACTGGCCTACTTAAAGCAACAGCCTTCAGTAGGTCAGCACAACAAGTTATTGTTTAACAACACTACCAGCCTACTCACACAACATTGCCAAACACTTCCTCTTTACAATATTTGACCCTCCTATTACAATAACTAATAAAAATGTAATTTAATATTGTTGTGATTAGGAGATTTTGCAACATATTTCGCAGCTGTGATCGTTTTATGGAGATGCATCAACGAGTCTGAGCTGATAAAGTAACTCTCTATAAACCCTAGATGAAAAATAAAATCTAATCCATCTCTACAAACATAATCACCACCCGTTAAAAAAATATGATCTCTATGACCCTGTGGATATTAGGCATGCACTGTGGATGCAATACTCCCTGGTGTGGATTAACGTCCGCACGAGTGAGTACTATGACTATCCGCTATCCTGATAATTAGACCAATTCGTATATACCAAGGAAAATGTGGTTCGGGTTCCACTATAAACTGTAGGTTCCTTAGTTGCCATTAGCTGTATGGGCTATTAATTAATTAACAGCTGTGTCTAAGGAATGTCGGCCTTAGTCACTAACAAACAAGACTACAAGATCGCGCCACTCATCCTACACTCATCTCCATTCATACTTGGCTTAAAATACCTACTATGTATGGTCGCCATTTCATTCAACAGTATTAACAGTAAAATGCAGTAGTGAAACCAGAAATTAATTTGGTAGATACTTTTCTAATAACTTTACCAATACAGTTGCGAGGTCCTCCACTGAATGGAATAAAAGAGTATTTTGGACGTTTTGCTGTATTTTCTGCAGAGAAACGCTCAGGTTGAAACAACTCAGGGTCAGGATAAATATGAGGATTCATGTGAACTCCTGCAATGCCAACTTGGAATGTGGTGCCAGCAGGCAATACACCAAAACCTGAAAATAGTTCATTTAATAACTTTTCATAACTGCAACTTCCTTTTATTTAAAAGGTCGGCGGCCTCTTTAAAATTTTTCTATTTGCTCAACCACATGCAACTCAAAGGCCTGAACATTTTTTTGTTTCTATTCAGGAGAAAACAATGTAGATCAAGAGTGTGAAAAGTTTGGTCAGATGGTGAGCAACTGATGACGAGTTTGCCTATGGCAGAGGATGGTGGGAGAGGCCCAGTTGAAATAAACATTTGTTAGTTTGGGTCGAAATTTACATTGTAGGTGGATTCTTTGAGTTGTGACTCTAGGTAAAATATTCTATTTATAAGATTAGGCGAAAAGACCTAATAAAATCAACAAAAGAACCCTGTTGTTCAGAAAGGTATTCATAATATGTGAATCTGGTTATGAATGTTGCAAAACACAGCTTTATAACTACTTACTTAACTTTAACTCCTCTGACGTTTTCCTCTGTAGTCTTGTGAATACACTAAACTTTCTCAGGGTTTCCTTTACAACCTTATCCAAGAATGTCATCTTTCTCAGGTCATCAATTGTGACATCTCTCGTTAACAATCCTCCTAATACACTAACTATCTCTTGGTATAACTCCTCCTTAAACAGAAAGGATGATGGTAAAGATCAAACTCAAATCACTACTGTATTAATACATCAAAACATTTTAACTTTAAATCTTTAAAAGCAAAGTTAAATTGAAAGAAATAGATAGTTGCAGGTTGTAATCTCTTAATCACATCAGAAAGACAGTGTCATGTTTTGTGTACATATTTTAAGTTAAGATTTAGAATATTTTAAGAGTCTAGAATGGAGTAGGTTCTCTGTTTAGAGAACCTACTAAGATCAGCTTTTTCTTTAGCCAGTATGCTGTACCTTTTATATGAACAATTTTGAACTTGAGTGGTTTTGGAAAAAAGTCAGTACCTTAGGAACGCATAAAAAAAGGAATTCTTTATGGACTTGTAGCTTTTTCCATGCTTCACAACAGAGTGAAAACTCTGAGGATAATATTTTGATCATTTATAGCTATTTTGTTAATTTTATGTATATTTTACCTTGTTAATACTAAAGTTAAAGTTTACAATACATGTTTTGATTTTGATTGAACAACAATACTCGTCAAATATACAGACTGTCCCAAAAGTCCCGGACCGGTTTAATATTTTCTAAACGGAAACAGATAAACCAATTAGATTTGGTACATCAACACCCCACCTAAAAATCTACTTTTTTAAATAACTATCAATTTTCTGTCATATCATGGGGACGTCCCGCAAGGAGTCAGAAGGAAATCTTAAATAGAAGCATAGGATGGCATGTACATCAAATTAAAGGTCTTTACTAGCAGAATATAATGCCGCAAATTTGAACTCAAACGGACAACCGAGTCAATAATGACAGTTGGTCAAAGATTAATTTAATTTGCATTGCTATTATACGCTTACTCCTCAGGGGGCACAGCCCTAGGAATCGGATGAAAATTGTTAACGTAAGCATAGGTCGATATGCACATCAAATTAAAGGTCTTCACTAGTAGATTACAATGCCGTAAATTCAAGCTCAAAAGAACGCCTGAGTAAAAAATGGCAGTCGTTCAAAGATTCAAAATGGCGGATTCAAGAAATCTTTGAACGGCCGCCATTTTGAGCAGGATCAACCTTTTGAAGTGCAGTTTGCGGCATTGTATTCTACTAAAAAAGACCTTTCATTTTATGTGCATATTGACCTATGCTCCTATTTAAGATTTCCTTCTGACTCCTTGCGGGACGTCCCCATGATATGACAGAAAATTCCACATATGACAGAGAGTTCCTTGAAAAAGTAGATTTTTAGGTGTGGTGTTGATGTACCAAATCTTATTGATTTATATTTTGTCGTTTAGAAAATATTAAGCCGGTCCGGGACTTTTGGGACAGTCTGTATAACACCCTCTATGCAAGGAATTGCAATAGCATCTAAACACTTTTAAATCTACTATAATTCTTACCTGAATATCAGGATGCCAAGCCATTGCAAGCATGCATGATGACATTATCACAGACGTAGTGTTTGTCCCCTGCATGAAAATGAAACTTTTAAGATAAGTATTAAAAAATTATATCTTGAAATAAATAAAAAGCTCTTTTTTACCAAGTTGGTTTTTTGTACTATTGTGGTAGGATAAAAGTACAAATTAGTATAATGTAGATGGGTGCTGGGATAAAACAGGGAATCATAAAGAAACAGGTATAAAAATGTACTGTTTATACTTAATACAATGAGGGTTTCCCTGTAACATCCCGTTGCCAACCGTCTTACTTAACCGATTTTTACGATTCAGGTGTTATTTTAAAGCTTATGATCGAGCACACCTACAAATGGCAATTAAAAATGCAATTTCTTTTAGGGTCTTGCCCTCCTCACATTTAATTTATTTTAGAGTCAATTTTCAAAGAAAATATGAGTTCAAAGATGTGATTTGTAATTTAACAGCTGTTCCTTCAGTTGCCAGTCCACAGTCATGTTGTGCACATCCCTCCAAGGCCACACTAAAAAAACAGGCCGTAATGCTCGTCAAGCATGACGTCACGATAGAAGACGGCTATGACGTATAAGTATATATTTATTTATTTTCCAATGAAAGATTAAAACAAGCAGCTGATCACAAACGGCAAAATTACGTCATTGCCGTCTTCTATCGTGACGTCATGCTTGATGAGCATTACGGCCTGTTTTTTTAGTGTGGCCTTGATCCCTCCCATTTTTAATTAACCTGTATTTTATGTCAGAAATTTTGTAATTTGGAATGGGGTTGGTTTTTACTTTATCACACCCCACACCCCTAGTCCAAGAAATGAAACGAAGGAGGAAAGCATCTCTGACTCTTCTGCGTGTTTGAGGTGTTGCTCTCCAATCGACCCGACTGTGATACTAATGATGTGTAAATATTTTTTCACCACACTATAATGTTTTTGGCTGTATTACATACGTTAATTGGTGGCTGAAAGTTACGTTTTGCTGGCCATGCCAGCTGTCATTGTAATTTGGGGACCGAGCAGGTCTTTACAGGCCGGGGCCGCAAAATCAGCTGTCCGCTTACTTACTTAAAACATGAATGCATTTTAAATACACAATCAAAATCCATAGCATTGCAATAGAATTGTGTTATTGTCACCGTTGCCTAGCAACTATTTATTTTTATTTTTTCTGATTCCTCAAATTCTTCACATAACCTTAAAGTTGTAGTTGTGTTGACTATCAGTGTGCATTATTATAGTGATGAATAGTGGTAATAGGGTAAAGTGTGGTGAAAAATAGCGTTCGTACCACGGACCGAAATGGTTTTACAGCTCTCGATTGATTTAAGTTCTCGACTTCGTCTCGAACTTAAAAACTATCTCGAGCCGGCAAAACCTCATTTTCGGCCCTAGGTACGAAATATACTATTGTAAATATAGACTATAAGAAGATGAATTGACAAGAAGACCCCTGAAGATGCCACATGTTGGCGAAAAGCATATAGTAACACAACCATCTTACCCAAGGTTATTAAAAGAAAAAGAGGTTGCCTCAGTCGCACTTATGACGTCACCCACCGACCCGGACGGTGCTGCTTTTAATTCACACAGCTGTCACCTGTCAAGTTCTTTGTTATTGTTGTTTGTTTTTCATTTATTTATTTGTAAACAGATTCACCATTCTTACTAGGAAAATAAGTAATTTCTGAGTGGCAACTTCAACGTTTTTGTGCTTGTTTAGTGCGATTAAGTAATAATTTTATTCTTTCTTGTTTTATTTATTCTGCGTGATATTATTTGATTGTTTAAGTTTATATTTTCAGTCCGGTTTTATATTTGTTGTGTTTTATATACAACAAATATAACCGCTAGCTTACTTTTACATGGTTTTACTTAATCGTTTACTTAATCACACGGAACTTACACAAAAACAAACAACAATAACAAAGAATTTGACAGGTGGCAGCTGTGTGAATTAAAAGCAGCACCGTCCGGGTCGGCGGGTGACGTCATATGCGCAACTGAGGCAACCTCTTTTTCTTTTAATAACCTTGCATCTTACCTACATCTTAATTCAGGCAACAAAAAAAAGGTAAATGTAATATAAAATCTTTCTGTTGCGGTAAAAATACTTTCAAACAGACAAATCTCTTGACCTATTTTACAACAGTAAAGTTCAACAGTTTTTTTAAAATTAAATTTCAATTATATTTCAACCACCTATGTGAATTTTCGTCTTCATAAAATTTCACTGTAGCAAAAAAAGCTCTTGAAGAACCAACGAACATTAAAGAATACCACAATCATTAAACTTAAAGTAGGTACTACTATAGATAAAAATATATAGCCGCAAAAAAATCTTCAAACTAATATTTTAATATGTTTTATCTGAACTAAAAGTTAACAATAACAAAAGTGCAAATAACTAATGATGAAATATTAACAGACCGACTCGGTAAAAAGTAACAAAATATATTTCTAAACATTCATACTATACTCACCCCAACACACAATGTTAGTATTTCACCTCTGAAATTCTGCTCCTTGAAACTTGAGTCAGCTTGATTAAGAGCTATGAAAGCGTCGTAAACTGTTCTGCTTTTACCTTAAAAATCATCAACTTTTTAACTATACTAAGTACTTACTATTTTTTCAGAATATTTTAAAATTTACAATGTTTAAGCCTTTACGAAAATAATGTGTTTCCTAAGACATCTCAAACTACAACCTCTGTGTCCCTGTAATTCTTGGTAGGCTTATATTTTAAACTAAATAAATTATATTAATAGCATCTTTTTTTATTTGCAGATAGTTTATAGTTTATTTGGAAAAGACCACTAACAAGACTCTGATATAGATACTGCTCTTGTTAGTGTTCCAATAAATGAAATAAAATGTTTGTTTGTCACACAAAGTTTTCCAAACTGTGATATATTACATTCAAATGTGACTTGTCAGTCATGTAAAGAAAGTTAATGTACACAAACTACAAAAAACTAAGAAAAATATAGTTCAATATAAAGTTAAATGAATAAAATTTCTTTACTTCAGTAAGGTAGCTACATCAATACCATTACAGGATTTTATTTTAACACTATTGAACGAGGAAAACTTCTTTCACTCAATTTTCAGATTATCGATAAAGCTTGATTGAATTTAGTAAAAATGATCTATCTTACCAGGTGATGATGTTTTGTGGGTTTTTACTGCCATCTTTTGTCTTAGTATCTGCAATACATAAGTATATTTAGTGTTTTATGAATTTTCACATAGATAATAATGTAAACAAAAATATTGCAGTCACAGAGCAAGCTTAAATATATAGCTCTGGATAAGTTATTTCAATCTAAATAATTTAAAGTTTAATTAAATTTATAGCCACAACAAATATTTCAACTCAAAACTTATATTTCAGAAATTTACCTCAACAGGGGCTTTTAGGAAATGTTGGTGAACTTCTGTTATCTCTTCAATATCTTTCTTGTAAAGGAGATTAAATATACGGTTTGAAAAGAGCCAAGGTGTAGCTATTCTTCGACTCCACAGCTCAAACCCCCTGAATAATAGCATGCATAACATTATCTTTGTATTAATTAACTGTCTTGAAAATTATTTCATGAAAAGTATTACTTTTCCTAGAACAACATAAAATTTCTAACCCAACAAAATTCCACACTAAAGCAATCTTCACTAAATTCGCAAAATTTAGGCGGTTTGAGGAGGGAAAGTTTCCCAACTATTTTTTTTGTTAATGTATATGTTGCAACTGATTGACGTTTAGAAAAACCTCAGCTATTGAGCTAGAGTTTTAAATGTAGGATAAAGTGGAGGGGTTAGATTTCTTCCCCTAAAACCGCCTACATTTTGCAAACGGAATACATCTGTAGTTTACAACAAAATTTTAAAATGAATGGTCCAGAAAAAATTTTGCCACTTTTATCCATTTAACAGAGAAAAGATAAATGGGAAATCAACCATTTACAGATCAAATTTACATTGGACACAACAGTTGATAACATACAAATTTGTAAATTTGTGCAAGAAAAAATGCAAACATTGACAAATAAGATTTTTTTTTACAGAATCTTGGAAAGGATACTTACCATACTATGTTTTTCACAATGCGTTCAAGTAATTCTGGTTCTTGTGGAATACTTTCAGGTGTTTCATCTCCAAACATAAGGTCTGAAACAAACTGTTAATATTTATTTTAAATGTCTATGGTATGGCCTTTTAAATACTTTAGTTGTACAAGTACCAAAGTGGTATGGCCACAAACCCTAGTGTTACAGTGTACAGTGTGCCATTGTACAAATTTAATCTAATAAGACAAATCAAAAGAGTACAACAAAATGTTATCTGTGATCCACCTTCCCATTCATAAATACTTTTCTTAAAGGAAGAGAGAGAAAATAGTTTAAAACCACAAAACACCACAATCCCCGCCAAACAACGTTACAAAGTACATATTTTGGGAAATTGTGTTAAAAAAACAATGATGCAAATGACATTCTCTACTGCGAGGTATATTTTGTTTAAAATATGCATAGGTTGGCCGCACTTACAAGTGATCAAATGTGCGGGGAACTGGCTGTGTAGGCATCAGCGCGGCCAGAATGTTTTCGTGTTTTCTGAAAATATTTACTTTTGTCACTTGCAACATCGTTCGGTGGAGCTATGTAATTGTGAACAGCAAAAAAGCCTTCCTCCTAAATGAGATGGATTTTTCCACATCATCCTCACCCATCATCAGGGGAATATAGATTTGATCTTGCCCACAAGCAGTGAAGACCACTCAACCACTTCCTCACCGATGGTGATTGACAGATGAAGCTGTAGTGGGAAGTTTTAGACTATGAATTGCTGTAATAAATTTTTGCGCTTTGGAGGTTTATCCTGGTAGTTTATCCAGTGTTTAAAGTATAAGAAGCTGGACTTAAATGACTTAGATTAAACTTTTTGAATGAGAGACCTATTAAGAATTTGATTTTTTTTTACAAGACAACACAGATAAACTCTACCTACATTGTACTGAAGGTGTTTTACCAACTTAAGCTATCTGAGGCGACTAAAGAAGCCATCTGAACTTGGTACAACAAATAGCCATTTTTGCAAACACTAAAAAAATTGATAAAATCAAATTCTGAGTTTTTGAGATGAGAAAATGGAAAAGGAAAGCTTAGAAAATTAGGTTGTTTTAGGGCCTCTATTATGTCAAAATAAATGTTTCTTTACTCACTGCAGATGTTCTGAAAGGTTTTAATTCTCATGAAGGGGAGCACGTCCAAAGCAGAGTGTGAACATTGCTCTCTGAGAAATTCCACGATTTCTCTCCCTCGGAGATTGGATGAGGGGACGATGTACTCCAGGCTGCTGCCGTGGAACATTGGTAGGAAGTGGCGGCGGATCACCCTCCATAAGGGAACTGGAACATTGATTATAGAAGAGGAATTTTTTGAAAATGTAATATCTACTCAAGTTAAACGATGTTTATAACTTAAGGCAATAATTGCATTTTAATATATAATACTCTGTTCACAATATTTAGTCAGTTTGAGGGGAAGTTCCCCCGCCACTTTTTTCTGCTTAATGTATGTATGTTGCATTTGATTGACGTTTTGACAAATCTCAGCTGTTGAGCTATGTTTTAATGGTAAGATGGTACGTGGAGGGGATAGATTTCTTCCCCTAAAACCGCCTAAACTTTGTGAACATAGTAGTAGAATCTACCACACTAAGAGACATAAGTTTTCATAAACAGCATACACAATTTTTTTACAGAGGTACTAATTTACACATAAATGTCTGTATAGCCACTTGCTAGGGGAATTACTAATCAGAGAAAAACCAATATTTATGTTTTTATGTATGGGGGTAATCATTATTCACAGTAGTAGTTGTTTCAGTTAAAATATGAGTCCTCTTTGAATTGAAAATCTCACAATTTGTATTGGGAAGGTACTTTTGATTGCTATATTGTTGCTCAAGAACATAAAATCTCTATAATAAAAAAAGAATTATTTTATAGTGGTTAATCTAAGGAAGTGATTTTGAAGACGAAAAAACATCAAAGTACAAGGGCTCAACTTTTGAAGATATTTTAAAGTTATTAATAAGGCTTATAAAGTTATATTTAATTGATTTTCCTGAATTTGGGAGATATACACATACAATTTTCCCCCAAAATGTAATACTATACTAGTAGTTAAAATAACTTTGAAAGATCTTAAAACTTTATATTCATTATTTTTTTTAAGTATTAGTACGGTATAGTAAGATTTGTCTACTTCTTTACCTGGTCCTGTAAACATTCCACGTCCAATACCAAATTCTACCATTTGATAGATAAAGCCTCTATTTAAGGATTGGGAGCTATTCAGTGCTACCTGTAAGAAAGAGAAAATATTTAAGAATACTACTATTGACTTTATATCTAAAGTCAATGATACTACTTAAAAACTGCAGTTAAAAATGTTGTCATGAATGTTAATATCACATTATGTCTACCAGGCTTTACAAGATAAATCCTAAAGTAATTATTGTTTAAGGGCTTATTCCCCAAAAAAAAATTATAAAAGAAACACCCCTACACTTAAAAAAATAAAAATTGTTATATATAACCTACACTAATTTTCAAACACATCCATAAAAACCCCTACATAAAAATGTAAAAAATCATAAAATGTATTAAGTTTTACCACTATCAAACCTAATCAAAGTGTAAAGTTTGTTTTTGTTATCAGTTCAAGCCACTATTTTTTGTTTGTTTTTTAAACCATCGTAAAAAATGAAATGGAAAATGACAAGATCACAATAAGACCATTACACAATAAGACTGGATGTTATGACATAATATTATAAAAACACTAATGTAAGCTTTAAAATATAAAGTACCGGTCCGGTAGGCTACTGTAAAGCGATATTCTCCACTCATCCAAAGGTCCCCATTTGCACTGAGACTAAGACAAGAGGAATAGCTGAGTGGTATGCAGGTATGGGGTTATAACTATGTGCAGTGTGATAAAACAAATATAGTCAAGGCCAGCAAAAGGGGTGGTCGACCCGCTACGGTTTGTAGTAATTCACATGGAATTAGCCGGCAATTTATCGGTACTCAGTTGTTCACAGTGAGGGTTGGATAACTGAGAAGATAAAAAATCAAGGCTTAATTTTATCCTGTAACAGTAAAGTGTCTCAATTGACTATGGAGTACAGTTTTATCAAGTGAGCATATTATCTACCTGTATATCCTCCGGTTGTTGTATGTATATAGAGGGTAGAGGTCCCACCCACAAGACAAAGGCCTTTTGTCCTCGAGCTGCCGAAGTCCTCATCATAGTTTCAATCAATTTGGTTTTAATTTCTGAAAGACTTTCGTAGTATTAGGATATATGCAGCATTGCTTGTTCATCGTCCAATATTTTTTATTTGCCAGATGGTTTGGACATGTGAGAATTCTTCGGGAACGGAAACGTTGGTGATAAAGGGAAAGAGGTAAAAAATGTGGATGGATGAGGTGTAGAGGGATGTGGAGAAGAGATAAGTGAGTCGGCAGATGCTAGGTGTGGGGAAAGATGTTGGATGATGGAGAGTCTTAGTTAGCTAAGCCCAAACCCAAGCCAGAACAGTGGTTACATTTGTAAGTAGCTTAGCAAAGCTTAAATATCAAGAAACATATATTTAAAATGTAAGGATTAATTACTACTTTTTTGTGAACACAAAACTTCTATAATTTCTAAGTTGTAAATCTTGTTACAAAAACTCAGGGGTTAATTGACTTTCCAAAAAAACTTGATCTTAATTCAGTACCATTATTTTTAGTAAGACACTCATTCTATTCACTATTATAACAACTAAATAGGAACCAAAGTTTGAAATATCTTTAAGTAACGACCTGATAATAACAAGTTTAATATACTTTAGCTATATTGATATCTCATCAAGTCATATAAACTAGATTTTGTTAGCAATCTCTATCAGAAAAAGTTCATTACAATATTGAACTAAGACTGAATAAAGTACTTATATTTTAACTTGCTTATAAGGTACTTACTGGATGGTTGGCGTAGCATGTAGATTAAATGTCCGAAGATTGGTATGGGAGGAACTGTCGTAGGTAGGGTTTTGGCTACAGAAATAAGTCTTCGATGTGTGCATATATACCAAATATAAGTAACAGTTAAAGTGATCAAGACAAATCCTGATAGCATTATCAACCCTGTCAACATCCAAGACACTAAAAAAAATACTACAGATCAACAATTAAATTAAATTACTGGATTTAACTCATAAAATTATTTTTGAGCACAAGTTATTTATATTTTTGGTTGTTCTCCTCTATGTAAGTCATATTATGCTAAAAGTTTTTTAATTTAAAATAAATAGGAACACAATCTACGATTTAATAGTAGTTAATAAGACAACAAAATGGATGATATTTGAAATACTACTAAACCAGAACTGCATGAATTTACTTTAAAAAATGATTATTTTTTTTATGATTATAACTGGTCAATCATTAACAATACTTACATGAACAAGCTTCTCTGATAAAAAATACATGAAATTAAAATAAAAAAAATAATAGCTTTAATAAAAAAAATAAAGCACTTGTCCATGGATCATATATGGAACATTGGCATATCCTATACTACAATATGTGTACGGTTTAGTTAAAAATACTGTTTGAAATGTTTTAGTTTATGTCCGAGTTTTGTTAATTACAATAAAATACATTTTTTGTGTGTAAAGGTTATTTACATACCTAAACAACAAAAACAAAACATTACTTTAAAATAGATTTATCACATTCAAGAGTTGTAACATAAACTCATATATGTGCAATTGGTGACAGCACACTGGAAATATAGATAACATTGGTGTTGGTGATAATGAAAGGAAAAAATATTGCTTCAGTGACATAGAAACTTACTCCAAGGTACTGGTAACAATTAAAAATGCAATATATATTTGAATAGGTTGGAATACTACTAGTTAAAAAATATTTCCAAAACGCAAATTTACCAAACATACCAAATACCTTGTTTGTTTCATTACTGTATTTCTTTGTTCATTATTTCTTTCTTGTGTATTTTTAATAATTGAAGTATAGCCTTAAAAGTAATATATAAACTAAGGAAGTTCACTACTCATATACTGTACATTTTAATATACAAGATTGCATCGGGGCACTGTCAAGTAATAAATAATATTTGGATTTGATTTGAACATTTTGTAATTGTTATTATTATAAATTCTCATTTCCTCTAAATATCAGTTGTGGGAAGTGAGCTGTGACTATGTTCCACCGGTCAATGTCACGACTCATTTTTTTGTAAGATCTCATTAGTTTTTATATGGTGTGTTTTAGAAGTGTCGATGTTCTGACGCTTCCAGTGAACCAGTGGTTTGCTGTCTGTTTTGGGAGTTCTTCTTACTCCTGCTGTTCTAACCTTATAGGTTATGCGGGCTACACACGAGTGAGCAGCAAAAATCTTTTGGCATCCTCTTTCTATATTAATTATTTCACTTTTTTATGCCGTCTTCTAGTGTTTTTGTTGAATGTCATGTTTGATTAATCACTAATCAGAGCCCCAGAGGAGAGCAAATGCCTGATCATGCTAAGTGTCAGCGGAGAGACAACCTCCACCCTAGCCACCTCTCCGCCCTGCTTCATTGCCCCTCTGGTGTGCTACGCCTGAACCGCAAGTTATCTGTGATATTTGTTTTATTTGTATTTATATAGACATTTATTTATTAGTGCTGTTGCTAAATGGACTTAGACTTTAGACTTTATGTTGTTACCTAGTTTTTAAGCATTTATTAATTGTCTAATGATATCTAGTAATTCATTTAGGGGGGCCCTAAAGGTTTAATTTGCAAAGTTTAAATCTATTTAATAAAAAAAAAGGTTTATTGTTATACAGTACCTGTCTGCTTTTATTAAATTATTTAAAAGAATTTAGAAAGTCTAGAAGAAAGTAACCTGCAACTTTAGAAAATTATTGGGTTTGGTGAAAATATTTCTGATAATAAGAATCTGTGTGAGCTGGTAGGAGAGCTGAGAGATAATTAGATTGTTTAATTTAACTGGATGTATTATTGTTATTTTGTTTGAAATGTATATTATAGCTGTTCCTCTCAAACAGTGCTTTGTTTTTTAACCCTTCCTCCACGGGTTTTCTTGTTGTTAGGTAGGGTTGTAAGCCGCTCCTCCGCCTCTGCCCATGGGAACACGCTTCCAATTTGGTTCGCTTGGGTGCACGAGTGGGGGCGTGGTTCAGAAGGAAAAAAAACAATGAAGTTAACCATTTTAGTATATTGAGCACAATAATTTATTGTTTGTATTTATTTACAAAATAGTATACAGGTAGAGCTTTAAGTTTACATACAACAATAATTTTTATATTTCCATTTTGTGTGTTAAAATTAAATAAAACCATAACAATCTATTTATTTACAAACAAAAAATGGTATTTAATATTTTGTTAATAAATTAATTAAATTATTTGTAGGCCTAAAGTTTATTTATAGTTTTAAACTTTAAAGTTGTAAAATATAATATAGATGTATATGATCAATATTACAATTCAATTGTAGAATACTTTTTAACAAATAAATCCTTCCAAAATAATTTACGATACTGTTTACACAAATTCATCTCAAAATATTTTCTCAACTCACATCTTTCACTATATACAAACGTTGATGAGCTGATAAATATTAGCATTACTGAAATGAACTTAGCTTTGTACAGCATTTCTTCCATTTACTGGGACAGTAAAATTAAGAGGTCGTAATTTGACTAAAATGTGTGGAAGGAAAGTTGACAATAATTATTCCTCAGTAGTTTTCATTTAAAAGTTCACAAAGCAAAAACAGCCTCACACTCTTAGGGAGTAACTCCTTTAAAGTCTAGAATGTCTTAGCTACAGTGAATTGCCTACTTCAGTGTAGTCACTCCCTCTAGTTCAGCCGCTACTGGCCTCACGAGACACGCCATGTTGCATGTTCCACATTCGACTGTAGAATGAGCCGCTGTCTGCCAGCAGCTGCTGGTGAGTGCCGCGCTCGTGCACTCGACCGTTCTGCAACACCAGTATCTCATCTGCGTCCATGACGGTGGAGAGGCGATGCGCGATACAGATGGACGTGCGACCCTCTGTAGCCCGCTGTAGAGCTCCCAGGATGTTCTGGAAAATATACGTGTTTTGTGAACATGTGTGATGGAATAGATTCACTAATAGAAAAAACTGTATGATTTGAATATGATAGAGCCAGGAATGCAATCAATATAGATCAAATGGTTAAAAGAATATTGTAGCATATTTTCAGATGCAAACAAACTTAAAAATTATAATACCTTAGAAATATAGTTTATGATGAATAATTAACTACAAATCAGGCTGTATTTAATGCACTATTGATAAATGCTTGTTATTAAAATATTTTGAAAACAGGACAAAGTAATCAAGATAGTAAACATGACAGTGAGAACGAGTGTATTATAGTTGTAGTTTAACCTTTCTTTTAAATGATCAAATGTATTTTTATCGCCTTTATTAACTTTATCGCCGTTACCCGCAACCACGGTGAAATGGTAAATTTTTCGATCACGCGATCTTTGCCTACATATAAGATATCGGTATCGATAACGACTCTTGATGATCGATTATTGATGATCGATTCTTGATACCAATACCAACGTTTAAGAAACGATAGTATCGAGAATCGACACAGCCCTAGTGCTATTACTGCTATTTAAAGATGGCACTAAGTAATCTGTTATCCCAAACAAACCGGATTATTACATTTTTACTGCAAGTTAAAAATGTTAAATCCAGCACCAAAAATATTCATACTTTATAATATAATAAAGAGAATAGCAGCTAGCTTTACATAAAGAAGTTTAGGTAGGCCACAGAACATATAGAGGAAACAATGAACACACAATAATTTGTGTGGACTTTGTCAAGTGTAGAAAAAGTGGTAGATAGGTTACAAAATCTACAACTTTTTCTACACTGAAAAAGTCCCCAGGGGCCAATTATTGTGTGTTCATTGCAGGGTGTCCACAGAAATTTTGTCATCAATTTCCATGACTTTCCATGACTATCCATGACCATTAGACATTGATTTCCATGACTCACGAACTTTACTCGAAAATTATAATATAACGTACACACGTGAATAATACTGCATGGACAATTTATGTCACAAAAAATACTGAAATATGTATTAACAGATAACAATTGAGTACAATAGGTACAACAATGAACTAATACAAACTCAAAACCCATAAACTAATACAACTGTATAAATTGAATTGTCGTACATTTGTGAAAAATTCGGAAAATGCTACAATAGTCTGGATTACGGGCGACTAGAGAATTGAAAGGTCCCCTAAAATCCATCCATCATTGGGGATTTCCATGACTTTCTATGGCCTTTTGCCTATTTCCATGACTTTTAATGACCAGAATTTTTTTCCATGACTTTCCATGACTATCCCTGACTTTCCAGAATGTGGACACCCTGCATTGTCTCTTCTGTATGTTTCATGGCCTACCTACACCTCTTCAAGGTAAGCTAGCTGCTATCCTCCTTATTATACAATTCAAAATCCAGGCCTGAAGTCTTTCCATGAAAAAATAAATTTTATAATAGTTCTGAAGTTTTTTTTTATTAAATTATACGGGTTCACAAAGTTTCTCACATGTTCTGTGATCGAGTCCAGAGAAGATGTAGCCTCGTCAAACACTAAGACAGGAGCTCCCTTGAGTATAGCTCTAGCTATGGCCACTCTCTGCTTCTCCCCCCCAGACAGCTTCAGCCCTCTTTCTCCTACCTGCAGTCATACATTAGGTTAATAAAGTTCAAAATTGCAAAGGATAATTTAGTTTATGGACTTTTCCTAGGTTAAAGTGTTTTGACTACACAACAGTTCGTGAGGTAAGAAAACTTCTCCTATTTTCATGTTAAGAACTATTACTCTACATTTACCTAATCATGTCATTAGGTTAAATTAGTTAGGATAATTAGAATGTGGGTTAATGTTAATAGTTAGTCACTTGAAAACGGGAGGAGTTTTCAGGGTGTCCAGCGTTTCATCAAAATAAAATTCAAGGAGAGGTTTTCTAGGTTAAAAATTTAAAAAATCCAGTGCAAAACTTGCCCTACTCAATTGATCAAAACTTACTTCTTTATTTACACCTGCAAAGCCATTTAAAAACCTTTAGGTCAATAATTTATTGTGATTGCAGCAAAATCGGTAATCTTTTTTTAAAGGCGAAATTTGGATGATTTTCCCGATAGCGACAACATTGGTGATGATTCTTCATTATGATTTCCTGCGATCGTGATAACATTTGCGTTGTATAAGAATAACAAACTCACAGCTATGTTAAGTGTGTTATGGTGTAATCACCTGAGTTTCGTAGCCCAGCGGCCATTTCGACACAGAGTCATGGAGGTCGGCCATCTTGGATGCAGATATAACATCATCCGTACTCTTGCTGAGATCTCCATAGTGCAAATTGTAATGGATTGTCTCATGAAACAGCACTGAGTCCTACAACACACATTCTGGTATAAGCTTGTGTAGAATCAAAACAATACTAAAGAATTGAGCTATTGGAAATTTTATAAAATAATTGAAAAAGCTATCCTTTAGACTGGCATTGTATTTTCTATTGTCTGAGCCAATGGCATTTAATGTGAAAAAGAGGCAAATGCTTCTAAAATAGCAGTTGAAATCCCTTAAAACATTGTGCATATACACTGGGAGCTAAACTTGTCTCTGTTACACTGAAGTTTGAGATACTAGAGCCACTCATTTTAGCAAATTTCCCATATATCAAATAGGGAACCTAAAAAAATTATTAACAGAGAAATAAAAAAATCTGTCGTCAAAGGCTTGAAGACAAAATAGAAAACAATAAAAAGAAAATAGTATATTTTGATGTACAAAAATATGTTTTAATACCTGAGGTACAATCGCTATTGATTTTCTTAGACAATTGAGGTCCAAATCGTTGATGTTTATTCCACCGATCAGTATTTCTCCAGAGTTGGGCTCGAAGAATCGATAAAGCAGCCGGATCATCGAAGACTTTCTATGAAATTAAACATTATATGGAGGGACTATTATATAGCTTTCTACTAAAAGTTTAAAAATAAAATTTTAAGAAGTGCTTACACATAAAAACAGCCATTACCACAACTGTATTTCCAATTGTAATGTATTTATGACATTTATGTAGCAAAGAAGTTTTTACAAAGCTTGTTAACACTGGATGTAACATCAAATGTTCAAACCAAAAATTTTAAATCAATTAAACATAAATAATATCATTCAAAAATGTTCCAAAGTAAATACAATTCATCAATGTCATTTTTAAGACAAACTAATTTATTATCATGGTTGAATAAGTTGTATATCAACTTTCTAAACTAGTGGCGTCAAGGTAACCAACATACAGAAACATGGTGATGGGCAATAGTGGATTTGTGCATTTTTAACTTTTAACCCTTTGTCGGTGTCTTTGATTTTAAAACACGATCGGTGACACACAGAGTTTTTTTGCTGGCGTTGAAACATTATAAAAACATTAAAAATGCATGTATAACCAATAAAATTGTACATGAGGAATATACTACAATTTAAATGAAATACATACCCAGACCCCGAGCCTCCGACTATTGCAATCTTCTTCCCAGCGGGAATCGTAAGATTGAGGTTGTCAAAGATTGGCTTCTCTGGAACGTAGCCAAAACTGACATTTCGGAACTCAATTGTTGAATTATCTCTTGTAATCACCATTTGACTAGCATTTTCTTTGTTCTGAAGATAAAATTAATGTTACTCAAATACTTAGGAATAACTAATTATAAAACAGATTAAACATAGTACAACAAATTAAGGCATTTTATTACAAACAACAGGAAAAGGGTGATAGAGGTTATCAGAATAGCACTTGAGCAATGGGAGAGGTAGTATAACATACCAAAATGGAACTCTTGCTTTAAACATTAAATGTGATGGCTTTTCCTTTCCCCCGTAGTGGCTTGGTAGCTGGGCCATGCAGAGTTGAAAATGATTTACAGATTTACTCCATTATATCTTCCGATGGCTATAGACTATGTTAGAAGTCCAAGATCAGGACAGATTAAAGAATCAATAAAGGTCAGTGAAAAACTGCTGACGTGGATAAAATATAATTGGATTTTGTAACAACCCTTAGATTTTATAATTTTTAGCCCTGGTTGACTGTATTTAATAAAACAAAGATTTCTCATTTGATTTCCCAGCCTTTTATCTTTTTTCACATTCCTGACTTCCACCCTACACCAATTTCCCTGACTTTCCAGGTCCATGGAAACTGTAAAAGCAATCCAGAGCCATTCAATTCAACAGCTACCGGTCAAGTTTTTACTGATGTCAACCTTTGGGAGACAAATTACATTACAGAAGGGAAATAACCCCTTACTACTTGATATTTCACCTTAATTTTGGGCTCCTGGGTCATGAGAGTGAACATGGTCTGCATGTCTATCAGGGCCTGTCGCACTTCTCTGTAGACAGAGCCCAGGAAGCCAAGAGGCACTGAGAGCTGGAACAGCAGTCCATTAACCATCACCAGGTCGCCAACTGTCATGTTGCCTGCCAACAAACACAACACTTTGTAGTCCATCAGCTCATATGACCGGCAAAAAAACCAAAGAATCGCTTGAAGGTATAACATAATAGATATTGACACTAATAATTAAGGATATATGGTTAGAAATCAGACTACAAAAAAAGTATTGGCAATAACATTAAAAATACCATTAGAAGACCTTAAGTAATAAAGAAATTTAAACTATAAAAACCATGGAATGAAAATGACTCATTGCTTTTGTAACCCGCTTCCGGGTGTTTTTCGTTAATTTGTCGGGTCGGGGAGTTACGCGTCCCTGATAGCCTAGCCGTGCTGGGTTATTCCGGGGGTCAATTTTGGTCGAGTTTCCCGCTTTTGTATCCTAAAGTCGTTTTCCTGGCTCAGGCGGGAATGTTTTGCCTCTTGGCTTTATTCGTGCCTCATCATTGCCAGGAAACGAGTGAATAAAAGAGGGAGGGCGATATTTTGTTTCGAAGTTATAGCTTCGTGCGCGACTCTGTTCACAACCTCCTCGGTGGAGTGTTAATTATTTATTTAATTTAATACCCTCCGTCCATGCGCCACGGACCGAGCAGAATTAGTTTAGATGCGTCTTTATTATTTAAAATAATACAATGCGTTTCGGGCGAGTGGACTAGTTCAAAGCCCCGTGAGAGAGTAGGAATATGGAAAGGTGCAAACGAACATACAGAGTAGGGCGGAGAAGGATCGTTATAGAAAGAGTAACATACGAGACACACACACACACACACACAGACAGGTTGAGCACACAAAGACTTATTTCAAATAGATTAAGCCTAACTAAAAACTAACTTATTCCCAGATTTTCCGGGATAGCTTAGGTCTAACTTATAAATAACTTATTTCCGGTGTGCCCGAAGTAATTAAAGCTAACTTATAAATAGCTTATTTCCGGGTTTTCCGGAATAGATTAAATCTAGCTAATAACTAACTTATTTCCGGGTTTTCCAGAATAGGTTAAAGCTAACTTATAACTAACTTATTTCCGGTGTGCCCGAAGTAATAGAGAAAGAAGAAAGAAAAGTTTGTGGCAAGCAACAAACATTCATAGTCATAAAAGGACAGAGTAGGAGACTTATAGCTAAGAGCTTAAGTGCTAATTAAATCTAACTTATTTCCGGTGTGCCCGAAGTAATAGAGAAAGAAGAAAAGCTACTTAGCAAACTACAGCTAACCAAAGCAGTTAGCTGCACACACACAACACATACGATACACAGATCACTCAATTAGCAACAGTCCAGGAATCGAGGAAATGGTGAAGAATGGAAACAGAAGTTGGGGCTTAACTGTCTAACGTCACGGCGAATTAAAATTCCCAAAGCCAATACGAATCCCCAAAGCCTTGGTTAAGCGTTAATAGTCAAAGGTTAAGCAAAGGTTAAGCGTTATGCTAAGATTTGAAGCAATTTCTAAGGTTAGTGTGTTAGTAGCGGTGTCGTATCATAAGTTAGAATATTTAAATGCATATGGTTCAACACATCAATAATTAGTGGAAGGCTACATGAATAATTAATAATGAAGTGGTAAATATGGTAAAGAATAGTAAAGCAACTACCTAGAACATTAACAGTTAATAGCGGCTAAGCAACGACATAGAACATAACTACTGTGCACTGGTTCTAGTATAAAAGATAATGAATAGCTACAATGGTTAGTATAGTTCTGAAATATGTACAAGCAAATTAAAGCGTGTTAGTTAGTAAAGAAGCCAACAAAGTATTAAAATCACTCTAATAAATCCACTATTAATTAACTCTTATTCCCATAGATAAAATACCTCACAGCTGAAGTGCTGCTACAGTAATTACGAACAACATTGACTACAAACTAAACACCACACATTATATTTAGGTACCGGTAACACCGTGTTCTCACGGACCTACGCGATAAACAAAGCAAACAAAAAAAAACACACGAATATGAAAAGCCACCTTGCGTGACCGAAACCGATCGAACTTGAATAGATTTAAACAATACAAATAAAACAACACAATTAAAACAGAAAGGAATTATAACCGGGCGGATCTCGTTCTGACCGTTACTTCTTTGAACTCACGGTCTATAAGTTATGTATTGAACGAAATTAAGATATTCCAAAAATCAAAGCTGATCGTTATATATTTACAGAGATATTTTAACAAAACAGATAACACTCTATGTTATAGTAAAACGATAAAGATATTCACCGGTTTAAATAAATCGATCTCTGTTAATAATTCAATTAAATTTAAGACGAAACTTCCCGCGGACGTTTGACTTAAATAGCGTAATTAATTAACAGGAAATAAACGATAGCGAGTGAGGTCGAGTTATCCTAGGCGCCCTAGGATAGTAACAACGGCGAATGGCGAATGGCGTCCACTTACTTGGCGTGTAGAGTCGGGCGTCCGTCTTCTGCCTAATTGCTCAGGCCACTGCTCCTGCTTCCTGCTGACTGTCGACTCTCGCCGACCCCGACTCACTCTGTCTCTGCGAGCGCCGCGCACATCCAGCGCTGTGGCTGGGGTTCCTGCGCAGGCGCGGGCGACTGATGCGCGGCCCGGTGGTATGGCGGTGAATCACAAGATCAGCTGTTGCTGAACTTGTGTCATCTGCTAATTTGTTTTGTTTACATTTTGGAACTTCGGCGAATTGGCGAGGCGATTCTGCTAGTAAGGGTTTAGTTTTATTATAAATATTCACGAATAATATGAACCCTTACACTTTTTACAAAGATTGTACACAAATTAAGGTCTTGAATCTCCATCGAGCTTCCGTGACAGCCACGCTAGATAGTTCAAATCTGAGACCTAGTTGTTCAAAGTCGCGTTCATTTTTTCATCCACTACAATTCTAAAAGATACCCACCGGCCACCCCTATGGGACAACTAGCCTCGTCACACCATTTGACACTCCCTCTGAGTCAATTCTGAGGTCTCAGATGTCAACCACTATTGAAGTTTATCACCAGTTGACAGGCGTGAATGGAGTAAAATGTTTGGACATAGAAAATGTGCATGAGGGATGGAGGGAATTCAGATTTTGTTCAAACATTCTTTTATTTTTATTTTGGTGTTATTTACACCATTCGCATTTTAGCGAATTTCCCATATAGGGAATAAGCTATTACCGTAGTACTCATGGTAAGACCTGGACCCAGGACCGATTTTTTTTTTCGTTTTGAGGTTCCTAGAGGCCAAAAACACCATCCGTTCAAATTCATATATATATATATATATATATGTATATATATATGTCCGTTAGCGCGATAACTCGAGCAAAAATGATCCGATTTTGATGAAATTTTGTACAAACGTGTAAACCTACGTTTATTCGAACGAGTTCGTGAACCAGCATGATCGGACCATGGGAACAGGGGTTTATGGGGGCTTTTATGGGGTAAAAATGAGTTTTTCCTATTTTTGACCCAAAAAACATAAAAATTTTGAAATTTCTTTCCAAACTATTTTTTAGAGCTTAAAAAAACAAATAATTTAGTACATTGAAGCGTTATAATGCGCCTAATGGTTACGGAGAAAATTCCAAAAATTGTTAATTTAAAATTCCCATGTTATTCTTATGGAGAATAAGTAAACCGTTGTAGTGTGCTTGTTTATTAACATATTTTGCCCAAATTTGGAAAATGTTTTTATTTCTTACTAACTATTAACATTTTACATAAAAAAACACTTTTACCCTCCCTGTTGCAGCAAACCTAAGTATGTGTTAAACTGATTCTATTTAAATAGGGAATAAACGTGATATTTTTAAGGAGACATTTTAGTCTAAATCCCATCAGGCAAATGGAAATTCGCTTAGTCTGCAGGTTTGCTGCGGCGGGGGTATTTTACGTTTTATGGGAACTGTCCAAACCTTTGTCAATGTTGACATTTTGTTGGATAGCATTATTAATTGATAGCTCAATGATTATATTACAGCAGTGATAAAAAACATAACATTTTTTGCCAGTACAAAATATTTTTCCTACAGTCACCTGATAAAGTGGGCTTCCTTGCACTGATTATAGTACAGAAAGATGTTGATTGCTGCATTTACTTACTTTTGCCGCACGCTTTTCTTTGCTGCACATCAGTATTCCAATCAAACAACACAAAATAGTGTGCTTTTCATATGCACGTAATCCGTGTGCGCTTGGTAATAGGCATCACTTAAAGATACTACAACTATGATCAGCTGGTGTAGTTGATTCCCATTACGTTCAACACTTGGATTTAACCTAAGTAACCTAAAACGTGCTGTTTACTGTTTGAAAGACTAATTATTTCTATGCCTTATAGTAACTGTAGGAAAAATATAATGTGTAACACGAGTGCAAAGTGCCTTTGCTGCTCGAGAAACTTTCCACACTTGCCTGCGGTTCATGTGTAAACATTCCTCTTGTGTGCAGCTAAGTGCCACTTTGCACACTAGTTACACAAATAACTATTCTACTAGAGAACCCGTGCGGCTCAATGAGCCGCATAGTATGAAACCACGACGCCGAGGAAAACGTTATGCTTAAATTCGAGTAATTCTAGTTTGTTACAGCTTAGAGTTGTTTAAACACATGTTAGAAACTAATTTTAAATATCTCTATTTGTGTCGTCAAGATTCACCTACATTATTTCTGCTCTCAGTTTTAACTGATAACTTCTAATGAATGATAATCGATCTGCTTCAATTCGAGCAAACATGTTGCAACAAAGTTTTTCCAGCGTTGAGAATTGAAGAAAACCGTTGCCTAGGCATCCCCCTAATCAAACTAATTTTCTCCGTAGAGAATCCTGAAAAGTGGAGTTATCAGCCATTTAATGTGCTCAATTTTTTACCCACAAACTCTGGGTTATCAACTGGAAAGCCATAATCTGCTTTGAATAGGCTAAAGCAGCAACACCATTGATAGTTTGTTAACGTGTTGTGTGTTAGTCACAGTATATGCCCCGCATCAGAACGTTTTCACGTTGTTCAGTGGGGTTTCTATTAATACCTGTCCCAAAGTTTTGAAAGTATGGATTCATTTTTCGAAATAGGTTGGATAACTCTTGTAGCTATAAGATTTGGATAGCAATTTTCATTTTCTCTTTTTGAACAGCGTATATTATTTGCCTCTTCTGAATCATAAAAATAAACTTGTTTATCATTTAATCTAGACAAATAAATTAATTACAATAAATAAATTATTTAAAACTTTTCTCCACCCCCCCCCCCCTCTCTAGTTAGGTCCTGCTCTACAGTTAAAATTAGAATAAATACCTTGAGCTATTTGGTGTGCAGCCATGACCATTGCCATGCCTATTGCACCACTGAAGATTGCATTCTGTCCAAAGTTGAGCAGCGCCAAACTGGTGCTTGTCTTGAGGCTGGCGTCTTCATACTTCTTCAGCGACCTGTCATATCTGTCGGCCTCGTATTTTTCATTGTTGAAATACTGTTCAAAGAACATTCACTTAAGCTTTAGATAAGTTATTTTATTAACTTGCCTGTGCAGTAGTAGGATCAATAAAGTAACAAATATGAGGGTAAAGTAGGTTGGATTTCAAGGAATAAGATCTAAAAAGTGTTCTGCTGCTGTCTTTATGAGAGGTTTATACAGCCAAAAAAATTTTGACTCTTGCAACATACACACGTATATTTGGCACTGATACACATTTAATAATTTGTTAGCTATTTACTACACTTAACAAACTAAACTGAACGGGTTGTAATCTATAGTCATTATATTATAACTTGATACCAATATCATAAGGGCTCTAGTTTTAAAATCATTATACTTTATTTTTTAGCTGAAATTTATAGTTTATATTAGCACAAGTTTGATAAAACAGATAAGAGAAGAATTGTAAAAATTTGTACCAAATTAAAGTTGTAACTAAATACAGGGTAAAGTCCGGGGACACCTATTTCTAATTTTTGAGTGGATAGTGTTTGGCAAATTAAATTTAGTACTCCTTTTAGAGTTATAAAAGTGAGATGAATTAGCAACTTTGTTCATCAACCCGAAATTGCATAAGCCCTGAACTTTTAAGTAATCTGACATCAGACACGTTATTTTAAAGGACTTTATAAAATAAGATATTACAAATTTATCTACCTACATGAAAAAAGTAGCTTTGTAAGGCGTTTAAAGATGATAAAAAACTGTAAAAGGTAAGCTTCTTTGACATACTTTGACAGTCTCGTAGTTGATAAGCGAGTCGATGGCTTTGTTGCCAGCTTCGTTCTCTGCTCGGTTCATGAAGACACGGAACTTGGTTCTCCACTGTGTAATGGCTAGAGTGAACGCCGTGTAGAGGCCCACACATCCAACTGACAGCAGAGCAAACCCACCGCCACACTTGAGCCCCTGTCAGAATACAACCCTGAGCAATTATGTTTTCTAAGCCCATCTTTCTACAATAAGGCTATATTAACTTATCTTCAATCCAAAAGCACAAGTTACCTACCAGTTCCACTGAACAAAAATCAAAAAATTTGGTGACCTTATGCTGGAAAAACTCAACTGCAAAGTACACAGTTAATCTGTTATGGATTCGTAGTATTTCAGAAACCATGAGATGATCTAAATAAACTGGTTGAGTGTATAAACGAACTGTACAATTTCCTTTGGGAAATATATACATGAAAACTATATTTCTTTCAAAATGCTTATTAGGCTTAAGATAGTGGATAACCCCTTCCAGCTACAAAGGCTGATATATCGGACATAAGAGTAACATAATCAAGCTTCCACTTAAAACTATTTATGTGAGTAACCATACAAATAGGCTAAGTTATACTTGATATCTGCTTCTACTTGGTGGTCAATTTGAGGACTGATAATGCTATGCTTTTGTTTGACCAGTGTTGTAGTAGGTCAAGTAAACCGTCAGGACTGACCAATAGCCTAGACACAACCAGCCAAGATACAGCACAGTCGATTGAGGGTACAAATTCCAGTTTGTTCACGTCTGGTGTGCAACTTATAAGGAGATCACCCAACTGTGTTAAAACTTTGCGAAAGAGGTCTACTTTAAATGACCAGTGGACAGCTCAGGTGTAATTTTATGGGATGGGTGGATGTTTCCTGAGTTGCACCTCAAACCAGACTGCACCAGTTGCTGTTACTCAATCCTTACTCTGTGTGTCTACCCCAAACATAACAATAAGGATTTGGATTTTTGTTCATTAGATGACGGAAACTCGTAATAAAAGTAGACACAGTGAAATGAATTGAACAATCACTTCGGCTTAAGTATTAATGAATGTATAAAAAATATTTTTTAATTTCTTTTGTAATCAAATAACATACCAGGATAGTACTGACTAATGTCAGTTCAAACACTGTGGGTACGATGTTGAACACCATCGCTGATAACACAAAGTTGATACCTCTGCTGCCTCGGTCTATAGTCTGGAAAATGAAGTCAAGTCTAATAGTTTAATATAATATGAAATATTTACCTGGTTTGAAAAAAATTCTTTGTTTACTTGTACGCATCGCAACATTTTCAATCACTTGTTTTTTTAATAACAAAGGATAGGATATCAATATTAATTCCAAATATTCCAAGTTAAAAATAACATCAAACTCAATAGCACAAATGGAAATACAATTGTTTGTAGAGCTAGAAAATTTAAATGATTACTTAAAAAATCATAATTTGTTACTAAACACACTAAAAACTAACTTCATGCAATTTAAAACTACCCAAAATAGGTATTGCTACAAAAAAAAAAAAAAAAATGAGGATTTAACTATTATGTCAGATTTACAGATGATTGAGGAGAAGACAAGTACACGCTTCCTTGGTTTAACAGTGGATGCAAATTTAGATTGGAATGATCATGTAGGTAGGGTGTTAACAAAATTTAACTCTGGTATATATGCTCTTAGGAAAATGTCGTTATGCTGTGGATCGGAGACACTAAGTCATATCTATTTTTCATATATTCACTCACACATAAGTTTTGGATTGTGTCTATTTGGAGCAACACGGGAAATAAATTTGGAAAGTATCTTAAAAGAACAAAAAAGAGCCATAAAAATTATTCTTAAACTAAACTATGATCAATCAGCCAAAGAGGAACACATTGTAAATCTTAAGATCCCCACAGTTTATGGACAATACATCTATGAATGCATACTAATTTCTAAAAATGAGGCAGTAAGTTCTAAATCTTCCATATGCCACAAGAACAATACATAAAAATGAAATAACCCCAAATCATCATAGATTAAAATTTTACGAGAAAAACCCAACATATTCGGGAAAGAAATTCTTTATTTATTTACCAACAAATATAAAGTCTGAAAAGAATATTGAAAAATTTAAGAAGAAACTCAAATAATTCATAATAAACAAACCAATTTATTCTTTGGATGAATTTTTCCACCTTTGTTCACAAAAGAACTAAAAGTATATTTCAAGACAAATTATGTTAATAGTTAAGGTTCGGAGACTAATGTATTTTTAATGTAATTGTTTGACACTATTTATGTGTACCTATGTGCATGAAATAAATAAAGAATTTTTTATTTGATTTGATTTGAATTATGCACTGTTATAAAAAAAAAAAATTAGAAATAACAAGAAATATGCTCATTGATCTAGAGTCAGAGGTGAACAATAGCAAATTTCCAAATAGAGATGAAGGTAGAAGTGGCTAATGATCTGTTATGGATTGATGTAAGTACTAGGAGAGTAACTGAAAGATCAGCAGAAGATGACCACAGTAGACAAATGGCCTTGTAAAACCTGGGGATCACACCAATGCAATTTATCACATTTTCAACAAACAGCTCCTCCTCTGATTGTAACTTGCAGCAGTGTAATGTTTCCTACCTTAGACAGAGCTCCAGTCTGGCGACTCAGGTGGAAGCTTAGGTCCATGTTGTGGAGGTGGAGGAACACGTTGCGAGCAATGCGTCGGATGGAGTGTTGCGCAACTTTGGCGAACACTGCGTTGCGCAACTCGTTAAACCCAGCTGCCCCTGCCCGCGCAACTCCATCTGCAACAAACCAAGTAAATGTGAAAACCGGCCCTTCACATCCCTAATTACATAGTTAAATTGTTTTTTAAGCTTTGAATCCCTTGTGATATTTTATTTTCAATATGTGCTGTCGCTGACACCGGTTTAGATCATTTGTAGTTTAAAAACTAATTTTAAATGATCAGAAATTACAAATAATAAAAGCTTTTTTTTGAGGATACAGTCAAAATCTATAAGACAAATTTCAAAGGGGTAGGGGAAAAATTCGTACTATTGAGATATTCTTATACTGCCGTTATTTGTCTTATAGAGGTTTCTCCTCACTCTGAGACAATGACTGAGAAAGGAAGAGGGATTGGTGGGGGATTCATGTTGAGACGAACTTCTGTTTGTTTTGAAAACTACATACTATGAGAAACCCATAGTAAGATAGTAGTTTGGTAGTTTAGTAGGTAGTAGTAGTTTGTTTAAGATCATGAGAAATTCATCTTATAGAGGTCGCATTCGTCTTGTAGAGGTTTTGTGCTAAGAATAGTTGTTGTCTAGAGGTTAATCAGTCCTAGCCCATGTCACAAACAAATTTGTCTTATAGAGGTTTTTAACCTAATTACTACATTGTACAGAGGTGTTTTTAGCATTATCCTTTATGAAAGTTTCAAGAAGATTAAAAAAATTTGTCTTATCGAAGAATTTGTTTTACCGAGGTTCATACTAACAAGTTTCGACTGTATTTAAATTTGAGACAAAATTAAAAGCAAGCATTGTATTTTTATTTGGCAATATGGTACAAAGCTTTGATAAAATATCTTCAATCACAAAAGACTAAAAACAAAAACCTCTCCTATCATGATATTGTTTTGTTTGAATCCTTAGTTACAACAATCAGTAAAAAATAAATCTGAATAATATGAAAATAGTTTTGCTGTTTAAAAAAATTCAGTGACCTGAAATCATTGATTATAGCTACACTTGAATAATATATAGTCAATGATCATATAATAGTGGGGTTATTACTAATTTTAATTATACTGTACTTTCCAGCATTAATGTTTCCAATTTTAATTACAACATCTGTGACTTGTAAATTTATGACAGAAATACCAGCTGACGAGGTGTAAACAACTTGTTGACAATTAATTTGTTTTCAAACATTCAAAATTATAGTGTAACCTTTTTTAAAGCAAAATAGGTTTGTATTTTACACCTAAATATATAAATTGTCCAAACAATTTATCCTTAGATTGAATTTTAAAATAACTAGTCTACTTCACACGAATATAACAAAGCAAACATGTTGAAAACTCTCATAGAAAAGTTAGAAAACATTGAATGTAAATTATTTGAAGTCAAAAACGAACATTTGCTTGGAGAAAATGTTGTACCACAAGTGCTCTATAAGAGTTTAACAAATACAGTAAATATTTTGAACTCTTTAGTGAACAAAACAATCCAGAATAAAAACTCAAATGACGATATCACTTTCTCTTTAGGTAGAAGTTGTATCAGTGGTGATGAACACATGTATCCTTGCTTTAGTAGAGCAGATGAGTTTATGATAGAGGTAAAAAACATCCATTTAGACAATAGTGAACTTCCTACCAGATTAATCAAGTTTCTAAATTTACTTGGAGATTTGTTATTTTCCATTTGTGAAATAGGCAACGTCAAAACAAAAATTGATTCAGGAATAACAGTAGGAGAGATAGTGATGGTGAAAAAACAATACTTAACATTGTGGGAGATGATGAAATCACAAGATTATCCAATACAGGAAATTGTGAACAAATCACAAGGTAAACAAGAAGACCATCCAAGCAAAGCGAACTTGGTCTCTGAAGTTGTTGATGCTATGGAGTTATGCCTAAAGGAAATGTCTAAAGTGAAATTGGCTGTTGAACATTGTGTTAAGAGAAACCTGATAGAATTACAATTCAACAAACCAGAAGAGGAGTTTGAGATGGAAAAAAATGTAAGTAGTATGTTTTAGCGAATTTCCCTATAGGGAAGTAGCTATTACCATAGGTGGCACGGTAAGACCTAGACCCGGGACCGATTTACTTTTTCATTTTGATGTCCCCAGAGGCCAAATACACCATTCGTTCAAATTTTTATATATGTATATAGATATAGGCTATGTATATAATACACCATTCGTTCAAATTTGTATATATGTATATAGATATAGGCTATGTATATATAGACATATATATATATATATATACGTCCGTGAACGCGATAACTTGGGTAATTTTTGTCCGATTTTGATGAAATTTGTTTTAAAGGTGTAAAGCGGGATAAACTTGAATGAGTTCGCGAACCAGCATGATCGGACCATGGGAACGGGGCTTTACGGGGGGTTTTATGGGGTAAAAATTGGTTTTTATCACTTTTGACCCTCAAAACACAAAATTTCCCAATTCCTCTTTAGACCTTTTTAAAGAGCTTAAAAAAACAATTAATTTAGTATATAAAAGTATTTTTGTTCGGTTAATAGTAACGGAGAAAATTTAAAAAATTGTAAATTTAAAATTCCCATGTTATTCTTATGGAGAATATTGTAAAATGTTGTAGTTTGCTTGTTTATGGATATATTTTGTATTTTGATCAAATTTATTTATTTTGTACTAAGCTATCAATATTTTACAAAAAAACACACTTTATTAGTTTCCTTGTAGCAGCAAACCTAGGTACTCGTTAAACCTAATGTTATTAAAATATATTTAATTGAAAATGAATTAAGACAAAAATGGAAATTCGCTTAGTTGGCAGGTTTGCTGCGGCGGGGGTATTTATGGTTTAGAGCACAAAAGGCTACATTTATACATTTGGTTTGAAAGATTAAATCTAAGAAAAGTAAATTTTAAATTGTGAAACTTTTCTGGTAAAGGACTTTTATTAATTCACTAAATTGGTGAAAAAATTTATTTGTGTGTAAAAATTAAATTAATTAGGGTATAATTTACATATCATGAATACAATAGAATTAGGCTGCAACATAAAATGTACCGAAATTGATAAGTTAACTAGGATTTCATCTTACTAACCTATATTTCCTTTTGTATGTTAAATTTGAATCACTTAATAAAATAATAAAACTAGGTAATACATATTTACCTACCTATCTACACACTAGTTTTAACTCATTGCTAATCGTGTGCAAAAAGAACATACGGGGACAATACTCAGAAAACAATATGCTCTTGATAGCATGCAAAATCAATAGATTAATCATTTAAACTTATAAACCACCCAGCAGCGCTTTGTATATATTTTATTTTACTACATACTACAAGTTACAAAATTATATGACAAAAAAAATTATAATTTAAAAAACTAAATTTTAGAATCTCAATTTTTGTCACCTCGCTATCTTAGCGTTTAGCATTGCAGGACGATAATAAGAACAAATCTAAAAATGTATCATGCATGCGACCAAGGCAAACTTGTTTTTATCAAAACGAGAGCAATATCAATCAAAACAATGCAATCTGTGCAAAGTAGCACATTAACGTACATGAGATACCAGAAACTATCAGAGCATTATCTGACGGCCTAAAAAGCGCAACCAAATCTGCAACATAAAACTTGATGCTATGTATGGAAGAGGATTCATATGAATAAGTATTTGAAATAATAATTAAATAGGAAATTGTAAAAGATTAAGACAAGGAATAAGCAAACATCTAATACACAGATTTTCTTTTAGTTCACTATCAACTAAAGAGATTCAACTATTAAAATCATGCATACTTTAAGGATTAACATGCTATTTAAATTTATCAATACAAAACATATTCTTTATATTTTATTTTAATTTTCATAGGTAAAACAAGATAAACACTCAAGCAATGGCAAAAGTTTGACATTTCTTCAAGAATTTCTACAAAAACAACCAACACATTTGAACCAATCTGAACCTTCATCAGGGCCTCAGGGACATTATTTTAGATCAGGCCTCTTGTGTCAAAATTATAAGGAATGGGATAAATTTAATGATTATAGCTTTGTCCAAGATCCACATATAAACATTTTTAACCCTCCATTCATGTATTCACCGGATGTGCTATTTTTTGAACCACCGACTGTAGTTTTGAAACCACAGGTGGAGCCAACAATAAAAAATTCCCTTCCCAAAATCTATAGTGTTGAGTCAGTGAATGAAAATGCTAAATGCATAAGTTATGACAGTTCCTTAGAAGACAATGGAGATACTGACGCTATATCTAGTGAAAATATGAACCTTATAAAGGAAAATGAATCTAAAAAACACCTCTTTGAAAACTTGGATGAGGACCTATTTACAGAAAATCTAGTAAGTAAAGTAAATAGAGAAGAGTATACTAAACTGAAAGAAAAAATATGTTCCTTAATAGCAATGCTTAAAACAGAAAACCTTAATGATATGGAAGATATATTTAAGATGACACCAGAAAAGGTAAAACATAAAGAAACATTGAATGTTGACCAACTGAATGAGAGAAAAGAACAAATAACCACTAGTAACACAGTAAAAAAGGGAAAAATATGTAAAAGCAATATAAGGAAATTGGAAATTGAAAATGGAAAAACACCTAAGACTACAAACAGTAAAATTAAAAACATAGGAGAAAAAAATCATACTAAATATAAAGAAAGAGGTCTGGAAAAACAGCCCAAAATTCAAATGGAGAACACAACCAACTTTGGGTCTACTGGCGAAAACGAAGTAATTTATGATGAGCAATCTGTTATTGAACTTTTTAAACAAAATAGATACACTATTGACGATTCTGTAAAAACTCAAACTCAGAGTAACAACGTTGGACTTTGGCCGGTGGTGGCTAATTATATATATGTATCCAAAGGCGAGAAATCCAAAGACTGCAACTCTGTTTCGAGTGACACCTCAAGTTTGTTGAATAAAAATTTTGAAAAGAGCTTTTATTCCCTTCAAATGAACAAAAAGTATGAACAAAAGCGATTGTATGATGGAGACATAATTGTTCTTAATCATACAAGAACCCTGCAAAAAGAGAAAATTCTAAATGCCTCCTCATGTAATCAATTTGCTGTTGGTAGAGAGGAAAAGATTTCTGAACATATGTATCTTAACCGCTGTGCAGTCATGGCTGATAGTGTAAATCAAAATAAGTTTCTTAAAAACCTTTTAGTTCCAGCGGATGGTAGGGGAAGGGCAGCCCAGCAACAAACTTATGCAGTACACTATGCTGACTGTGCAGACTCATTTGTTGTGACCAAAAATTATAAAAAAGAAAAATTAAACTTTTTAAACTTTGACGGCTACAACAGTTCTCAAAACTGGGAGAATTTTTTATCAATATTTACAAAGTTTGGAACCAACACTCGTATTAACCAGACGAGAATATTAGGAAAAATATTGAGAAACATCAGCTCAGAGTCACTTCATAAACACAATTTGTTTGGAAATGTCCAAACACTCACAAGTAGTGGGGGTCCGTTTAGATTGTTTGATATTAATGGCTACCCACTCACTGATAGTGAGGGCAACGTACTGTGTGATCCGTACGGGAAGTGTGTGGTCCAGCTCGATGCTACAGGGTTTCCGAAAGACGATACTCAAGTGTTTGATGCTGCAGGATTCTCACCCAAAGATATTAAATTTGACCCAACCCGTAAACCAAACACAAACTGTATCATTGTCGAACTAACTGATAGCTTCAAGAGGCCGTTACATTTGTTTGACAAGTATGGCCGGCCTCTGACCGATTGCAGTGGAAAACTGCTGGTTAACATTCACGGTCGGCCACTACTGCGATTTGACAGCTTCGGTAGACCTACCACAGACTATCGAGGTGGTCCTCTATACACGGAAAACGGTTTCAGGTGGTCTTTAGAAGAACAATCACAGTCAAAGGAGTTTATTGATGAAACTTTAACTTCACAGGGAGTAAATTTATTAAATGGGGCAGAAAATACACCTGATTGTAAAGATACTATGAATGAAAAAAATAGTCCAGATTGTACAAGAACTGGACAAAATAATTTTACTCCAATTAACTTGATAAAATCAGACATGTGGCTTCAAGTTGAGAATGTGTTACAAAAATATTCCCACAAAACCAAATCTGAAGAAAAAACATTGAAACCAAATGAAGTTATAGGAGATTATTTGAGTCCAATCATTTATCATCATAATGGAATAAAGAAATTTACTCAGTACAATGGAACAGATAACCAATGTAAGAAAGAAAGTGAGTTGGAAGAAGTTGATCATAAAGTTGAACATTGCAATAAAAATCTTGGGTACGTTTTTCCTCAAGAGGCTAAAATAAACTACGGTCAAAACAAGGGGTCAGTGACTGGAGATTTAAACACTTCACAACATTTTTTACAAAACATCAAAGTAATGACCGATATCTCAAAATATTTTAACAACAATAACTTTCAAAAAGAACTAAATTACTTAAGGCCAAATTTTTTTATTGGAGAGAACGATAAGGGGAAACTAAAGGTTACAGCTAAAAATAACATCTTGAAGAAAAACCAAAAGATGTGCCTATCATTGTGTGGTACAAGTAACAATAATAGAGTGGTAACCACTAACTTTGATAACAATGAATATGTAAATAATCTTTGTAGTGAAATTCTTAAAAGTAAACTTGAATCCAAAATTTTGTTAATGGGTACTAGCTCCAAAACTCCCCAGGCAAGCACCGGACATAATGAAAATAAAGATAATTTTACTGATGCACCATTATCAGATTTTACGAGTTCATTTGTTAGTAAATATACGAATGAAATTCCGCTTTACACAGATACACCAGCCAACTCTTTAGGCTATCAAAATAGAGACTCTGAAAAATTTAAATTATTAAAGGATGTTAAGAAATCAAAGGTTGAGAAAAAAAGTATCAAGAAAGGAATTGAAATGAAAGGAGGTGATTTAATAGGTCATTCAGGTGGTCAAATAACATCCGAAAAGAGTAAGATTAATAAATCTACAATACAGAAAGTAAATAAAAATCTGAGAAATGAGGCTCCGAAGAAACATTTGCAATCATCAGGGACATCTACAGAGACAAACACGTACATACATGTCATCAACAAAAATAACAACAAATACCAGATAAATGTCAGAGAGAGATTAAGAACAGGTTATCAGTCTTGTAAAAATAAAGAATTTGCCATATTAAACAACAACTGTATTATGGATGACTCGTATTTCCCAGAGAGAGATATTATTAATAAAGCAGAAAAGGAGGATATTGCTCAACCAGTAAAACATCCCACTGGAGTATACCATGGAGAATACTGTCGCCATTTCAATAAACAATGCACTAACAAAAACGACTCACCTTTCCGGTTTCCATCAGAGGAAGAGACAAATGCACTCATAGGATCCAATAACAAATTAGAATTTGTCCAGGAGAACAGTTGGTTGGATCAAGACAAAATTAAGCAATATGAACGCGGATATTTCAAACAGGCTGCAACTAAACCACAGCCTTTGTATCCAACGATAGTAAAAAAGCCCCAACGTAACAATAGGGACTGCAATTTAGTTTCCTTCCTTGGGACCCCTGTAAAATATGTCCTTAACAAATTAGATACTAAACTGACTTCAAGGCATAGAAACCAAAGATACCAAAATACAATGTACTATCCCAATAAAAAATACTATGGAAATGACAAAACTGTTAAAACGCTTTACTACAGTTCTAAAGACAACAACAAATTTACAACCTCTACTGAAACTCAGGTAGAAAGCAAAGGAGTAAAAAAATATGTACGAAAGGGTGATAAACTTGACACTTTTAAATCAACCAGCTATTCTGGAATACAAGAGAGTACAGTTTTGAACATGAGTTATTCAGGTTCGCAGGATACCAGTGGAAAGTTCTCACCAGAAAGCAAAACCTACAATAAGTGCTTGAGTGATACGGTAGTATCAACCGGTCGTAGGAACTCAGTCATTAAACAGAAAAAGCGAAGATATGAAGGGCTAAAACAAAAAATGGAACAGTATTCTTTTGAAACTCACTATGTTCCTGCACACACTACTAATGAATCTCAGCCCCGACAAAGGAGTGAGAGAATTCAAAGGGGTTTAATCAAACGTAAATCAAAATCACCAAAAATAAAACCCGCAAAACTATTTAATAAAACTGGGATTTCAGGCAGTAGGCCGAAGAAAGCATGGTAATTATGAAATGGTATGTTAATAAATAAGTTTGTTCAAACAAATCTAATTGCTATTTTTTTTACCTACAATTTTGGTGTTTATAATCAGAAATTTATACATATCGTCAAGATAAAAGTGGGTTGAAATAGGCTGGATGGTAAAATAAAAATAAACTTCTAAAAATAAATCCAGTCAAAAATTAAATCTAAAACACTTACAGTTACCAGTTAAAGAACATTAAACAAATTTTATCAAATTAAGGTCTAATTTCTATTTCTTGTTAACATCCTGTCTGTTGCTGTTTTTTCAGAGAGTAGCAACATAGCAATAAAACACATAGGCTGTAGTCCAAACATTGCAAAAACAATTTAAATCAGTAAACCCTCACTAATCCAGATCTTATTTTTACACACTAATCTTAATACGAGCAGAAATTGTTTTTTTTTAACTAAACAGCAGTTTGTAATAATTTCATACAGTTAAGTTAGTAATGCGGAGCCATTAGTTAAACAGTTTCCTTGCTGTTTAGTAAGGTGTGATCGTCATTAATTGTATAAGTACTGTGACGGTGCAATTTCGTCCTGGGACAAAATTGTACTGCCGGCCTCGGATAGCTAATCTAATTGAGTAAGTCCAGGGTTAGTAGTAATAATAATAGCTTCATGTTGTTTCTTGTCTCAGGATTACTGTTTTTAGATTATAAAAGGTATAATGTTACCTGGATCTGCCAGAGTAATCCAAAGGCTGTCTGTCGAGACTACGCGTTTCGAAGCATTAATAGCTTCATCATCAGGTCTTCAAGAACACTTATCACTCATCGGAGGTCGTCAAATAAATATAATTTTTACAAACATACATACGAAAAATAGTAGGCCTACGAACCGCGTGCGCGCACTTAGACAGGTTTGTCATGACGGTTCGTAGGCCTACTATTTTTCGTATGTATGTTTGTAAAAATTATATTTATTTGACGACCTCCGATGAGTGATAAGTGTTCTTGAAGACCTGATGATGAAGCTATTAATGCTTCGAAACGCATTGTCTCGACAGACAGCTTTTGGATTACTCTGGCAGATCCAGGTAACATTATACCTTTTGTAATAATAATAGTATTAAATTTAAATATTTTAGTAAATTTAGAATATCTAGTGGCTTGTAGTAGTAATTATTTTGTAAAAATTATTTGTCTCATGGGTAACTCTACCATGAATTATTGTTTAACATTTTTAAATTGTAGAAAAAGGAGGATAGCAGCTAGCTTACCTTGAAAGTGTGGGTAGGTCATACAACAAGAACAAGTAGAAAAACACTGTGCACACAATATTTCGTCCCCTAAGGGACTTTGTCAAGTGTAGAGAAAGAGTTACAAAATGGCTGCTGTCATGAACTATGCAGGGTTGCCACATCTCATTGGTCTATTTACAACTATGTACACAACTTTACTTACACACACACATATAATATTTTATATACAAACTAGGCCTATTATGTATTTAGCTAGCTGCTGGGACAGGTTTATCTTAGGTTAAGGTTGGGGGGAGTTCTGGAGTTGGTTATATACTGGAATGCCAGTTCCCACCTTCTTAACATGGAAGGGTTGCATTCATCCTTTGGAAGTGATTTTATTACTTTAGTTGTGAAGCAACTATCAAAGTCCATGTTGTGATTGTTGGCATGGAGGGCCACAGGTTTTTCTTTACCCGTTTTGACATCTTGGCGGTGGCCATTCATTCTTTCTCTTAGGGTGTTTTTTGTCATGCCTATATATTGGGCCTGGCATTGTTGACATTCCAGTTGATATATTAGGTTTTCTGTAGTGCAGGTGTGGTGTTCTTTGATTCTGTACTCTGAATTATGAAATCGTCTGAAAGCTTGTTTTCTGATCTCGTAATATTTTTACTATTACAGTACAATGGGGTTGAGGAGGGTGATAGAAAGACAGGGTTTTGCCTAGATTAAGGTCAGCCAAAAACAGTTCAAACAAAATGTGAAATGTATTAAAATAATGGGTACATTTTGGCCCATAGTTACAGTTTGTATTTATCAACAGAGTAAACACTGATCAAACCTTTGTCGGTAGAATGTGTTTCACAATACATTATTCCCAACCAGAACTGGAATTATGCTGTCTTTGTGTAATTTAATCAGGGAGACTTTGATTGAACCACTATAGTCTGGATTAATAAGGGTTCAATACATGTTGTTATCATTACAACTGCTGTACCCGTGCTTCGCAACGGGAAGATGTAATATAAATACCGCCTAATCCAAAAAAGCCACCAAATTTGTACAAAAAAGTATGACCTAGGGTACATTGTAATTGCCCTACTGTTTACATTAAAACATATCAATAACATAGGCCTATGTAATTTTCATAGCTTATGGTAAAAGAATCTTACTTTATTTCTATAATCAATGACATAAATAAACCTACCACATAGTTGTGTAATAGCTATTTACATTACAAGTGTAGTAAGAGCGTTTTTACATCACGCAGGTGAATGTTGTGCAACGAGCGGAAGCGAGTTGCATAATTCACTTAAGTGATGTAAACACGCTCTTGCATATTGTGTAACGTACAATATTTTACCTGACCCGACAATATACATGGGGTTACATACAATATTTTTCATTATCCATTTCATTCATCTTCTAACAGTAACAGTAACGTTCTTTTACAAACAAAAGCTAGGTTAGGAAAATACTTTAAAGCATAACAATAACATTCAAGCGCACAGCTGATTTCTAGCGTTGTACGTCGTTGGCTCCATAGAGGTATATTTTTTAAGTTAAGCACTCAATGTTATTTAAATGGGTTTCTTTACATCACCGAGTGAGTTTTTGATACTTTACATCACTCGAGAAGTAAGGAAGTTGTATACATCACGCATGGGATAGGGAAGTTTAACATGGCGGGTTAGGTAAAATATTTGATTTAATTTGTTTTGATCAGCTGTCTGAAATTAATCTATATAAATAAAATTAGAGTTTTGTCTGTACATTGCTTAGAATAATGAACTTTTTGGTTATTTTTACATTTCATAGGTCAGAGAAACCGAATCAAACCTTATCTCAATTTCTGTCTGTCTGTCTGTCTGTCTGTCTGTCTGTCTGTCTATCTGTCATTCTCTTGGTAACGCTAAAATACGCACTTTATTACAACTACTCCTCAATAACTATAGCACTGTCCCGCCTGAAACTTATTTTCCAAATACTATACATATATGAGATGGTTTTAGACGTATTTCATCGAATATGAGACAGTTAGATATTTAACAGTAAACCCTTGAAAATCAAGTTTTTGTCGATTTTTGACGTGGAATTTCTGGAAGCCCATGTTAACCTTATGAGAAATGAAATTATTGAATCTTAACAGCTGTTTCAATTAAACAAGTTGGTTCTGTTCTGTGATGTTCAATAGCATTAAAGTTACAAGGATTACCAACAGGGTGCAGCACTAGCACTATTATTTCTTTTACATTTATGACAACAGCTAATTTGCAACCTGGAGGCGAGTGAGCGTAGCGAACGAGCTAACCTGAAGGCAAGTGAGCGTAGCGAACGAGCTAACCTGAAGGAAAGTGAGCGCAGCGAACGAGCTCCAACATACAGGTGAGTGAGCGTAGCGAACGAACTTCAACCAGGACGTGATTGAGCCATGCAAACGAGATCAGATAGTAAAAATAAAAGTAAGCCTACCGTTATAGGATCGACCGGCAGACACAGAGGTAATTTAACCTTTTATTGATTGTCATACCGATCCGGAACAACAAAAAAACAACATAAAATGAAGCTATGTATAATAGTTTGGCCAGCATATCTTAAAATATGCAAACCAACTGCTGTTCGTTATATAAGAAGGTTTCAACTGAATATTATAAGATCCCCGTGCGTAGAACGGGTACACAGCTAGTTGTGAAATAAACATTTAGCAGTTCTGACTGTTTACATTGAAATGTCAACAAAGTTTGTGAATTTTCTCATGCTTCCATGGAGACCATTTAATGTTTACTTTTGAAAACCTGACCTCAAAACTTTGGACATCCAAGGGACGTAGCCCGAGAGTAACACAGGGAAGAGAATAGTCCTATGACATTTCTAAGTATGTGGACAATCTTTGTGCTTAATTTGGGCTGTGTCGGTTTAGTATTTTATTTGTGATAGCCAGACAGACAGACAGACAGACACTACCTCAATTTTATAATTAGTATAGCCTAGATGTATGTACAGATGTATGTGACAATGACACAGGAAGTGTTTTTTAAGGCAAAGAAGAGTGAAGAAAAAGTGTTGATAAATTAAATGACAGGTTTGTTCCTAACCCTTTCCACTCTTATTTTAGGGCGTAGGTTTAATTTATGCCCCATGTCCTAGGTTTAATTTATTATATAGGCCATTAAGCTTACCAGTATTTTAACTTCAAATTACACAAATAATAAAAAATACAATTTCAAAAAATTTTTGTTCTTTTTTTTGGAAGTTGACATGTGATAGATCGGCTCACGGCCAATAAGAGAGTGGTAAGGGCTAAGATAACCTTTTTTTTAGTCATGACCATATTCTACTTAATTTATTTTACCTTTATTATAAAAACCAATTATCAGGGACAACTAGGTCCAATTCAAAAAGCTACTAACTTTTCTCAGGATCTAACTGGCGACCTTTTAATTACTAGACAAGCACTACAACAACTCAGCTTTAGAGTTATATTATACCTATACTCAGAACTGTTTTACATGTTACTTCAGGCTAGGCCTAGAGAATTACGACACTATCACAGATAAAATCCATTAGCGATTGGTGGGATTTTAACCTGCGACCTCGGGGACAGAAGCCCAGCACTCTACCGCTAGACCAGCTCACTCTCTGTCATACTGACCATATTAATAGAATAATAAGCTTACATCCAACCAGTAAAGCTACAGCCGTGCTGAGTACAGCATCAGGAGCTGAGGAGAAGCCGAGGACAGCTTCACCCTGGGACGCCATCTTGGTGTTGATGTCATCTACTGCGTACTTCAACAGGAACGGCACTGACACGTTAAGCAGCTTAGCTCCAATCAACAAACTTACAGCTAGCTTCACTCTGTTTCTAATGGATGGATCATCCTGTAAACAAATCATATTTCACTAGAGGACCCATGCTGCTCCGCAGTGTTAAAATAAATATAATATCCGAGAAATAATAAAATTTATGATTTTTGTATTTTGAGATTAACTAATTCAAACGACCAATAGCTCAAATTAAAGCCTTTAATTTACTGATTATTTTGAGTCTAAAACATATAAAAATCATTAACAATACTGGAGGGATTGATTTTTAATCATAGAAAAACCTTATGAAAAATAACTTTTATATTGGTTGTTCACCTTGCGTTTGCTTGAAACTCGTCCTATTTGAATAACTAATAGCTTAAATGAAAGCCGGTATTTCACTGAAGGTTCTTAGACCAAAATGTATAGGATTATATAATTTTACAACTGGTGAAATCCATCTTAAATTGAAGTAAGAATTCAAAAATGAATCAAAGTATGTTTTTTTGGTTAAGTATTACAGTGGGTAAATATATGCCGAAGCTTGATGTGAACTCTTTGCGTGCATACCTTCAATTTGAGACCTCAATAATGAAAATCGGTCTGGTAGAAGAGTCAAACGAACTCGGAAAAGAGAAACCAAATTTAACTCCCATAAGAAATACATGGAGAGCAAATTTCGTTTACGTATAAACCGAGTGAGACTATAGATAATTATATGCCGATGCTTGAAGGCAAATCTGTGCATGCATACCTTCAATTTGGGACCTCAATCATGAAAATCAGTCGGGTAAAAGTGTCAAACGAACTCGGAAAAGAGAAACCAAATTTAACTCCTATAAGAAATACATGGAGAGTAAATTTCGTTTACGTATAAACCGGGTGAGACTATAGATAATTATATGCCGATGCTTGATGGCAAATCTGTGAGTGCATACCTTCAGTTTGAGACCTCAATCATGAAAATCGGTCGGGTAGAAGAGCCAAACGAACTCGGAAAAGAGAAACCAAATTTAACTCCCATAAGAAATACATAGAGGGCAAATTTCGTTTACGTATAAACAGACTGGAACTATAGATAATTATATGCTGATGCTTGATGGCAAATCTGTGCATGCATACCTTCAATTTGAGACCTCAATAATGAAAATCGGTCAGGTAGAAGAGCCAAACAAACTCGGCAAAGAGAAACAAAATTTAACTCCCATAAGAAATACATGGAGAGTAAATTTCGTTTACGTATAAACCAAGTGAGACTATAGATAATTATATACCGATGCTTGATGGCAAATCTGTGCGTGCATACCTTCAGTTTGTGACCTCAATCATGAAAATCGGTCGGGTAGAAGAGTCAAACGAACTCGGAAAAGAGAAACCAAATTTAACTCCCATAAGAAATACATGGAGAGCAAATTTCGTTTACGTATAAACCGAGTGAGACTATAGATAATTATATGCCGATGCTTGAAGGCAAATCTGTGCATGCATACCTTCAATTTGGGACCTCAATCATGAAAATCAGTCGGGTAAAAGTGTCAAACGAACTCGGAAAAGAGAAACCAAATTTAACTCCTATAAGAAATACATGGAGAGTAAATTTCGTTTACGTATAAACCGAGTGAGACTATAGATGATTAAATGCTGATGCTTGATGGCAAATCTGTGCGTCCATTCCATACCTTCAATTTGAGACCTCAACCATGAAAATCGGTTGGGTAGAAGAGCCAAACAAACTCAGAAAAGAAAAACCAATTTTTTTAAATATATAAGACTCTTCAAATTGTATCATGTTTTTACTAGTTATAAGTACAGTATATTTAATTGAATATCTATCCAGTTTAACTTCTGTATTCTTGATTATTATGTCGATATATAATTTTCATCCAAATTAATGTGATTAATCCCAATTTATTTCCTACCTTAAAATATATCACCAGATTGTTGCAGTTTCAATAGTTTTCCAAATTAAAACTGCGTCTTCAGTTAAGTTCCTGCCCTAAAATATCTTTTTAGATTGAAAATCTTTGTTCCTACTCATTTATTGTATTAATTACAAACTATCCACTGCCATTTTTACTGTAATGGTCATTTAAATTTTTTAAGTATGTTCATTTACATTCAGATGATGGTAGGCTTATCACCACTTAGATACTGAAACTATTTACTGAGTGGATTCAGTTTGTGGATTACAACGAGTAGGTACACTAAGACCCCAATTAACCATGGTAAATGGGGCGAAGCTGTTTCAGATAACCTAGTGTTTTGGTATATTTTAATGGTTTCTAATAGTTTAATGGTATCTAATGGTTGGAATTTAAAGGCTGTTTCAGTTCAAAGAGATCTACAGTAGTTGTTTTAACATCATTTTAATTACTGCAAGCTTGAAATCTACAGCTATAGGCTACTGGTACACAAAAAATGTTCCCTTAAAATACAGAGGTTCTTAAGACATTTTCACCATTCATACTTGGTGGGAGGATCAATTTTCTTTCACAATGTTTTCTGATAGTAATGATCATACTTATCGTCCCATAGGGGAAATAATCAGCTACAATTGTAGGGAATAAGGTAAGGATTAAGACGAGCATGCTTGGTGGTAACGGGAGCTCGATGACCTTAATTTACACAAGACGGTAAATATAAAAAAAAATATACAAAAAAGATGGTGAGTGGTGATCGATTTCGATTCGACACTCCAATCATCATCAGACCCAATAGGCAAATGACACTTACCATCTTTTTTGTATATTTACCGTCTTGTGAGTAACAGTATAAGCGTAAATATAATAAGGACAGAATAAATATTATATTTTATTTGGACAGAACCCTCTTAGTTTTCTTAGAATAATTGTGTTTTCCAAACATTATCTTCACTGGGTTGCTGCAACAATGACTGAGGCCCAACCGGGCAAACTACCCTGTTACAGCGGAAAATACCAAGATAATTTCCAATTAATTTGAATTTTTGGACTTTTCCGTAAATCACTACCACTAGTGGAATGTGGTTAGGTTAGTTTAGATATTTCGAGCTCTATACTAAATCTATACCTAACCTAACCAAAGTAAAATTCACTACCACTTCTATTGCTAATAGTAATAATCTACTGCTCTAAAAACTGGTGGTAGTTAATTAACAGAAAAGGTCCAAATTCTTTAACTGTTTTTTTTTAGTTAACCTGGGTTTCCCATTAACATGGTGCAGTTTAAAGAGGCTTTACTATATTACACTCAACATTAGTCTGTGATCTGGATACTGTGAAGTAAAAGGTGTATGATTCATGTACCTTTGGCCAGATGTAGGAGAGCATCCCCTGCAACATTTGTTGGCTGGTTACGGGCTGCTGGGGCATGCTGACAACGTCTCGGGAGAGTGCGGAAATCCCTGGGTGGAAACATGAACGAGTCTGAAGTTGGAACTGTGGAGACCACTTTCTGGGTTCATTATCACTGTCTCTCTAGAAAATATCAATGTGCTTCATAACGCTATGCATTTGCTTGATATATTCAGATTTTTACAGCCTTTTTTCATGGTTTGGCTTCTGGATCCTCAAATTGAGCAAAGATTTATGTGTAAATTACCTGAGCTAATGTTGACCAATCCTATTTAATAAGAAATAACTACAGCTATTTCTTGTACATGAGCAAATCTTCAGGTTTCAATTTCAATTACATCAGCTTCTTAATTATCCCTGTTTTTTAAGTTATACATAGAACAGAACCAACTTGTTTAATTGAAACAGCTGTTAAGATTCAATAATTCCATTTCTCATAAGGTTAACATGGGAAACTCCAGAGCCAATGGGGCGGAGCCCGAAAGGATTTTTGAAATAAGAATATGCCTATATGTTAATCGGGAATGTGAGCTATCATCATGCCAAATTTCAGCCCAATCCGACCAGTATTTTTCGAGTTTACTTTTCCCATACACACATACACACATACAGCAACCACCTCTTTTTTATAATAGTATAGATAAGTCATAAAAGAAACATAATGTGGCACCAGTAAAAGGTAAGTCGCGACTTCTGTGGTCGAAAGCTTTGGCTCCTACACATGCTTCACATCATGTCTTTTGTTTGTTAGGTTGACCAGTATTATTTACTCAATGTTTCGTTTTGAGTGTGTGTGTGTGTGTGTGAATGTTGTGTTTACAATTAATACAGAATAAAGATAAAGGAAAAATATGCCAAAATAGGAAAGAAAAAATTAGTACCTACACTAAGTTTGGAATTAACTGTTTGAAATATTTTAGCATTTTTCTAATGAACTGTAGCTCTGATAAAATTATGTACCTTCAAATGTCTTTAAGTGACTTCCATTATCCCTTAGTAAAATCATAGACTGTAATTGGTCTCCCAGCCGATCACTGATTTCAAATTCAGGACAAAGTTTTATATTGAAATAAGATAAAAATGGAGCAATCTTTAAACTATAGGCCTATTTTCTCCACAGTTCTAAAATACAGTAATAAGATTTCCTTAGAAAAGTTGTATTTATGAAGTGGGAGGATTTAATAAACTGTGAATTTAGCATTTTACTTTTATGGTACGATTCTGTACCATGAATGTTTTAACTATGAGTATGCAAATGCAAATATGTGACTATGTTTGGAATTAACTGTTTGAAATATTTTAGCATTTTTCTAATGAACTGTAGCTCTGATAAAATTATGTACCTTCAAATGTCTTTAAGTGACTTCCATTATCCCTTAGTAAAATCATAGACTGTAATTGGTCTCCCAGCCGATCACTGATTTCAAATTCAGGACAAAGTTTTATATTGAAATAAGATAAAAATGGAGCAATCTTTAAACTATAGGCCTATTTTCTCCACAGTTCTAAAATACAGTAATAAGATTTCCTTAGAAAAGTTGTATTTATGAAGTGGGAGGATTTAATAAACTGTGAATTTAGCATTTTACTTTTATGGTACGATTCTGTACCATGAATGTTTTAACTATGAGTATGCAAATGCAAATATGTGACTATGTCTATTGCAAGATTGTTTTGCTTAAGGACAATAAAGGATTTCTGATTTCTGATATTTACAACTGTTTTAACAAAGGTTGAAAAATAAGCTTATAGTAACTCACTTTAATACCTTTATTTAACAGGAAACTATCACATTTAAGGATTATCAGGAACAACAAATGATTACAGCAGAATAAACTATTATATTAAGCTAACACTGTTGATGAGTGTGACAAACAAATTTAACTTTACCAAGATGCTATGAACTCACAAACATTGTATCATTAGGCTGTTCTGATTGTTTTGTTTAGTAAAATATTTGTATTTTAATGAAGAACAAGAACAACAATATTACAATTTCTAAATGTACCTGATCAACTAAACAGAACATGGTAGGTATTGTAAAAAAAAAGAATACTACCTAAATTACATTTGACAAGAAATTGTTCAAAACTCAAGTGTTGAAGAAAGCCAACAATAAAAAATCTATCATCACATTCTTTTATATCACAAACAGTTTCTTTTTACCTCTAAACACACATTTATTATTGAGTTACATTTATACTGTATAAAAAAATACTCCTGTCAACTACACTAAGTAAACAAAGTGAACAATAAAACAAACCATTCTAATATTTCTTTTCATACAAATTTTTAACTTTATTAAATGAAAATTGACTTTTATTTTTAGTAATAGTTTTAATTCATCATACTAATGCTGTCTTCAAATTATGAATGAATTTGTAATAATCTATATATTAATACGCTAGCAGTTTTCTTTTCATAGTCATAACTCAATACCCGCTCGACGGATTTTAACGTTTGATGGGTCAAATTGAAGATATTTTAACGTAGATAAGCAAATATGTCTCATAATATTAAGAAAGGGCAAGAACAGTTAAGGGTTTAAGTTTCGGAACAGTGGCGCTATCCGTCGTCATTGGATGAAACTCAATTTACTTTGTTTACAACTAAACATATGGACATGGTTTGATATAGTTCTTAAGGTTTATCAAAGACTGCAGGAATAGTGGTCAAAGTACTATGTTTGTACAAAGTTTTAGTTTTAGTTTTTTTTTTTAGTTTTAGTACAAACCTGTCATGTTCTAGTACTAGTACAGTACAAAGTACTTTGTTTGTACTAGTACAAAGTTTACTCTTTGTACAACTTTTACTACTCACTTCCAGAGCAAAGCCAGAATTTATATTTTTGTATTTTTAACATCGGCCTATTAAGTAAGGTTTATTAATACTGTAAAGTATTTCATAACAAGACTTGACAACAAAACAAATTGTTTGTAATACTTAAATTGATTAAGGAAGTTTGGTCGCAAATTTTCATGTCTGATTTTTTGTTATTGTTCAATTGTACTAAAAATTAGAAATACAAATATATAAGAAAGAATTTTATATTTTGAATATTAAGCGAGAAATAGAGCATAAAAGTAGTACATTTTTCATCTTTGGTACCAATTCACAGGGAGAATGGGTGATGCGATTCTCACCAAAATTGCCATTCAGGTGTGGAAAGATAAGATAATAATCACTAGCTATTTAAAACTATAAATTTTAAAATTAAAAAAAAACTTTATAAAAATTAAAAAAAATTAAAATAGCTGTTTGTTTTTGGGGGAAATTTATCTGTATTTTGAAATTTAAAAAATGTGATATATTAACACGTTTGGGCTGTGAATTCGTACCTTTGATGCCTTGCGCTGTCGGAGCACTACTCGTTGAGAGTTTGTACACTAACACAGGGGCTTTAGAATACTTTAACATCATGTAATTATTAACACCTTTTATCATTGAAAGAATACCGTACGTTTATCGTTGTATTCTAAAGCCCCGGTGTTAGTGTACACACTCTCAATGAGTAGTGCTCCGACAGCGCAAGGCATCAAAGGTACGAATTCACAGCCCAAACGTGTTAACATATCACATTTTTTTAAATTTCAAAATACAGATAAATTTTTCCCAAAAATAAACAGCAATTTTAAAAATTAAAAAAAAAAATTAAAAAAAAATTATAATTTTAAATAACTAGTGATTATTATCTTATTTTTCCACACCTGAATGTCAATTTTGGTGAGAATCGCATTATCCATTCTCCCTGTAAATCGGTACCAAAGATGAAAAGTTTACTACTTTCAAACTCCATATCACGCTTAATTCAAAATACACATTTCAAAAAACACCCTTAACATTTAATCGTATTTTACTGAATTATCATGTAGTGTTGGTTACAGTTGTTCAAGTAATTTACAATGTGTATAGTTATTTATCTGAAGTGTTGTTTTCTGTTGTTTGGTTAACTCTTTCGTGGTGTTTTTTGTTTTTTTAGTTTTTTATATATTATAAATTAAATGCCACCTATAAGACCAAGAACTGCGAGTGGAATTGCGAATGTGACCGCTTCCATCACCCTCCCAATGGAACATTAGACGTATACAGAGCGGCAGTACTAGACCGCCAGGGTGCTACATACAACCTCGAACAAATGAAACTTGAATGTTATCATTGTGGTGGATTACATTTTAAGCAAGAAAAGACTGATGGAGACAGTTACACTTTTTACTCTTTGTTATCATACAGAAAAGGTTCGTTTAGGCCTACCTCATTTGTGGAATTATTCATACTTTCAGGAACCTATTGGAAATTCACAATCTGAAAACAGGGCTGTAAGACCTAGACCCGGAGATTATTTGGATAAAGTTTGTCAATTAAATTCCACCTTTGCCATGGTCAGCTCCAAAACTCATATAGATGAGAGTATTACTAACAGGATCTACAATTTCAAGTTCATGACATGTTTTCAGGGGGAAAACAGTTTAACTTTGCGGTGACTTTTGACAAACGCTTCAAGTTCTTCTACATTCATTCAGCAGACCACTATTGTAAAAAACTGTGTAAAATCATTCACGCAGTGGTCAAGCATAAAGAAATTCAGATTAACAATAGAAATGTGTGCTTTACAAGTTGAAGTGGACTTTTAAGTTGTCATTTCCTCCAGAAGCTTTGGTAATGTGTGTGACTTCACAATGATATTGGTCCAGATATTATTGAGTTGCCAGATCAAATAATTGAAAATGGGTCAGTAATTCAGGAAACATATGGTGACATGCAACGATAGATAGGCTATATTGAAACCTTTGGTTTTCAAGCAACAGGTTATCTAGTAGGCTATGTATTAAAAAAGCTCAGAAATATTTTAATTTCTTTTGTAGAAAATAGCAATTTAGATAGTGATTGTTGCTGTAAATATGATTTATTAGCGAATTTCCCTATAGGGAAGTAGCTATTACCGTAGGTGGCATGGTAAGACCTTGGCCCGGGACCGATTTACTTTTTCATTTTGATGTCCCCAGAGGCCAAAAACACAATTTGTTCAAAATTTTATATACAGTATGTCAAAATAAAATAATTATTAAAAGGGTACTTTGTTAACTACCTATGTTTTTGATTTTTATTATATTTGTAGCCCTATAGGGTTTTATGGGGGGTTTTATAGGGTAAAAATTGGTTTTTCTAATTTTTGAACCTCGAAACACAAAATTTCCCAATTTCTCTCCAGACCTTTCTAAAGAGCTTAAAAAAAAAAAAAAATAGTATATCAAAGTGTTTTTTCCTACATTCACCCGACAAAGTTGGTTGCCTTGTACTGTTTATAGTATAGAAAGCTGCTAATTGCTGCATATTTATACTTTGTCGTACGGTTTATACTTTGGCCCACATCAGGATTTCAACGAAACAACACAAAACAGCGTGGTTCTACTGTATTATGCACGTAATCCGTGTACGCTTGGAAATAGGTTGGCAACACTTAAAGATAATAATACTATGAGCAGCTGATTGACTATTATAACTACTATTTAACCTGTCATTTTGTGTTTATAGTTTATGTTCTCTTTTCGGTATTTCTTAACTTTCTGGAATTCTTTTAAACGTTTTTAAAACATTCCTACGATCTTAATAAACAAGAAAATACCTTTTAAGCATTTTTTTAGGAGCCAAAACCACTGCAAATTACAAAAATATATGGAACTATTTTCTCAAGTCGCGGAGCACATTGCTTGCCGAGGAAAATATAGCGGAGTGATATGGACCGGGGACTACTTTCTCTAGGGCACCTATTTGTGTTGCCAACTCAACCTAAAAACGTGTTGTATAGTGTTTGAAACACTAATTATTTATATGCTTTATAGTGACTGTAGGAAAAATATAATGTGTAACACGAGTGCAAAAGGCCTTTGCTGCACTCGAGATCATTCCGCACTCGTGCGTAAACGTTGCTCTCGTGTGCAGCAAAGTGCCACTTTGCTCACTAATTACACAAATAACTATTGTACAATTATTAATCACAGAGAAAATTTTAAAAATTGTTTATTTAAAATTTCCATGTTATTCTTATGGAGAATATTGTAAAATGTTGTGGTTTGCTTGTTTATGGATACAGTAGACTCCCTCTTATCCGGACTCCTCGGGACCGACGCCAGTCCCGATAGCGGGTTTTCCGGTTAAACCGACGTCCCCAAAAACTCATTAAAATGGACTGTTTACTGTGATATTCGACTTAAATTTAGGAGAGCATTGTATTTAGACATGTGATCACTGGTCTCAAATCTTTCCCACGAGAACAGTCATTTCAGTAATGCCCACTTCCTGCCGATCTAGTCCGGTTAAACCAATGTGCTGATAAAAATTGTCTGGTTAAACAGATGTCATTTCCGCCGAGTGTAGTCCGGTTAATCCGATGTGCGGTTAAAAGGTGTCCGGATAAGAGGGAGTCTACTGTATATTTTGATAAAACTTGCTAAATTTATTTATTTTATACTAAGTTATTAATATTTTACTAAAAAACACACTTTTTTACCCTCCCTGTAGCAGCAAGCCTAGGTACTCATAAAACCTTATGTTAATTAAATACATTTAATTGAAAATCAATTCAGGCAAATGGAAATTCACTTAGTTGGCAGGTTTGCCGCGGTAGGGGTATTTCCTTTTGTAAGCAGCATAATAACACTCCACACTTTTGCTTTGTTTCTTGAATTTAAATAAGTTAATGTAGCCAATATTATTAATGAAGACTGTTTTCTATTCAATGACAAGATTTACACGTTCGCTACTAATCAACCGACCAAGTGACGCACATGTGCAGAGAATTCAGGGCCTTCAAATGGACCGTTACGAAGATAAAAGCTTTTTAATAACATTGGAACACCTACGCAAATATGCAGCGTCAGTCTAATTGATTTATTTGATTGGTCTATATGAATGATAAATGTAGTACTATTGTGATAGCAAACATAATTATGGCCATATAAGCTACAGGATGTGACTTAAATTGGTATCCTCTGTAGCTTATCCTTGAATCAAATTAAAATACTCTGACATTCCAAATGAACTAAACTTAGATCAGTACTTAAAATTAACCATAATGTTAAAATAAGTAAAACGGTTGACTATATTTCACTCCAAAAGTGACCCTTTCCGGACAAGATAGTGGTTTACAAGCGAAGGCGAAGCCAAGTGCGCAGAAAACGACTATTGAGCCCTGAAGCACATTTACAGAACACACATTCATGAGAAGTAGTATAATCACACATTCACAAACTGCTTTTTGGTTTTAATTAAATAATAAAATACTATTTCATACAATATTATTGATATTATTCAAAGAATACATTAGTGCTCCTATTAAACAAAACAGAAACTTTATTTGTTAGGGATGGAAAATACCTATGCATAGTATTGTTTTGAACAGAATGTTTAGAATAGGTAGAAACATATGTTTTGGTGGATTGGAAAACTACAATTTTGAAAAGCTTGTAGTTGTAGTTGTAGTTGTATAGAAATGAGCTATTTTCTTATACAGAGTGATACATTATACAGTATGAATAAATAATTAATTGTTATCTTTTTAAATAAAATTTCATATCTCAAAGAGGTGATTTTATTTGATTTCAAGAGCCTATCTGGCAAAGATAACACAGAATTATAGCTAAATTCCACTTTGAGTGAATCAAATTAAAATACTCTGACATTCCAAATGAACTAAACTTAGATCAGTACTTAAAATTAACCATAATGTTAAAATAAGTAAAACGGTTGAGCTAAACCTGCATTATATGCAACACAGACTAAGCAACATTTAAAAGAGTAAGTAGCCCGGACAAGTCCCCTCTGTGAATAGTCAAATATGGCTTGTGATGAAGCTAGATTGAATTGCATAATTTGGGATTGTGTCAATTGATCTGAATTAGATTAACATTAGGAGGGTAAAGGTTTAATTTCGATGAAATTATAGCTTTCATTATAAGCAGAGACTTTTTTTGGACAGTGAAAGAACATTAACATGAGCCATACAACTAGGCCATTGGTTTGTAACTTCAGTTTTCCATCTCAAGACCTACTCTACTTTGAATATTGGTGTTTCTGGAGATATAGCCTTACAAAACAAAAATGTTATAGTACAAAAATATATCACTTGAAACAAATTCGTAAATTGTGGAAGACATAGTATAGGACCCTAAAATGACAGTATAACATATATTATCTTACATGATCATGTTTTAAAATCAAACAATTCTGGTTTTTAAATAGCCTATTAAGATTAAGATTGTCACATCAAGGGTGTTGTTTGAGCTAACATTGAACTAGAACAACTATTACCGGTATTTTAAAACACAATTAACTATAGCCTACAGCATTTTTCTCACAATTACCCAGCACACTTAGATACTCTTGATACAATTCAATGGCCATTAAAAAACTCCCTGATACATTGGAACAAAGTTTGTAATCTTTGGCATGTTTCATTTCTTGAAGTTGTGTTTGAATTTGGTGTCTTTTCTTCTCGAGCACGAGCTTACCAATTTTCCAAATGTCACCCAATTCATTGTTAGTAAAACTGTTAGAATACACTTTGAGCTGAATAGTCTTGTGGTCAACTTTTTCAGAGGACAACAACACATAAATGAGAGCTTTTAAGCTCCAAGACAAGCCATCGGCACTCAAGTACATGTTAGTCAAAAGATCATGAGATTTTAGAAAAGAATAAGTCTTTTTAGAGGTACTAGTTTCCTGATTTTTACAAACAATTGTAGAGTAAACCTCATCAAAAGTGACTTGGAGCGTGTCATGAATATTATTACTAATGATAAAACCATACTCCAAATAGAGTTTCAAGTTAGCGTGATCGCCGTAGTGAATGAATACTTGTGTATTTTTTCTGAACGGTGTAGACGTTTGTATTCGATAATGACCGTCCACTTCACTGACAAACGCTTGAACTTTGGCGTCATTGGAATGATTGAACATGTCCAAGTAAGGTGCAAGTGCCAGACAGTTTGAATCTGATAACTTCAACTGGTGATCACTGTTGCGTTCGGGACAGATGTACACTGCTCGGGAGTTTATTATGAACCAAGCCCAGATAAAACTATCAAATGTAAATATTTTAAACACCGAAATATCACAATGAGGACATTTGTCGTTTGGGGAGAAAGATTCCACTAACTCTTGAAACAACAATCCGATGTTAACTTTAAAACTGTTCACTTGGCTTGTCACTTCGATAGGGAGAACATCTATTTCCGCACTCGATGTAAACACAGGGGTTGCTATGTTCTGTGGTAGAGAACCAATGTATTTCACCCAGAATGACTCTTTACCCAAATGTGTCTCTAATGCCAGGTGAGCTGCTAGTACCTGCTGCGAGAGGAAACGTCTCCTCTTAAACAACCAACCGAACAGTGATTTGGAAGCAGTTTCAACAGTCATTAAACATTTACCGGGTATACTAACAATGATGTCACCTGTTGAGATGCCTTCTCTGGTCAACAGTCCACGGCCCGTAGTCGGAAACATTGCTGGCTTCAGTTTCAACATTTTACACCACCCGTTCCGTTTCAACCACTGCACTAGCTCTCGGAATCCTTCATCCTGGTTCAGTGAAGCTACTCGTACGGAGGTTTTATTCTTTCTCTTTCGTTTTCTCTGAGTTCTCCCCATTATGAGGTATTACAGTCTTCAAGTATCTGAAATGTGCATCTTTATCTCACATTTTTTACAAACTACATGTAAAAATCAGACTAGGCTAAAACTTGTCAACTAAATTATCATGGGATATACAGATCAGTTTTTTTTTTTTTTTTTTTTTTTTTTTTTTTGAGGAAAGAGCATTTGGTTTAGGAATACACTAATAGTTCGAGCAAATAAGTTCAAATTAGGAAAAGTAGAGGAACAAATCTATGTATTCCCAATTTTTTCAAAAATGTGTTGGGGAGGGTCCCCTAATGAATATATGATAGGTGAGAATAAAATCACCCAGCCGCTCTCTGGTGGTGGGAGGTGTAAATGCCCCAATTTGCAGTTTTTTGCTTATAACTTGAAAATGGTGTGTCGTAGCTTAAATTGTTCAGCGTAAAAGTTAAAGCTTATTAAATTTGCTACAACTTTGATCTAGTAAAAGACGCATAGTTTCTGAGATATTCGTGCTCAAAAAAAATATAATGTTCGAAAAAAGATTTTCACCTAACATTTTTCGTTAAAATCTTATTTTTCTCCTCCCTTGTTATTTTTCAGAAATATGAACGGAAATAAGGTTGTAGATAATTAAATTTACTTCAATAATATATACAAATATATAAATAGATAAGATTTAGGTATAAATTTACAGCGTTTTTAAGATTAAAAGAGAAAATCACGAATTACACAAATAGTCGCAAAGTTTTGATTTTTTATCATTGCACGATTTGTATGGTTTCTGATAATTGGTCAGGCCAAATATAAGTATATTTTAGGTAAAAATTGACAATTGTTATGTAAATAACAATTTTACAAAATAAAAAGGTTATCTATTTATTATGATGATGCAAGTTAAAACAATTAAAACATACCAAATAAATTCATATTTAATTATAGAACTAATTTTAACATTACTAAGGTAACATTAGTTCTATAAACAAATATTCTAGTTCTTGCCACTGAGAAATACATGGAGCAGCGACAGAAGATAGATTCTACTTTTAAACAGTAAACAGGTTACAAACCATATTTTCAGGTAACTATTAGACTAATTTTGATTCCCCTAACAGGAGAGGTTTACATTACTTATTATACCATTTTATATCTTAAATATGCTTATGTTTGGCTTAAATAATTATAAGAAACCATACAAATCATGCAATGAAAAAAAACAAGACTTGGTAATTATTTGTGTAAATCACGATTTACTCTTTAATCTTAAACACGCTGTAACTTTTACCTACATCTTATCTATTTACATATTTGTATATATTATTGAAGTAAATTTAATTCTCATCACAATTCTTTCCGTCAATATTTCTGAAAAAATAACAAGAAAGGAGAAAAATAGGATTTTAACGAAAAATGGGAGGTAAAAATCTGTTTTCGGACATTATATTTTTTTTTTTGCGCAGATATCTCAGAAACTATGCGTCTTTCACTAATAATATATATGATCAAAGTTGTAGCAAATTTAATAAGCTTTAACTTTTACGCTGAACAATTTAAGCTATGACACACCGTTTTCAAGTTATAAGCAAAAAACTGCAAATTGGGGCATTTACACCTCCCACCACCAGAGAGCGGCAGGGTGATTTTATTCTCACCTATCATATATTCATTAGAGGACCCTCCCCGACACATTTTTGAAAAAATTGGAAATACATAGATTTGTTCCTCTATTTTTCCTAATTTGCTTGGGCTATAAGGAAGGAGGAATGGATAATTGTGTTGTTAACATTTGTGTGTTATTAACTGCCTGGAACTCTTCTCTTGGGTACGTTAGTAGTAGGACACAGATGAGAAAATGCTTTTATAAGAAGGCCTATATAGTCCTAATCCATACAAAATTGATATAAAGAGTTTTGGTAACATTACTCAATCTAGCTTCCTCGCTTGTCTAACTATGACTGATGGATCAGTTTATTAAGTTATCAATGTTCATCTGTATTTTTGTAAAACCCCTGAAACATGTAATGAGATCAACTAACTACACAAACTGTCCAAGGGGTGTTGGCTTCATTGTCAATACATAGCCTAACTTAAACAGGCCCACTTTTATAACGGGCAGACTGGGCATATGCCCAGGGGCGCTGGTGGTTGAGGGGCGTCTGCCAGGTGTCCCCTATCCACCACCCGCCTGCACTAGGAAAAAAGGGGGCGCTGCTTTTTGGTTTGCCCAGGGCTCCACTGACCCTTAACGCGGCCCTGAACTTAAACAGACTCTTAAATGGTATTTTGCAGTCTTTTTATCAGTGTTTTAAAAACATTCTCGATATAACAAAAACTAACAATTGGGTTCATTATAACCTAAACGTTACCATACCAAATCCAACCTACCTTCAAAGGACTTAAATACAAATTCGCAAAAGAACAACCTTATTTTTAAGGTGTGACAAAATTAAACCTTCTTAAAAATCCCATGCGTCCGTAACCCGAAATAAGTAGGCTGTGCCCCTAAAAGACAATAGCCTATTTATCATAGGAAATAGGAAGTTTAGCCTGAGACCAAACATAACATAGCCTACTAGAATTACAGAGCTCGAGCAAATTCATAGACAAATTCCTCACAAATTTTGGACCAATATATGATTCAACAGTTGAACCACATATTTACAATCCCCAGGCCATTTCCATAAAAATAAATGTACATACAGTACAGACAATTCAAATAGGCATTGTTGAACATCAAACCACTAGAGAGATGGACATATCCACAGAAAAACTCAGAGTAGCCTAATTATAATTTAGAATTAAATATGAATACAACTCTGTGTACTTGGCAAATTATGTCAACAAGATGTGCAGGGTTATTAAAAAAGAATGGTGCAAAACTAAATGGTTGGTACAACCGTTTCCGTGATTTCAAACAGCTGATTGTTACACAAATAGAAAGGGTGTGTCTATAAGTTTCTATAAGTTTGTTTTGACAAGACTGTGTTTTGTCTCAGTTACTTGGTTGTATACCACGGAATCAACAAATGGCTACTACAAAACAAGAAAAATAATTTCATGTTTTACAATTTGCTCTTAATAAATTTGCTACAAATAGAGTTCACCGAAACTTTGGACCCAATTTAGGAAGGGGGCTCCACGTCGAAAATGCATAGCTTGTTGTATGAGGCAATTCGACAACTGGATGCTTATGTCCCGGGAAGAGTTAGGGCTGTCCTGTCGCCAGACGCTGTGAATAGTATTGAAGCTAGATTACGCACCTTGACAGTCAAATCTGGGGAGGGAACCTGTTCACTTACCGCAGTCAACGGATTTACACAAACGTTTGAGACAAAACCCTTACAAAGTGCAGTTATTATAAACATTGAAGCTTACTAACAAGCCAAAGCTCACAGATTTTGCCATGATAGGTTCGGTTCTTGTTGATATACTTTGATTTTGTGATAGGCTTTGTGGTACTCAAATAAGCAACTGAGACAAAACATAACCTTGTCAAAACAAACTTATAAACTCGCCCTTTCCATGAGACAGTCAGCTGTTTGAAATCATGGAAACAGACGTACCAACCATTTAGTTTTGCACCATTAACCCTGTATGACAGTTTTATAGAAACTTTAATGTATCCCTTCAACATTAGCTGTCCATTAGTTGGCCTAACAATAAAGTAAAAGTAAAAAATATGAAAAGGTCAAAGTGGATTACAGCAGACATTCAAACATCAAAAGAGGAAATGTCCGAGCAATAGCTTAGGCCTACTCTATCTGTAAGCTCACCAAATCAGCTCATGATAAGCATAAGAATATAGAACTCTAACACAAGTTGGCCTATTGGGAAAAAATCTCAAATGGGGAAGTTAAACTGGGCTCAGGAGAGCATAACCATAGCAAAAAATAAAAAGGCTCTTGGAATGCAGTTAAAAGCTTAAACAAACAAAAAATAACACCAACATAACCTTGAAAATCAATTATCTCTGCCAAGTAGCAGAAACTTTTAACAGTTATTTTGCAAAGATATCAACTCTTGTAAATGGCATAAATTTACGTTTCGGCTCTGACTTTATACCATCCGTCCAAGTCAACTTCCCCCACCCACCAAGGAACTCAGAGTCGCTTGTAACGTTGTGCAGGGTTTAGCTATTTTTGCGTCAGTAATTAATTTTATATTTTTCAGTGACGTAATTCATAATTTTTACGACTGTATACCTTTTAAGTGTGACTTAAGGTGTAGTGTAGTTTCAATACTTTAACGAATGTATACCAATAACTGATAGACTATAGCTATAATTCTAAACACCATGGTTTAGCACGCCCTTAAAAAAACCATTTGCTACCCATTTGTTATCATTTGCTTGTATTGTGTGCTTACCATTTGTTACCTTAGGAATAAGAGCATTAGCTCCAATCAGGATGAGTTAAAGGATGAAATAAAGAAAGTAGAACAGGATTTGGCTAGTAACGGATACCCTTGATCCAATATTTAAACAAATGCAAGAAAGATAGGGCTACGCCTGAACCTTAACAAAATCGCAAGGATTCGTCCACATGTCAATCCAGTATGTGTCAGGGCTATCGGGAAAAATCAGAAGGGTTGCTATGAAATTTAATGTGCAAAAAGCGTTTAGGACATAAAACACACTTAGGCAGAGTCTCGTCAAATCAAAACCCAAAAATGACACTCAGGATACTAAAAACTGTGTTTACAGAATAAATTGTAATGATTGCTCTAGGCCTTATTATGGCGAGACAAAAAGACCATTGAACACTAGAATCAAAGAAAACAGAGAAAAGACAAAGATGCAAACAAATCATAATAACAAGACATACTGTAATGACAATATTCATAAATAGTGCATAGGCCTACAATAGTGATTAAAAATCGGACTCTGAACAAACCAAAAATAAAGAAAGAACCTAGCATTACAAGAAAATGTACAGGTGGTTAACGAGCAAAGACATACGACTGATATAGGCCTAGACACAAGACGCATACGAAACATAATAAACAAGACAAAATAATAATACTAATAAATAGTGCATACAATAGTAACAAGTAGACTCTGACCAAAACAAGATGCTAGCATCACAAGAACAGGATCAACATGAACGAGAGATAATGTGTAATTTAACCAAGTTTGATCATAAAAAAAACAGCGTTTACGTGACAAAAATAACCTCAAAAACACCGCACGTTGATATTAATTTGCTGTGTCTCATGCATTTATAATGTCTAAGTTAGATGAATAAATATCATGAAATTTCATCGGTGCCGCAAAACGTCGTAGTTAGTGAACTTTAGTCTGTAATTTTATTCTTATTTTTGTGTGTTTGTGTGTGTACAATGAACTGTGGTGACAAGGATGATCTCCTGATTTCAAAAAGGTAAATTTATGCCCAAAAATATTTATCTAACTGTACTATATAGCCATATGTATTTGAAATAGTATAATAAACCTTGTTTTACCAATTTTCGTATGTTGTTACCGTGAAATCTCAAATGATTTTTAGTATGCCTACAAAATAAAATAATAAGGCTAAGTTATAACTCTTAAAACTGAGAAAAAACGGAGTGGTAATATTTACAAAGGTAGGCCTGTACCAACAGTTGTTACACTCAATGGCTGTGACAGGGAACAGGTGTTGAAAAATTACTTTTTTACCTAATTATTTGGTACTTAAAGAGGATTTGTAACACAAAATAGGTAACTAATAGGCTACTTATTTTTTTATCCTAACAGATACATTATCACTAAATCTAAGTAAAATAGGCCTAATATTGAAAAGTTTTTATTAAAAAATCAATTAAGTTTTTTTTTTAATTAGCAAGGTTTTGAAACTATGTTTATTGCAATGTAAGTAGGCCTAATATTTGTTTGGTTTTTTAAACCAGTTAAAATAAGATAATATGAACATTAAGTAGGCCTAACGAAAATGATATTTAACTTATATTTTAAAATCTTATTCAATGCCGTTTTTAAACATGTCTATAATTTTAAAAAAGTAAAATTTATGACGGCATAGGCCTACCAATGAGTGTTACAATTTGAGGTATACCATCCGTTACTAGGGATAAGTAAAAAAACCCTTGGGTGTTAGGGAGATGGAGATTGCTCCATTGAACTTCTCGTCCCAAAAATAGGGAGGACACATAATTTCAGTCCCCTAACATCATTGGAATCAACTCCCAAGAGCATACGGTAGCCTACATGTTCACTAACCCCCTTATAAGTCAAAAAGGGGGACTGGTAGCGGGATAGCGATTCTTCTCGCCCCAAAAATAGGGCGGACATATAATTTCAGTCCCCTAACATCTTTACAGGAGCATACCAACTCCCCGGAGCCACACACATTACCCCCTAATAAGTCAAAAAGCCCCGGTGCTGGGGGATTGTTCAACTGAACTTCTCACTCCAAAAAGAGGGCGGGACACATAATTTCAGTCCCCTAACATATTTGCAACATGTGGGCAAGATAAATAGTAAAACAATGTTGTAACTTATTTGTAAATTAAGGAAAAACACAAAAAAAAAATATTAGGGGGCATTTCACCCCCATGAAAGTAAAAATGAGGGATTGTAGATGGTTCCATTGAATTCCCCGCCCCCAAAATATTTTACTACCTGGGAGCATATCTTACTAGGTTTGGACTGGCTTTACTAGGTTTACTGGAAAGTGATATGGACCGGTGACTAGGGCCTACTTAACTTACTCATATTTAAGTGTAGGCCTAGTGTAATTAATTATTGTGTCATTAATTTATTATGACTAGTGCACCTGTTGCTCGAATTCGAGCAATTGCAAAGTATTACAGGTGTTATTTCAAAACGAATAACAGCCATAATTATTTCCGATGACTTAAAAGAGTAAACTCAAAGATGATGTAATCAATCACTCCATTCCAGTTTTTGAAACTGAAAACAAATGCTCTTGTGTATCATGTGTTTACTATGAACAGCTGTAATTAATACAAATTATTTGTCTGTTTAAGTAAACAAAATCATTTTTTCATAAGAAATACATTGGGATTTTGATGGCTTGTGGGGCAAAGCCCGAGGACTTTTATTACAGGAATTGGTGAAAGGGGGTGTCTACACAAAAAATACTTAATTTCGACACATTGTTTGTAAAAATCTGTCCATTATTAACGGAGGAATAGTGTTTCGTATAAATTGCCTTCACGTATTATATATAAGGATTGTTTATGTTATTTTTCAAATTCTCTTGTCATCAAATTAACTACGCCAAAGTTGTTATTCCAAAAGATAACACTTATTATAGCCACGAACCTGCATAAACCCTGACCTGCCTTCCCCATATGCCTAAATAAGATCATTCATTGTTTCAGTTTCAATTCAACCCAGTGGCGGATCCAGAGGATGGGCGAAGGAGCGACCGCCCCCCTCAGGCATACATTTATATAGTTTGACTGCATGTAAGCCTACACATTGCTTAAAATAATTTGTCACACTAACTTTGGACAAAGATATGGTATAAAACTGCCATTTTGGAGAATTAGTTTACACACCCCTGAACCCCCCCAGTTCGACCCCCCTTGTGACTGTTCTAGATCCGCAACTGATTCAACCAAAGAAGATCCGTAACACTTCATTTCTTGTTAAGTTAGTAGGTGTGTGATGTGCTCCGCGTCTTAAATAAATGTTTTTAAGGTATTTTAACATTTATTAGGATGGTAGGCTATAAATGGTTTAGGAAGGTTTAGAAAAAAGTCCAGAAAGTTCAGAAATACCCAAGTAGCCAAGTAAATATTTAGAAATTTACCCAGCAGCCTCGGCCTGTAGGCCTATGGGTTAATTTTTTGTTACGAAAAACTAAGATCTATGAGCTAGGCCTACAACTAACTACCGAAAGAGATAGGCCTACCCTCAACTAGGCTTAGTCAGCTTACGTTACATACCTCAAGAATAGATCTGTTCATGGGAAAGTAAAGCAAGTTTTTATCCCCATTTTGTCTCCTCCAAAGGCTTAAAGGGCGTCTAAGTGGTTTCCATAGTTCGACTTTAACCAAGGAAATGTTATAAATAGCAGGAATCTCACGACCTACTTGTTTACAAAGTATTAATTCCTTTAAAATTAATAACTTAGACATTATCTAGAATTTAGATTATAATCGCCGATTTCACAAATTTTGACGATGAAGGATATAAGTTAATTTATCAACATTAATGTTCTTTAAAATTATGAAAGATTCCTTGCATCTTCGTGACGTGATTACTGATTAGACATCACTATCACTAACAGTAACAACAGTAACATTCGCGACTACAATCACAATCACCAAAATTTTCCTCATACATACATACATATGCCTAACCTAACCTCTAAACAACATATTATTTTAAAGAAACAAGAAAAAAACATTATTCTATTTCCTTCTTGTTTTCTTTCCGGCAGAACTCACTAGTTGCCGTGAAGCTGCAGAGTCGACCGTTGCGCCTTGAGACCGTTGTGGAAACCTTCCACCATGGGAAAGACCAGTGTTGCCTAAAGTATTAATACAAATAAAGCACTAATTTCATAGCTTAAATAATATCCCCTTAAATTAAAGCCAATTAATTACAGTTGATTCAGATGGCATCCACTATCAGAAGCACGATGGGAGTATGTTTTATCTATGATGATACCAAACTCAATGATGATACACTGACTTGCTGTATTTTGAGTGGCTTGTTGAAACTGTTACATTATTCATTTCCTTTTGACTAGAATTAGAAAGCAATAATTTGTCACAAATCTCCAAAGAGTCATATTCCTAAAGCTCCAAAAAATTGAGGATTGTAGGAGTTTTATTTTAATGCAGCGAGACGGTCGTCTTCTGATGAGGAGGGTAGTCATGGTGGAAGCTTCCACCATTGAGGGTAGTAGCACGGCTGCCTTTAACTCCAGGCCGCGGGCTTCGAAGTGGCAACGTCGCAAATGGGGTTGTAACAGCTGTTTTGTTTGGAAGCAGCTTTGTGTATTTATGAAAGCTTGGTTACTACTGCTTGGTTTGGACTATAACAATATTGACTTTGCTTAAAATGTACAGATATAGATTTGCAATTCGTATTGTTTCGGTTTTCAATTCTGTATGTTTTATTTTTAATATTTTAATAAATTTATGTTCATAAATTTAAATTTAAATCAATCAAGTGCGAATTAATGAGCTGGGGCCCTATTTTTGAAATGGTTGACTGTTGAGTTGAGTGTCGAGTCATTCTATTTCCAATCGTTTCGTATTTTTGAAACGGTTGACGGTGGACTTATACAACCAAAACTACTCAACACCTATCGAGCTGTTGAGTGGAGGTTGACTGCACTTTCTTCTTCCTCTCTTTCGGCAAAAAATTACTCTTTTTGAGACGACGCCATATTGTTTTGTTATTGCTTTAATTTACTAATTGCGATTTAGAGGTTATGTATTTGTTGTCAATGTATTAGCACCCAATTATGCGATTGTTTACTGTAGAATAATCGCATTTTAATTTTATTTACTGTGTCAATACTAGACTATTTAATCAAGGGTTTTATTCTTGTTGGAATGTTTGAAATAGACTAGGCATACTAATTGAACTTATTATAAGATAATTATTGTTATTAGACCTATGATTTAAGGTATTAAAGATTGTGGTAGAGAGAAACAATATCATAGTTTGTTTCAATACCATTCACCTAATAAAGGGATCAAATTAATTTAAGTTACGATATGCTTTCAGTGCAATGGCAAATAGCCGCTTTAACCTAAATAAAAAACAATTAAAAATAACATAAAACAAACCGATGAAGGAAACTAAAATAAGGTGATGTGTTCCGAAATAGAGACGAAGAAAGCAAATAATAATGTATTTAGGATGAGTGTAGGACCTAAAGTAAAGTGCAGCCTATGCCTAAACTTATAATTAGCTACACCCTAAAACAAACATCCATAGTAAATTTTATTTTTTATACTTAAGTTTATTACTTTATTTAGTGTACTTTAGTTTATTACTTAAGTTAAGGTACTTTGCAATCACTAAGATTAAGCAAGACATAACCTCAATCTCTCAAGAACGGAGTTGGCAGTTTACCTCAGTGCCTCGAAATATGGCAGATTGAGATTAGGCCTAGCTGCCAGATTTTAGAGTAAGAAGAGGTTAAATCGAAGTCCGCAAAACTCTGCATTGTGATTGGTTCAAAATGACGTCATCTGAATTTTTGACGGTCGTATGCTCTACATTTCCACCACGAGTTTCTCAACTAGTGATTCCCAACTCGCTTCCCAACTGTTGGGTTTCAAAAATACCAAATCATGTTGTTGGTTGAGTTGAGTGCTGACGATTGACTCAACTGTCAACCATTTCAAAAATAGGGCCCCTGATGTCACCGGTTTGCCATGTTATCTTAAGGGACTTCCGGCGCTAGACAACACCACCGACGTTGTCAATTCTACCAGGCCGCGGCCTGTTGTTGAAGGTGGCCGTGGGCACAGGGGTCCATACGGTCAAACAATTTTCGGGGATGTGAAAAAGTTGACACATCTTTATTCAATGATAACCAATCTGTTCCTGTTCCGTACCACCGTACTGTATTTGTTTCTCTGTACTCTAATTCTGTTTTACCATGTTTTACTCTTCTTTCTTGTTTGTTATTTTCATCCTTCCCATTCCGTCATTCCATTTCGATTTAAATCCCATTCTCCCATTGTTCATTGGTTCATTCCATCGTTCGTTCTTCTTCATTCTTCATTCTATGTTCTGTTCTGTAATGTTGATGTGTTCCGTGTTCCGTTTCGGGTTTTGAGTTCGGAATTTTATTCTATTGAGAATAATGCCATGTTCATTGTTCAACTGGTTAATATTGTAATGATAATATACTACAAATATTTTAGGTAAGTTACGCAGAGGATAATATTTTTATGTCAACGTCGGACCTTATATCAAATCACATTTTTATTTATTTTTGCTCAGGGATGGATTGCCATCATCAGAACATAACCTCTGATATTTTCGGTTCTTCAGTTTCCAAAAAAGTAGCCTATAAAAAATAGCTTATTACAGTTTTAGTTTTGTTATAAGGTTTATTCTTGTTATGTTTACGCTATTTTACTTTTAAGATATAGGCTAGATTTATGACACAATATCTCTCCAAAACTGAACTTCCAAATCTGAAGTAACTTATAAACTAGGCTAGGCCTAATATACGGTAGGCCAGGCACAGGCTAGTCTTGTCCAATCAAATCTGGTCTAACATTTATTGCCAAACTCTTCAAAACAACTTCAAACCTACTTGAATACGAGTATAACTTAGAGGTCTGCCCACCAGATAGTCTCTCAGGGTGTCCTTGAAGGCCCTAATGTCCAGCTCGCGCACTTCAATTGGGAGCGTGTTATAGAGCTTAGGCTACTTGTGTAGTAGGGGTAGCCCTTTTGAGTCCAGGCTAGTCGGCATCTAGATAGGTCAAGGAGATGGCCATTTTGTGTTTGATAGGAATGCTGGTCCTCACGTCGAGTAAGTTTTGCCAAATTTTCTTTAAGTAGCACCATGCTATTTAACCCTCCAAGTGTCCATAGTTTAGGCCTTAATGTCCACCTATTTTTGGCGCATTTGCAAGGTTTTATTAAAACGGATCTGAGAAGCTTAAAACAATGTTAATTCTAATGTTCTATATACCATTTTGTTTGGAAAATCATGGGCTTCAATATTATATATAAAACATAAGGAACATTTTTTCAAAAAAAAAATTTTTAGGTAAAAAAAATATAATTTCGAAAATTTTCAAAAAAAATAATAAGTTCGCGCTCAATGAAATTGTATAAATTATAGGCCTATAAATATTTGAAAATAGCCACTTTGTTCTAAATTTTATGAGGATTACAACTATATAATAATATAAGGAAGTATATTTGCAAATAAATAAGTTATGGGCAAAAAACTGATTTCAGTACATAGCGTTTAGCTAAGAATGCATAGCCTAACCATAGCTAGGAATCTGGCTGATAATTTACATCAATATCACTACCTACTTCTTCAGGATCATCAACCAGCACTTCAAAACCACTTAAATCTTCTTATAATGCACCACGTATATCACTACTTTTGATTTTTAACACTAAAACAATGATAAACGTAATAAAACACATCAGTCATCGGTCCGGGGGAACCTAGCTGTTTACAAATACACGCACGTCAGCTGTCTGCTACAATATTTTCGGAACTAAAATGAATAGCGCTTAGAGACAGACCTCTGGAGAAAGCTTAGAATATTACGGAAAGAACGATACCTAACTCGATCCAGTTCAATCCGATTCAGTCAGTCATAGAGCCTTCGCCGTAAACGATGTCTGCATGTCGAAAAATCGACAAGTAACACTACACAAAGTGTGCTGCTTGTCGAATTTTCGTCAAGTAACACTGGGAGGGTTAATTCGTACTGGCTGTAGATGGTCAGAACCTTTAGGGGGTACAGTTTCTTAACTGGGCTATGCTAACATTAATTGAAACTATCGATTCGATTAGTAAATCTTCATGCGATTTTTTCACCATCAGCAAGTTTGGTTGGTTAGGTTAGGTTATGATAGTTTTATTTTATAATAGATTTATTTAAAACTATCGATTATTAATCAATATTTTCAATTTGATAGTTTCAATCAATATTAGCATAGCCCAGTTAAGAAACTGTACCCCCTTTAGGTCTTTGAAGATAGGCCTAGACAGTGGTCACGATGCCCGGCAGACGTAATCGCTCTCAAAGCCATCTTCTGAAGAAGCAAGATGTTATGTGCTGCAGCTGTATGGCCCCAGAGTGCAATGCCATAGCTTACATGGCTTTGAAAGGAGATAGATCACTCTGGCAAGCTTGACACATACCTGGCTAATGTGGTATTTCCAACCTAACCTGGAGTCGATCCAGAAGCCAAGGAGTTTAACAGCTTCCTCACCCAGATGGTTTGGTTTGAGTGTGCACAGCAGTGATTGAGTCTTCTCGTCATTTATCTTTAGCAAATTCTGGATGAACCACTCTTTGCACTAGCAAGAAGGCATTCTGCACAGTGCGTATTTGGTTTAGGTCCCTGCCTCTCGTGATCAGATTGGTGTTGTCTGCAAATATAGTATGGTTTGATTGTTTAAAGATAAATCTTTATGACGATAGTAAAGAGGAGGGGGCCAAGGACCGAGCCTTGGGGGACTCCGTGTCTTAACAGCTTTACACCAGATGTTGCACAGCCGTATGAGACGACTTGCTTACGACCTTCAAGATAGGAGTTAATTGTCTGCAGGACCACGCCAGTTACCCCATACTTCCTGAGCTAGGACAAGATGATTTCATGGGACACCACGTCGAAAGCTTTGCTTAAGTCACACATGTTAAGCAGGACTGAATCTCTGGCTTCAAAAGCATCGGTGATTTGGTCGACCAGGCTAACCAGGGCTGTCGTGGTGGATCGTCCCTTTCTAAAGCCGTGCTGGGCATCTATACGTAGGCTATTTGACTCAAAATACTCAATCAGCTGTACCTTCATTACAGACTCGATTACTTTTTTAGAGAGCAGGCAGCAACCATCCCTCAAACTTGTCTTATATGATTATTATAATAAACCAAAACAGCATTAAACTTATTTAAGTAACCTCAAACACAAGCAAAACTTTGTCTATGTGTAGGCCTTTGTAGATTCAATTCAATCCATTTATTATGATAACACCATTTTACATAAAGGTAACTGAGACTACAATTAATTAAGCTATAACTTAATGAACTAATATTCACTTAACAACAAATAAGTAATTGCTAAGTTATAGGCCTATGATTAGTTCTAACTAGACAACAGAAAGAGTAGACTTCCGTATCTGTTGTCAAGAACAACCGAGAAAATATCGATCGATAGGTTTATATCAATTAATCAATTGTTTCATTTGATATATTGAATAATAGATATATATATCGATCGATATTTTCATTCGGTTGTTTTTTACAACAGATAACTTAAGCTATGTAGGTAGGCCTAAGCGTACGCCAACAGAAAAAGATATTCAATGATAAAAATACAAACAATAATACATTTTGGGAATTCAATAAGTTCGGTAACAACAAAATACACAGTGTGAAACTCCCCAATCAAGACTAAAGTCGTCTAAGTTAACATGATAAAAATAATCCAAATCATCTGAGATCATATATTTTTAAGCCTTTCTTGGGTGGGAGGCATAAGTGATAACACCTAAATAACAAAACAACGTTAGTAGGCTACCGGGTAGGTGTCCATGGGCAGCCTGCAGTAACTTAGAAGAATTTCATCAATGAGAATTAACTTAGGCTATTCAGTCTCAGGCTACATAAGTTAATCAATAATTAGCCCTCTAAAGAAAAAAAAAACTTGCTGGCTTAACAAATATGTTCAGTAACTTAGGATTACGACTTAAGTTAGTTAGGTAGGATTTTAATTTTTTTTATCTAAGGAAAGCCACATAAACCATTGCCATTTTCCTGGATTAGCCTATAAACATTTTGTGATAATTTAGAATAACTTAAACTTATTTAACTTAAGTTACTTTCCAATAACTTATGAGATAAAATCCCTGCTATGCCTCTTGGGAATCTTAATCTCAATCTACTGTCTGTGCCAAAATTATGTATGTAGATTCGAGATTACGATATCACACCTCCAAAACAGCTTGTTTGATTTTGACGAGAGACCTATCAAATTACCTAAAAAAAATATTGTCAAATTTTATATTCCGGCAATTTTTTTCATTTTACTTCACTATAATTATAGCGAAAAAATCGGGAGTATTTACCATTGTCGATAAAATCTTAACTTTGGACAATTATTACCAAATATTTAACTATTTACCGTATGAACTTCAAGTTTTAATGGTAGCCTATTTATTGTTGTTAAATTGTTTATAAACATTGTTGTCAAGTTCCAAATTTTGTAAACCCTTGTTAACTTGGGCCGAAAATTCACGTTCAAAGCGCCATTGTAACTATTAATTGTTCGTATGAACAAAAAATATAGGCCTACACACCTAGTCTGTAAATTATAAAAATTAACAGTGATTTATAATGAGTTTATATTTGTTAAAACGTTTTTATTCCCCCACACGGGGATTGATTTGTGGGAATTTCGCTGCGGAAGGCTCGCTTTCCCCGTGGCCAGGAATGCGATGTTGCCATTTTGTGCATTAAAACACAGATCCTCGCTCAAAAATATTCAAACATTTCCCATCAGCTTTTCTCAAGAGGGTTTTGGACTCCCAATGGTATTTTAAAATGTATTTTATCTTTATACTAGTTAACAGCCCGTGCTTCGCCACGGGAATAATGTCAGCAATAAAAAATGTTGATGCATATTCCGTGGAGATCCAATAAATGAATAAAGGCAATATTATTTGTTTTCCAACAGCATTGTCCTGAAGACCACTTCTTTTGTACACAAAGTCAGCAATATTCAGATAAAGATCAGCACGTAGGCTGTTTTGATTGAAACAAATATAGTTTAAACGTGTGCCCTCAATCCTACAATACATGTCCACTGTCCATTGCAGGTAGAGTTTTTGTGATCTATGCAATAGGCTGAAATCTGGACGATTCGCAAGCTGATAGGATGCGTACTGCAGTAATGTAGTTTTTTTACGTTGATTTACACTACAACGGTCATGTTCTGTTTGGGGTTTCCATCCAAAGTCACCATATGGTAACAACAGAGGATAGGCCAATGGGTCTAAAGATGGCTCAATCACAGAAATTTTACGAACACCATTAGATCTTGAATATACTCTTAAGTTTCTCTCACCAGGGGGTGCACCATCTTCTGACCGGAATATAACAGCCACATCTGTTTGAACGGCATCGTTGTAGCGTCTCCTGTCACACAGTTTGTCTTCCACTATATGCATAAGAATTTCAGAGTCATATTTACAACACATATCTGCCATAGTTCTAAATGAAGATTTTAAGGGATTGATGGAATAAAGATATTCACTTAAATCATGCATCAGCAGTTGGTCGCATTTCACATTGGACCTTTGACCCATTCTGTGAGTAACAGCGGTGTGTACGTCGTATATATAGAGTTGGGCATACTTTGGTTCAATGTTAGAGGGTATTAACGGTCCAATCCGATGGTAAAAGGAGTCATGGATCTTAAAGTTATATATAGTTTGGATAGTTAAGTTATATCTAAGTGATTGAAGTGGTTGATTCATCTAAGTGAGACTCAGAACTCACCATAGCAAAAGCTGAGTTGTATGATCTTATATTATTCAAATAGTTTCTTGATAGTTTTTTTGTTTCTTTTACATTTGATGTAGTCCCGTTGATAAGATTCTCCATAAACTCCGAATGTTTATAAGGGGCTAATTTTACCTTCCCCTTGTGACAACATAAGGAGAATGCATTTGTGTCCCTGTTAGTCTGTTCTGACTCGAAATTCAAAGATTTGCAGTAGTGACGATTCCAATTCAAAAGATCCGGTGTTTTTTTAGGAACTTCCAGGGCACATTTTACACTATCACTGCTCTTTACTTTTTTAGTTCGATGGTTTTCTACGCGTGTTTTTGTTCTGTTTGTCTCTTTAAGCCCAGTTAATGACTTTTTACCTTTTCTTTTTCTTTGTGTACTTTTTTCATCCTGGGTATTATGAGAAAGTTTTATAACACTGTAAGTTAATGACCCGAGTCAACATTTCCACTAAACATCAAGTCACATACTTCTTTGCCAGAACCAATGTCATAAGTCACAGTTTCTTCAGCAACTTCCCTGTGTACTCGAAATAAATAGTTAGGGTATAGCTCACTGATACATTGTAGTTCTACGTATCCAGCGTACTCGCCATCTCGGGAAAGTAAAGTTTGGTATTGGTGACGGTCAAAACTGATGTTGAGTAAAGACTCATCGCCTACGATAAAATTTTTGTATTTTTCCCACTCTAACAATTTTCTGGACAACTTTCAAACGGATTTCCCTATGATTATTCTGGTGGCCGTATAGAATAAATTATATTGATCGAAACAAACAGTTTCCGTCCCGTACCATGGGTATAATTTCATGTTCCATACTCAAACATAAGCTCAATCAACACTTTCCTTCAGAAACACTTTCAGCAACACTTTCGCAGGAAAACTAACATATTATTCGAAAATACAAAATTGACACTAAAAAGTACAAATAATGTTCAAATACATTTACAAATAATACGTTGTGGTATACAACTTTAACAAATTCACTTTTCCTTGTTTGAAATCGTGTGTACAGGAACTCCTAGATTAATAATTACATACTGAAAGTAAGGTTATAAAAATAATAACAAATCTATCAAACATTAAACAGCTGACATATGATTTACAATTACAGTATTAAATAAGCTGTAAATTATATTCTTCAATAAGAATTGTATTGACTCAACCTTTGAAGGGCTGTAGGTCTTAACCCTTAGAAAAAACGTGAATTCTAATGAAGTTCGGCAAATCTATGTATCATCCCCTTTAATTTGACACATAGATCTTGTGGATCGGTCCAGTAATTACTGAGAAAACAGTGTTACAACTGTGTATTAAATATATAGATTTTTTATGGTGTTTTATACTATTTGTATACATAGGCCTATACAGATTTATGTTTTTCCCTTAGTAGCCTACTTGATCCTCCACATCAGATATCCCACTCTGTTCCTTTTCTGACCGAAACAAACGTATTGCATTAAAGATCATTTGAATCTTGCACTCAGAAAACTTTTGACATGGAGGCATTTTCAGTTTAAAACTGGAATGACTAAATAAAAATTACCGGTATGTAGTTTGTTTTGGTGTCGCATGCTTACTCATATTTACAAGAAGGGTGACATGAGTCATGACCAAACTGGCAACACTGCCGGGGAGAAAGCGAGCCTTCCGCAGAGAAATTCAGACAAATCAATCCCCGCACGCGGGAATAAAAACTTTTGACAAATCTAAACTTATTATAGATCATGTTAATTTTTATCATTTAGGGTACGGTACACACTATATTTTTTGTTCATACGAACAATAAATAGTTACAACGGTGCTTTGAACGAGTTTTCGGCCCAAGTTAACAAGGGATTACAAAATTTACAAGAACATAAATAGGCCTAATCTTATATATTTAAAAAAATTGGTTTTTCTTTTACGAGTTCGTTTGGCTCTTCTACCCGACCGATTTTCATGATTGAGGTCTCAAATTGAAGGTATGCCCGCACAGATTTGCCATCAAGCATCGGCATATATTTATCTATAATCCCACTCGGCATATACGTAAACGAAATTTCCTCCCCATGTATTTCTTATGGGAGATAAATTTGGTTTCTCTTTTCCGAGTTCGATTGGCTCTTCTACCCGACCGATTTTCATGATTGAGGTCTCAAATTGAACGTATGCACGCACAGATTTGCCATCAAGCATCGACATGTATTTAGCTATAATCCCACTCGGCTTACGTAAACGAAACTTGCTCCCCATGTATTTCTTATGGGAGTTAAATTTGGTTTCTCTTTTCCAAGTTCGTTTGGCTCTTCTGCACGGCCGATTTACATGACTGAGGCCTCAAACTGAAGGTATGCACACACAGATCTGCCAACAAGCATTGGCATATATTTACCTACCTACTGTATTTCTCGACCAAAAACATAATTTGATTCATTTTTGGATTCTTACTTCAATTTAAGATGTATTTCACCAGTTATATAATATCGGCAGTTATATAATGTCCAGAGAAACATATAATGTATATAATGTACATATGTATGTAATGTATAATGTATATGTATATATAATGTAAGGCGAGTTTCAAGCAAACGCAAGGTGAACAACAAACATTAAAATTTGTCATAAGGTATTTATATGATTAACAATCAAAAGCTTCAGTATTGTCCGGGTTTTTTAAATACGTTTTAGACTCAAAATAATCAGTAAATTATTGGCTTTAATTTGGGCTATTGATCGTTTGAATCAGTTTAGCTCAAGATACTGTTTTACTCAATCAAAAATCATGAACTTGATTATATCACGGATATTATATTTTTTTTATCACTGTGGAGCAGCATGGGTCCTCTAGTAATAATGTTAAAATGATGAATCTTGACAACAATGTTTATAAACAACCCTGATATATACCATTAAAATTTCAAGTTCATACGGTAAATAGTTATTTGGTAATAATTGTCCAAAGTTGAGATTTCATCTACAATGGTGAAAAACTCCCGATTTGTTCACTTTTTTCGCTGTATATAAATTATATAAAGTGAAGTAAAATGTCAAAAATTGCTGGAATTTTCTTCTCATGCCTTGGGAGATGCCTACAGTTTTGCTTTGGGAATATAAGCCCTATCTCACCATAGCAGTATCACCATAGGCAATCAACACAAGTAGACTTCTCATCACATTGTTAATATTTAAAGATTGTTTTACATGTCTAGTTCATGTTGGTGACACTGGGCACTAATAGCGACAAAACTATATTTCTATTATTTTAAGTTTTATTCTATGATATGTGCTAGGCCTATTTTAATTTCTTTAATTTAACCACGGTCCCAATTCTACTGTAGGCTACCTAGTTTAGGACTAATAAAATAATTATGTTATTCAGTTTAAATATCTGTCACTATAATTTGCTATATGATTTTCAGGATTTTTTCACTTGGAAATATTCTACTGCATCTTTGTGAAAGTGTGGAAAACAATATACCAACATTACAGCACCAAGGTGATTTGAAACACCTGCTTTAATATTAATTAAAGGACAATGTTGTTCCTAGTAAAGATTGTCACCATTGAGTTTTGAAGATTGGAAATTTTTAATGATGCATGTTACTACCTGAAAATGTTTCAACATAACTAGCCTCGTACATGAAAAAAAGTTCAACAGTTCCATATTTTTTAGGTATTGCGAGGAGAGGTTATGAATCAGTTGCTGCACTGTTAACAAACGAACATGGACATTCACTGTATGAACTAATAATATCAAGTAAAATGCCAAAACGAGTTAGGTCAGGCTTAGGACAAAAGTCAAAAAGGCAAAGACATTCAGCAAGTCAATCTCCTGGCAAGAGAAATCCAATACCCAGGAGCTGCAAAAACACGTCAACAAGCAGAAAAGGTATTGTAGACCCTTATTTCTTTTTTTCCAACAATGGAAACTTGAACATGCCCTCCTACCAAATGAAGCAAAACGATAAGGCAAATGAAATGAAAGACGACACAAGCGGAGAATCTAGTGCTAGCAATGATGAGCTAGATGTGGTGTTTGATGTGCAGGAAGAAAAGAAAAACAAAATATATGAAGTGATCACTGTAATGAGTGATGATGAAACTCCTAATCAAATCAGTTACGAGAGAATCTATGCAGAAGATCCTGCAAAAAGAACAGTTGATGAATCAGAAATCAAAGAACTGTTAAGTAAAGCTCCGCCCCAGAAAAAAAAGAATGTAAAAGATGATGATTTAGTAGGGGACATTGTCAAAGAAGCAAATTCAATAAAAGAAAAAGCATCTCGTACAATGAAAAAAGAAAATGAAACAAGCATTATAAAAATAGACGACAGTGTAGTGGCAATAAATACTGATAATAAAGATGACAGTGATAACGAAGTGATTTGTGTTGCTGTTCTGGACCCCAAAACAAAAGCTGAACAAAAAAGAGCTTCTGTTGAAGAAATATGCCTGTCTAGCGATTCCGAACCTGAGACCACACCCAAAATATCACCTATTAGATTAAAATTACCTTACAATAGCTATCCATATATCAGTAAATATCGTTATAGACCCTCAAATGAGGTTGATTACGGCTCAAACTCTTTCAACTTTACGAATAGTAATTTTTCATTCGGACAGATATTCAATAGGCCAGCCCGGTTATTTCCTTGTAATTCGTTGAAATTTAACGATCCCCCTGATTTATGGGACTCAGACTCTTCAAGTTCCAAAGCCTCTTCTGTAGAACTCTCCCCGGCGTTATCCGATTCCCCCAAAGTTCTCACCAGTGAAGACAGTTCTTCCACATCCATGAGTGATTCGAGTCAACACCATCAGAAGTTGAACACAAGGAGTGATGAGAGTGATTTCAGTGACAATGCGAAGTCACCAAATCATTCATCAACCTCTGCATCTAGTGGTGATGAGGAGAAGGATGTTTACTGGAAAGGTAGGCAAAGCGGAACAAAGGGGCCTCAGCATGTGTCTGCTTCTTAAAATTTTATTTTCTATCGAGCTAATTATTTTCTTTTCTCACCCGACGTTTATTTTATTATGGTGGTGGCAAAGAAGAACTAGGTTTTATTCTGATTTTAAATTTTCATAATATAAGTTAGTTAGTGGTTTGAGCATGGTAGTAACTGTTTACTCCTAACTGAAGTATATGTTAGCTTATTACTGTATTTGTTTCAAACAGTTTGCCCCATTTGTTTACAAGGTTTTTTTAACTGATTTCATTAGAGCTATCTAATTGTTGGTCTTTGAACTCGCTTTATAGCCCTTTACATGTATTTGTCCTATGTGTGACGTGTGTACACCTTAAACTCCCATTATTTAGACACTTTCTTTTGTAACACCATTGCTTAGCCAAAAAAGGGACTTAACCATCTGACAAAATGAATGTTGATGTTTAAAACCCGCATATAATATGTGCCAAATTAGTAAATAATAAAGTAGTACAGCAATAACATCTGTACACTGATAGGAAATACTATTTGGTTAGCAATCATCTTCTTTTTCTATTGTGAGTATAGCCACAGCCGCCTTAAACTCCAGGCCGCGGCCTTTGAATGACAACGTCGTAAGTGGTGTTGTAACAGCTGTTTTGTTTGGAAGCAGCTAATGGTATTTGTGTAAATTTATGAAAGATTGGTTACTGGACTATGACAATATTGACTCCGCTTAAAATGTACAGATATAGATTTTTAATTCATATTGTTTCGGTTTTCAATTCTGTATGTTTTATTTTATTTTCAATATTTAAAAAATTTATGTTCATAAATTTAAATTTAAATCAACAAAGTGTGAATTAATGAGCTGATGTCACCTGTCTGCCATGTTATCTTATGGGACATCTGTCACTAAACAACACCACTTGCGACGTTGCCAATTCTACCAGGCCGTGGCCTGTAGTTAGAGGTGGCCGTGGTATAGCACACTAGGCCTAGATATTGTATACCTTTTTTTTTGTTTGATGGTTCTTAACTGAACCTAGCTGTCCTTGATAATTTGGACTTTTCAGACATGGTTCTGTATAAAAAATCAGTAAGAAATAAACACAGTTAATCTCACTCCTCTACCACCATCTTTTATTAATATCCTTTTTTATTTATGCACCTAGCTGACATTGCTGTCTCGTAGTAATGATAATGGTATGGAACTGTGCACTGAAGTTATTTACAATTATTATGTTGCATGAATAGTGCATACTGTAGACTCATCGATTTTGGATCTCAAATATTCAGACTGATTGAACCAAATGTATATAGTAAAAGTAGGCCTACAGGTTGTCTGAAAAAGAATACCATCAGACAATAGAAATTGTCTATTGTATATTGTCTACCTGGATATTAACGAACATTGCTTAGGTACTATTCAAGATAACTAAAGGATTTAAAGGTTAAATTGGAGTTGAAATGACCAAGTTTGGTTTTCCATGTAGCAAGGGAGGAAACGTTAATCGTGGCATGCGCAAAATAGATGTAGGCTACAGTTTCAGGCTGTCGTTGTGACTCAAATTCCTGACACCAGTCGCCAGTACGATGTTAACTGTGCAACAGAAGATGTAGTTTGATCTGTGGTTTGCAGAGTTATTCAAATAGATTGTTAAATTAAACTAAATTTAAATCTGTTTGTTTATATAAAACAATTTGATGCTGGTTTAATGAGTTTTGTGTCACAGGTAGTGTTTTGAAAGGACATCCACCTGGCAGGCAAAAGGAAATCCAACAACCTGCATCAGTAACAAAAAAAAAAAAAAAATCTATTGCCAGAAATTGCCACTCCATGATGTTTTTATCCGTAAAAGATTGAGACTTTGTGCCTACAAAATTCAGTTAAGATGTTGGATTAAACCTGCCAAACGCCCTAAGCGCACAGACTTTGCCAGTTTTACGCTCACTTAACCCTTTCCGCTCAATTGGCAGGGGAGCCCCGCCATTCGTCATGGCCGCACAAACTCCAATGTCGGGCCGGGCCCGCCCGTCGCTATGACAACGTAGGCCTATGATGCTTGTATTTTGATTTTTGAATTTTTTTTTGTGTGAGTATTCGGGAAATATTACTAGCCTTCTATAAATCAAGATGATATTTATTTTTTGGTAAACAAATGAAATATGCAAATTTAGCTCCAATTAAATGGAGATGGTGAGAAAATAGGCCTCCCGTAGTTGGAGTGGAAAGGGATAAGATTGTTGAAAATCCGAATTTTATCAAATTTTCTGAATTTATCAAAAGTATGAGAAAACTCTTACTTCTTCTCCCTTCAATTTGAAGTTAAAATCGTTTAAATATCTTTAATAGTCCCCAAGCAACAGCCATTTAAAATCCCGGCATTCTTTTTTGAACACCCTGTTTAACATACTTAAAAATATATTGTAAGAATCCACTTATCTATATAAATAAAATTAGAGTTTTGTCTGTACATTGCTTAGAATAATGAACTTTTTGGTTATTTTTACATTTCATAGGTCAGAGAAACCGAATCAAACCTTATCTCAATTTCTGTCTGTCTGTCTGTCTGTCTGTCTATCTGTCATTCTCTTGGTAACGCTAAAATACGCACTTTATTACAACTACTCCTCAATAACTATAGCACTGTCCCGCCTGAAACTTATTTTCCAAATACTATACATATATGAGATGGTTTTAGACGTATTTCATCGAATATGAGACAGTTAGATATTTAACAGTAAACCCTTGAAAATCAAGTTTTTGTCGATTTTTGACGTGGAATTTCTGGAAGCCCATGTTAACCTTATGAGAAATGAAATTATTGAATCTTAACAGCTGTTTCAATTAAACAAGTTGGTTCTGTTCTGTGATGTTCAATAGCATTAAAGTTACAAGGATTACCAACAGGGTGCAGCACTAGCACTATTATTTCTTTTACATTTATGACAACAGCTAATTTGCAACCTGGAGGCGAGTGAGCGTAGCGAACGAGCTAACCTGAAGGCAAGTGAGCAAAGTGAGCGCAGCGAACGAGCTCCAACATACAGGTGAGTGAGCGTAGCGAACGAACTTCAACCAGGACGTGATTGAGCCATGCAAACGAGATCAGATAGTAAAAATAAAAGTAAGCCTACCGTTATAGGATCGACCGGCAGACACAGAGGTAATTTAACCTTTTATTGATTGTCATACCGATCCGGAACAACAAAAAACAACATAAAATGAAGCTATGTATAATAGTTTGGCCAGCATATCTTAAAATATGCAAACCAACTGCTGTTCGTTATATAAGAAGGTTTCAACTGAATATTATAAGATCCCCGTGCGTAGAACGGGTACACAGCTAGTTGGAAATAATATTGTAAGACTCTATTGTATATTAAATGTAAGAATATTTGTCAGCTGTTTATTAAATAGTGTTGGCTATTTAATAAACAGTTGGCTGTAAACAAACCATTTACAATACTATGAGCGATGTTTATCTTTATCTAAGGACTGATTAAACTTTAACCTTTGTATGTTGGGGTTTCTTTAGACCTTCTTATTAGAATCTGTCTTTGTCTTATCAAACTTATTATGTTGAAGAAACCCTAAACCATAATAGGGTATTTATTGTTAAATGCATTTAAATATTCAAACTTAGTGACATCAATTAAGATTTTAAACATTAATTCAACCTAAAAATATGACACAGTTGGGTCTTAATAATCAGCAATTTATTTAAGAATAATTTTTATCCATGTGTAAGCTGTTAGGGTTTGATCTTTGTGTTATCTTTTTATTTTCATCGTCTAATGCTTTGTTCACATCTTCCAGCTAACAGAGAATCAAGAAGGAAAGAAGAGCTGAGATATGAAGAGTTTACTGATTTTGGAAAGAAAATTCATGAAGGTATTTAGTGTTTTTTAAAAATTTTGTTGACTTATAATTTTTGTGTTATTAAATTTTTGTCACTATTGGGGACAATAACTAACATATCTTTCTATCCAGTTACTATTGTTAGTGAGAGAGGAATCTTACACTCACTTTTGGTCATCAATAACAAATACCAATAACTTATGAAAGAACCAACCATTATAAAGTATAATTTAGGGAGTTGAACGGCTATTAGTTAGATAAAGATTTTCAATTTACTTACAACTCAATATTGGCTCTTATCAAATTTTAGTTTCTAACTCCTAAAATGGGTCTACTAGTCAGTACTTTGACAGATATGTGGGTTACTACTGTCCCCACTAATGTAGGGTAATTTTTGCTACTTTTTCTCTGCTGTTTAAACCAAATGTTCAAGGCTTTTAAAAGCCGTGTTTACACGAAGCCAGTTGGTGGGCAGGTTCCTTTCCTCAGGTAACATGAAATACATTAGAAGCAATTAACCTGCCAATCTAGTCCGGTTAAACCGATATGCTGATAAAAATTGTCCAGATAAAGAGATGTCACTTCTACAGAGTGTAGTCCGGTTAAAAGGTGTCCGGATCAGAGGGAGTCTACTGTACAATTTTCTCAACTCCCTGTTGTGCTCCATTCTCCATTTTCAAAGGATGGTCCATAGATTTTCCTTAGAATTTTGTTTTTGAACACTTTTAGTCTTTTAGGCTAATTATAGTTTTGTAGATACATATTTTAGTTTTATGTCAAGTAGTTTTATGAGAACGAGAACTCAACAATTTGTGGCATGCCGATTAACTTTTATGTGCACTTTTATATGTAACTTTTAATCTTTGTTGTATTTCTGTTTCTTATTTATTATTATTCGTCAGTATTACTTATAGGTAAGATAAATTGTTTACTTTATAAAATTTGTTTCCTTCTATTTATACATTTTTTATTATTTGGAGTAGCTCTTCCACATTATATTATTTTGGTTTTGTCTTCATTGATATTAAAGCCTAAGTTTTAGTGTGGTTTATGTGTTTTGTAACCATAACTTTTAGTTCTTAATAGTTTTCTATGTAAAATAGGCCTATTTTATTTTGAATTTAAAATCTCAAAATGTTTTAGGAGAAATAAATTTGGATGTCAACACATCTTTCACATTCAAAGTGATGAGCTATAATGTCCTGGCTCAGACATTACTGGAAGGACACATGTACCTGTATAAGAACCACGACAGACGAGCGCTGGGATGGGCTAGGAGATGGGGCCTCATCTACGAGGAAATCAAGGATGAAAACCCTGAGGTATGGGTTAAATTTGTAAAGACAGTACTGCACTACTCACTTCTCATCCCTTTTTGGTGGCCTATTGTGAGTTTCTTATACTTGTGGATGTCGTAATATTTGCCATTGAATATGGCTGAGTCACAAAAGACTGGTACATGTTTTTTTTCAAATTTTAACTTGATTTTTGATGTTTGTGTTGAAGTTTAGGCCTACCACATTTGTTGGTGGTTGTGGTGTAGTTTGCCTCTATTGCCAATGATTTTGTTTAAGATTATTTTGGTTGTTGGCAAATTTTCCACAATCCCTGAAGATTCTGGTAAAGCCGTAGGATTTCTAATTTAAGTTCTGATGTCTGGTTCTGATCCAGACAATTGGTTAATCATAAAAACTAAAAAGTCAAGAGTTTCAAAGTGAAATCTGTGAGATTTAATGACTTTATTACAGAAGAACCTCAATAATCTAGTTTAAAGGTACGGCCCAGTAGACTGGAATTAGGGAAAAGGTGTACCATCAGGAGGCAATTTAAATTAGTGATTTAGAGTTAGGCCTACCACTAGTGAATTTGAGACAGCCAAAGTTCTAGAAAAAACTGTACTGATTAATTTTCCTATCAAATCTTGAACAAAGTATTGTAGATTGTAGGTTACTTTTAACTTCACATAGGGTAGAAATATTAAATGGAAACATTGAGTGGTACTGGTACATTTATAAAAAAAATCAAATTGCAGTCAAGGAGCGATACGTTTTTTTATGAATGGCTGGCAAGTGTGTGTATGTGAGTTCTGTGTTTTATCGGATTTGTCATCACTAATTGCCAGTAGTGCAGTTGGGCTTCACACACATAGTTATTTATTGTCTACTGTACTACTCTATGATATTAAATATTAGGTACAGTAATTAATGTAGGATTAATGTATGCAATTTCATAATACATTTTCCTATAGAGATGTTCAATATTATTCCGCACTCTCACGTACTTTAATAAGGAAACATTCCATTGTAATATGTATTTTAGGTTATGATTTTTTTCAGGGATGGGATCAAGCTGGATTTCAGGAGGGTTTATATTATGAAGTGTGGAATAGTTGAGGTTCTATTTTATGAATTATTGTTTTGAAATACCTCTGTTTAGATAGTACCATAGTATACAACGTACATAATTTGATAAACAACTATAGCTATAACCAGTGCTCGATTTGTAAAAATGAGGTGCCGAAACTGTAAGCTATTTAATTTAATTAGTACCTATTTATGCCAATATTTTTACGTTCCAAAAGGGACACTTTGTTCCACCGTGTTCCCCCTCAAATCGAATACTGGTTACAAACAACAATCAGTGGTTTATTTTGGAAAATGAACCACTGACACTTTGCTGTCTGTTAATACAAATTTAAAAAAATCTAGTCTTGAAATTCAAAAACATTAGCTCTCATGCAAATAATTACCAACTGTTTTTCAGATTCTTTGCCTGCAAGAGGTTGACACCGCACATCTCGCCAGCCATTATGCTAAGCTTTTGGATCTAGGTAATAAAGAGTTAAAACAATACTATCATTGCGTTTTTAAGCACTTTTTTAAAGCCAAGAAGTGTAACTTGACCCTCTAAATTAATTTTAATTAGGTGCTGAGGGCTATTATTTTTTAGCACGTCATAGCTAAAAAATAATAGCCCACAGCACCTAATAGACTTCATTTACTCATAACTCCATTTGTTTTATATGTTGTAAAATTACTTATGGCTGAAGATTATATTTTTCATTTTTTAAAGCGGATTATGTGTACAATTATTGTGAGTCTTGCACATGTGGCCGACTAAACCTCCCAAACAGTAAACCAAATGGGTCGGGATTTTAGAGTGAGTCTACTAACTAGGTTTTATTTTTTTCACCTCGTAAATGAAAATAAACATTTTCTTCTGCCACTTTTTCATGGTCTATATACAATGTAACCAACAATTTATTTAAAGCTCAAATCAGTGCCAAGACAATAACATTTTTAGCATTAACAGTCTTCCAAGGCAAACCTCGTAGTGCTGTGCATCACTTGCTATGATCACATTAATCCATCTGATCGACTATAGCCTGGTCTAAGTTTTGCCAAGAGATTTCTCCATTATTCAATTCATTATAGTAAACTATCATCTTGAAATAATTGCCGTGAAAACTCATCATTCTTGGATTGATTTGTTGACCTGTAGGCTACAGATGGGTGTACAAGAAACGAACCGGCAGGAACCAGGACGGCGTGGCTGTGTTCTACAAGGCAGCTGTGTTTGACACTGAGACTCACTCACAGGTAGAGTTCTACCAACCAGGAGTCAGTGTGCTGGACAGAGACAATGTGGGACTTGTGTTGCGACTCAGGTAAATCATCAGTTGTGTAAATAGCTTTCGATAATCATTTCAATTGCATAAAGCCACAAGTTTTGGCACCGAAATGTTGCCATCCTTAGGCCATACATGAACATATGTTTACCGTAGTCATCGTGCATAGTTGAACTTGAAAATGTCAAAGACATGGGAAACACCTCATGTAAACAATCTGCTGATTAGTCGGACAAGAAACCGGCGGAAGTTGAGTCAAAACTGTGGGTCAGTAGTTGGAAAGTGTCTTTTTAATCTTATTGCTTTTTCCATATCCCCTGTGGTTTTTTTTTTATCAGTACGAAAATCTCAATATATTATTGTGATTGTGGGAAATGATCACAGAGTTTGTGATTCTAGCGTACGGTTTTGAAAGCCAATTATTAGGTTTAGACTTCATCCAAAAAAATAATATTTATGATACATGAATGGCAATGATTTTATATTGTATTTTATTTTATAAAAAAAAAAAAAAAAACTTGCTTGACTGAAGGATTTGGGACTAGATTTTTTAGGATTTGATTTTCTCTATTTGTCACCTTCCTGTGATCCTATAATTGTTAGGAGGCCTACCAAACACAGTGGGGTTAGTTTTTGAATGTCACACACACTTGAAACTAATAGGATATTTTGTAATCAGTCTTAATGGTGATTCAGTAATCATTTGATTTACAATTGGTAGGCTGAAGGACTCCCCGAGCAATGCTATAGTGGTGGCCACAACACATCTGCTGTACAACCCACGGCGGAGTGATGTTAGGCTTGCTCAGATGCAACTGTTGTTGGCTGAGATAGACAGGCTAGCTTACAACAAAGACGCTCTTACGTAAGTGTAGTGGTAAACAAATCAGTAATTAGTTAGGCTACATCAATTCAGTTGGAATTAGATTTTCTTATTGTTTTTCATAAAATAAAACTAATCTCATGAAACTACAGTTGGATTCAGCGTCATGCAGAATATGTTAGAACAAACATACAATATTTTAACACCCACAATTTTTTGTAATTTTAAAACCATATTTCCATTTTTGATTGCTGCAATATTTATCTATAAGTCTAAATCTAATTCTTCTTTAGTTAGCATTCAGCAGTCGTTTCTAATATCTGTATACATTTCCATTTCCATTTTTTTTTTACTTTTCGTAAAGTTAGAGTTTTAGTTTACATTGTTTAACTCAATTTCCTTCATTCATGTTGGAAATATACAGTACAATGCTAACAAGTTTATATTGTCTCTGACAGCTACTACCCGGTCATATTAACGGGGGACTTTAACCTGAAACCTCGCAATGGAGTGTATCAGCTGTTGACAGAAGGGCAACTGCGTTACGAGGGAACGTCACGTCGCGACCTCAAGATCAGTTCACCTGATAACAACCGATTGCCACGTACACTACTGCCCTGGCGTCTCGGCATCACTGATAGGTATTAAAATATATTTTATAGTAGCCCAACTGGACCCATTTATGACTAATTAGGCTTCCTTACCTTTCACATTTTTGAATGTTTGTACAGATGGATGGATGGAAGCCTATTTTTATATTCTATTTGTGTTTCTATGTTATTGGTTTTTTTGGTAGGGTATGGTCCAAGCCTTTATCTTGTCAACTATACTAAAGTTAACACTTTGTTAGATAATTAGGATTTTTGAGAGGATAGCAGGCTTACCTGAATGGGAAAAAGTCCAAACTGGCACAGGAAAAACACAACTTTACACTTACCTTACCTTACCTCCTTGGTCTGCCGCCAAGTCAAGAGATGCCCCCACTCTGTGTAGGTCCTTCTGGACTTGGTCTCTCCATCTCAACTTCGTTCTTCCTAGCAGGCAGGTGCCTCGTGGTTGTCCATTGGCTATCTTCTTAAGCATACTTTCTTCTTCCCTTCTTTCTACATGGACTGCCCATCTCAGTCGTCTACTCTTCACTATATAAACAAAACATTAGAATATTATTTCACTGTCACTGACAGGATTTTCAACTAAGGAAGAGAGAGTTCTCTTTATGTCTAAAATGGTGGCCAGTGAGTTGTTGAGATAGTGTCGTCAATAGTATGAATTCAAAAAATACAGATTCAGTTTGGAACACTTTGTCAGATAAAATTATTATAATTGAAGTTAGTTAGCTGAGTGGTTATAGTTCTTGCCTATAAATCAAAAGATTGATGGTTCAAAATTGAGCCCAGTTGTCCTTGGTCATTTGGCTATAAAGTAACAGCTTATTGTAGGCAGTCAGTAACAAAGCTACATAGATCAACCAATGCCATTCTACACCTTGCACACATATTCATCTTAAAATGTTCACCTAAGTGTGTGACTTTGTCTTAAATGATGATAGCATAATTTTTTGATAGCCCCATGACAGATAGCATCTGGGTTCAGGGAAATGTTGCTTGGAATCAAACCATTTACCCTCTTAGATTTGAAGGGGAGCCTAACCACTTGGTGACCTAGACGATCATATTTATTTTTATTAAGTAAGGTTAGTCATATTCATAGTAATTTATTCTCTGAATAGGTAAAATTGTTTACAACCATACATATCAGTCGTCAAATACATCCATTTATTTAGTTGTCCAAAGCAACATAAATTGTTTTGCAAGTAACATGCCTTCATATATCAACCAACAGTAATCATCCCTCAATAATACATTCACTCTGACAATAAAAGCAATTTTTTGCAATTCTTTTGTTTTACAGACTTTTTATAATAGTTATAAAATTATTGGTTCTATAGAATTCCTCTTTTTCATTATTGCGTTAATGTTTTATAATGGCTCTTAGAGCAAGGTTAAAATAGAAAATGACTACTCAACATCCTTTGACAAAAAACAGGAGTTAGGCAGGGAGATATTATTTCACCTACACTCTTCAATATAGCGCTTGAGCATATATATAGCACTTTTGAGAATATAGCACTTAAAGAGCTGAAGAATACGGAAAATGGCATAAGAATTGGAAGGAAGATAAGCGTGCTCGCCTTTGCAGATAATCTAGTACTGTAGAGACCAGAGAAGAACTCCAGGAAATGTTTGAAATCCTTAAAAGAGAAACAAGAGCAGTGGGCCTGAAAATAAATGACAACAAAACAAAACTTGTCAGATTTGGAAGGGGAGCAGAGAACGAGGAGAACATGACAGAAATAGAACAACAGTATGAACAAGTTGAGTCTTTTAAATATTTAGGAGTTATTGTCAGCTCACAAAGTGAGGAACACATAGAAATAAAGAATAGAATAAACCTAGCCAGTAGAAGTATGTATGCTCTAAACAAATTATTATCATCAAGATTATTGTCTCATCACACTAAACTTAAAATCTACAAAACTATCATAAGACCTTTCCTTCTTTATGGAGCTGAAACCTGGATTATGGATAAAAACAGAGAAAAAACTTATTACTTTTGAAAATAAAGTTCTGCGCTAAATCTTTGGCCCTACTAAAGAAGGAGATGTGTGGAGAATTAAACATAATCAGGAACTAAGAGACCTGTTCAAGGAGCCAGATATAATTGTGGAGGCTAAAAGCAGGAGGCTTCGCTGGACGGGCCACATCATTAGAAGAGAGGAAACTAGCACACTTTATCAAATATGGAAAAGTGACCCACTGGGGAGGAGACCACGAGGGAGACCGAGGAAACGCTGGGCGGATGAAGTAAAGAAAGATATGGCCAGGATGGAAGTTAATGAAGATACCGCAAGAGACAGGGCGACGTGGAGACAATGTGTTGGTGAGGCCAAGTACCACTTGGGGTACAAATGGCCATGGGAGTAAGTAAGTAAGTTTTATGAACTATTAAATTAATAAATTCCAAGTAACACGTTCCTATTCTTTAATGCTAAAAAATTGTGGATGCATCCTTGAAAACATTCTTTGTACAAAATATAAGAATGTTTTATAAAAGTTTTGTTGTGATTTTTCATACAGATGCCAACATGCAGATGTGATAGCAGCCAGAGTGGTTGGAGAAGACTCGTCCACTACGAGGGTGAGTAAAGCTGTTAACTTTGTAATTAAAGTCTGGTCTGAATTGTACCCCGTCACAGCAAAACTGCAGTATAAGTGTCATGTCCATTTGCTTGATTGAGTTTTCACTAATACTTCCTTAAACATGTCAGATTTATTCAATTTTTATTTAAATAAAAACAAATTGGGTTGATGAGTACTTAGGTTTGCTGCTACAGGGTACATAATATGGAATGATTTTAATGAATGGTTATTAATTATCAAATAATTGTCAATTTAATCCATAAAATATCTATCAACAAGCAGACTATAACAGTTTATATTGTTTTCGATACAATATAACATACACATTTTAAATTAACTCTTTTTTGTAATTTTCCCTGTAACCATTAGGCGTGCAACAATGTGCAATGTATAAAATTATTCATCTTATGTTCCACAAAATGGTTTGGAAAGAAATTGTAAAATGTTATGTTTTGAAGGTGATAAATGGGAAGACCCAACTTTTACCCTTTTTATTCTCCCCCATAAAACGCTGCTCCCCATAGACTGATCAGGTTCGCAAACTTGTTCAAATAGTGTTCCAAGTGTTTAGCAAATTTAATCTAAAACACAGGCTTTTTTATCTGAGCTATCGTACTAATGAAGAACATCGTCTGCGAACACAGCGATTTTGTGGCCATGACAAAATAAAAAAAACCTTCGGTGACGCTGTAATTGAAAAAATCTTATGCAATCACAGCAAAATCGAGAAATTTTCAGTGGCCATGACTAAATTGTGAACATCTTCGATTACATTACAAAGTTTCGCGTTAAGATTTTGAGATTCGGGATTCGATTTTGAAAAGTTTCGGTTTTGGTTTTGAGATTCAAAATTTCTGGTTTTGGCCATCACTACTTCCGAGGTCACTGCAAAATCGTGATCATCTTCTGCAGTCACAGAGACATCACCATCTCCTGCGCTCACGGTAAAATTGTCTGCTTTCATTTGCAAACTATGCAGACTCTATCTGTGGTTGCGAAAGTATAGGCTCAGCTCAAAACTCGAGCTGCCCACACTTCTCTTAACATATATGACCCCGATCACCGCCCAAAAATTATTACCGACCCAAAACCGATCTCTCGGGCCAACTGATTGCCCGAACCGACCCAAAAATATCAGGGCCTCAAAGAACGCCCTATAAAAATATAATTTAGCATTTATGTCAGCATTTTCAACAGGTATAACTGTTAGCAAAGCTGTATGCTTTCTCTTTAATATTTTTCAAATATAAATTGAATAAACGTTTTTGCAGCTCTACAACAGCGAGCATAATAGAAGCCCCCTCCGAGACAATGAAGACTTAGATGATTCTTATAAGGATGACAGGTAAAATCACTTTACTTTCTTAGTTTAAATTTGTAGTTTACTCACCTTTGAAAATTCAAATAAGACTTAACACTTAAATAACAATACAACTATGGTCAAAAAAATTGCTATAACAAGGAGTTATTTCTATAAAACGAAGCGTGATACTGAGGTTTTTTTAAGGAGAAGGGAGGAGCAATACTGTTCAATTAACTTAAGTAAGATACATGTGAAATGTACTGTATTAACATTAATCCTCAAGGGGCGCATCGTTCTTAAAGACACAAATAGGTGCATCGGTCTTATTTACAAAATTAAAATCTTTCTTAGAAGAAAAATACTATGATTGATGAAAATTAAGGAAAATAATTAACATCATTATCTAAATTGTTGCATAATTTGTTATTATAAAATGCAATCACATACTACTTGCTCTTATTGGGCAGCGTGCTGATTTAGCGATAAAGCGTGAAGCTTCGGTCCCTGAGGTCACGGGATCAACTCCTGCCTAATCACCTAGAGATGGGATCTATCATAAGCTTGAATGCTGAATTTGTTCCAATGCAGATTCGAGTCGGGCACGCTGAAACATGGGTTCAATTTCCGCTCAGTCTACAATCACATTCTCCCGAATGGTCAGTTGGAGGCATCAACTCATCATGAAGACTGGGTCACTGTTGACTACATATTCTATAGGTAAATATCTGCATAATAACACCTGCTCAGCATAGCTGAGGCACAACTGGGAATATTTTAACCTTAACATAAAGTAGAATGGAGTGATATGCCTGGTGTAGATTTGTCTTTAAGACCAACTTTTTATTTATGAAGATGAAGATTCTACCTTAATTAATAATCTTCTTAAACTTAACGGCATTAAAACCTGGCTGTTTATCCTGATAGCACAGGGAGGATGGATGGAATTGTAATTACCACCTTAATACATGAGATATATTTTTATCCTATTTAAAGTGGTTCCTCTATTTATAGCGGAAATAATGGGAGTTAATAATTCCTTCCCATGCTGTAAAAAGCATAGTCATAGTTAAGTATCACACCTTATTGCATTTGACATGATTTAATGAATTATTTTTGCATTCAAACCATGCTCAGTGCTTCAATATTGCTCTCCAAAATACAGGCCATATTTTAATGTTGAAAGTGAGTGAGCTACTGACCTTCATCATGCCTTTACTACTACGTCCATTTGTAGGTAATATACTAACTGAAGAATATTTGTTGATATTTAGCATAATTTGAATCCCAAGGGTTGAGATGTGAGGTTTTTAATTGTTAACATTCCAATACAATGTGAAACACGATAAATAAGTCATCTCTGCAGTCAGCTGGTTGGTAATCTGTTGCATTGTTCTGTTCAGCTCTCCCAAGTCCCATGAAGGTCGTCTACAGTTAATATCCAAGCTGAGGCTACCAACACAAGACGAGTGTGAGAGATTCCTCAGACACCTTCCCAACTTTGCGTTTGGTTCCGACCACCTTCCTCTAGTCGCAAAGTTTTTCCTGAAACTACAGAGTGAGTTGACTTTTGGGCTATTCAAATTTTACTTGCAACACTGTTGTTCATAATTTTGTCTTGTTACAAAAAAATTACAAAAACGAGCTATAAGAATTATTTTGGACCTTGACTCGAGAACTTCAAAAGAGCATTTTAGATCATTAAAAATAATGACAGTATATGGATTGTACATCTATGAAACAGTTCTATATGTTAAAAACAGATTTTCTCAATTGGCGTTAACTGGTGAACACCATCACTACAATACCAGAAACAAAACCAACATTGCTCTAAACCGCCACAGATTAGAACTTTACAGTAAAAAACCAAGTTATACCGGCTCCAAATTTTACAACAAAATTCCAAATGAAATTAAATCGGCAAAAAGCATGGTCGGATTTAAGAGGGGTCTTAAAACATTTCTCATCAACAAGGTATTGTATTCCCTTGATGAACTTTAAAATTTTTAGAAGGAGCGTTAATTTGTAATTTGTATAAACTTATGTTAGATTTTAAGAACTTTGTATCCATAGAATATAACATTGTAATATAAAAACATTTAAGAGAATGACACTATTCATGTACTTTGTGCTTCAATGAATAAAGAAATATTGAATTGAATTGTCTCAAGAATGTCGTTAGAGAAGAACTAATTCCTTATGAAACAGCTGCTAGTGATATATCTTGTTTGAGAAAATACAGGATTCTTTAAAGGCGCATCAATAACCTGCAGTAAAATTATCAAAACATTAAATTAAATGAAACACTACTTTATTGCCACAAAACATTTCACAGGTTCAGAATAGCTGGTGAAACAGGTGACATTGTCAGTCAATATGGTTTGCTCTTTTGCGGTGACAGATAATAGAGTTTAATAGTTAATCGAGGTTCAACTGTATGATAATTTTTAATTTTATATACTCCGTTCAAGAAATTTATGCGGTTTTAGGGGAGAAAATCTATCCCTTCCACTTTATCCTACCTTTAAAATAATACCTCAACAGCTGTTGTTTGCTAAAACGTCAATCAGCTGCAACATAATTTAAGCAAAAAAAAGTAGTGGGAGAACTTCCCCTCAAACTGCCTAAATATTTTGACGGACTAAAATATGAGAGATAAATGAATAGAATCTGGGTTAGTGCTTCCTGTCTTCTTTAAAAATCTTCATAAACCAGTAGGCCTATCCAAGGTGTAAATTACCTTTAATTAAGTTAAGTACCTTATTTAGTTAGGTACCTTCAATTAAGTTTTTTTGAGTAAGTTTTTATGGCTAAGCCAGGTTGTACCGTTACCTTCAAGTACATGACTATCCCTGTTTGTGCATGCTCAAAGTATACTTTATTCTGTATTCAAAGATCTTTAACTCCTTTAATCCTTTAAAAATAAGGTTTCTACCTTTTACACATCCTTCTGCATCCTGAGGTTCTTAATCACCAACTCATCATCATAACTCTGTTCTAACTGAGTCTGCCAATGGATATGTGGAGGTTATAGTTTATATTTGTTCATCAACCATCCCTCTCCTAGATGGAGGGCACAGACCAGAGACTCGCTCTGCCACTAAACTGTCGTCTGCTATGTCAGCATCTGAGGATGAAGCTGCTCCTCAGTCCACACAGTCTCCACGACAGTACAACAGAGTTTTCCTATTACAATGTGCAGACAAACCTTACTGCAGACAAGCCCCTCTCAACTGGGAACAAATCACCAAGGAATGCCCAGCCATTGCTCGAAGCAAGGTAAACACAAACTAGATATATGATCTTCCCATTGCAGATGCAAGGAGATTTTGGCTGCTTGAGGGAAACGTTGGCGACGTCTCGCAATTGCAGTAGATAACAACAATCACTGATTATATTAATGATGAAATGTGATGGATTGAAAAATTAATGACTACCTACACTAATACACCACTGCTTTTCACATGGTACATAGTGGTTCATCAGACTTGTTTTAAAATTCTACATATTTTTTTTAGAGATGTGTCGAATCTCGAGACCACTATACTTGGACATTGGTATCGGTATCGAGCTTCATAAGTTGCCATGACATATACCCTACCCATCTGCGAAGATCGTGCAGTACAAAATTACCGCTTCTCCCACTATCACAGGTGACTACAATTACGTTTCCATGACCACGGAAGACAATGTTGATGTCTACATGACCGCAGGGGACAATTAGAATTTTGCCGTTATCCCGACAGACAATGAAGATCAAATGATTATGTTTCCGTTGTTGCGAGGGAAATTCAGAATTATACCGTTACCGCATGTTACCGGTACCTCAAGCTATTTGATCCTAAATCTCAACCTGGCACACTTCAAGAGACAAAAAAGCTATAAACAAAAACAAGTTATAATAAAACTTTATGATCCTGGTTTGTTAGATCTTCATATACCTAATGTGTTTAGAAGGGTTTAAACTTGAATTGGCTAGTTAGAAATAGTAATTGCTGTATTCATTTTTTGCTTAACTAGACAAATAAAGTATCTTCTTAAGGTAACACAAAAAAAGCAAAAGCCTCGAAATTGAACCTTGTGGCACCCCAAATTTAATTGGTTGATAAGTTGATGACGATTTGATAATTCTATTATGATTTGTCAAATGGGTAATTTCAATGAATTGAGATCTATTTCTCAAATATTAAGAAAACCAACTAAGAGCTCTTTTAGATATCCCAATAATTTTTTCTAGTAAATTAACAAGTTTAAATATTAGGTAATTTGACAAGTTTTTATAGTAATTTACTACTAGTAAACACGTTGCTCGAAATCGAGCAATTGCAAAGAATTAAAGTAGTTACTCAAAAACAAATAAAAGTCGTCATAATTTCCGATGAGTTATTAAAAGACTTTGAATTGAGAAATAAATAACAACAATTAAATTATACAGCTGATCAAAATGTAAACAATTATGTTCTCTATAAGGATAACATGGGAACTTTAACAGCTACTGGGGCAGAGCCCAAGGGACTTTTTCAAAAATGTAAGGTCAGTTTGCAAATCTACGCGACATGCTCTTTCTAATGAGACGTCAATGGATAAAATCGGTTAAGAAATGGCGGAGGAGCTCAACCGACAAAGTTTCATGTAGCGTATTAATTATATAGATGTTTTACACAATCAAACGCTTTAGAAAGGTCCATAAATACAATTTTATAATGTCCTTTGTCTGCTGAGTACTGATCAATGACTAATTTGATTTAAAAAAACAGCTGCACACACAACTGATCTTCCATTCCGAAATCCTTGCTGATTATCATCCAAAATATTAAATTTTCCAACAACTCTGATCATTTTAAGTAGACGGCTTTTTAATACACTTAAGAAATTGAAGGAAGAACAGATACTGGGCGATAATTGGATATATTTTCAGGGTTAATTTTTGTGTGTAAAGGATTTTTTTAATTTTTTTGCCTGCTTTAATATGTTAGGAAAAATGCCGGATGCAAACGAAGAATTTATCAGATGAAATACAATTTTGCTGATGTAGGTTTTTGCAGCCTTTATTATTGTTACAGGAATTTCATCATGACCACTGGAGTGTTTATTTTTTAAAGATTGAATGATTTTTTCCACCTCCCTTTCAGCTCAAATTTTGGCTTTACAAACAAGTCATCGATGAAATCAGCTATCACATCAGCCATCACCCTGTCACATTTTGATTGTTGCAATTTAAATCTGTAACCATGTTGCTAAAATAACCATTAAACATATTTGCAATTTTACCAGGGTCTAAAACTGTTTCTGAATTTTGTTTTAAAATCATATTTTTCTATGGTTTTTTGTCATTTTCCCCAACTTCAGAGTTGATTATACTCCAGAATGTTTTAGGAATTTTAATTTTTTTTGCGATAGGTCGCCAGGTGCCACAGTAATTTGCTCTGTTTGAGTTGATGTCTGCTCTGTGAGTTGATCAGCTGCTCTTGTTACCGTCATGGCCACTGGAGTACCTGCAGCCTCATTAGGTTTTACATTGACAGTGGTGTTTCCAGCTTTAGCTCTGTCCAGTTGAGATGGGGAAAGCTGTCCCTGTTTTTTTATTGATCAAATCTTTCAGTTGACAGACAAAGTGTTTGTGAGATAAGAGATAAGCCATTCTTCAAAGATTGTGACAGTATGAGACCATAGATAAAACATACTCCCTCAGTAGATTTGTCATCCTTATGGAACAGCTGAAGCCAATAATTTTATTGTTAGTTCTGTACGTCCAACTGTAGAGGTTATGTTTTGTTTACAATTTGTTTCTTGATATTTCAGTCATTTAAAACATCATTTAACCAAATAAAACTGCATAATCATAAACAATAACTGGTCTTCTAGTCATATAACCAAATAGTAAAGCACAAATCATGAAAATAACCCTAAAATAATAGAAACAAAATTTTGTCTACACTAGCGATCTGTGTGGACGTACATGAATTAGACACAAAAACAAGCTTCAAAATGTACAATGGGATGAGGAGTCTATAGTCTATGATGAGACTATTGTGACTTTTAGCCTTAGTAATTTGTTGGAACTTAAAAATGTTATTAATTAATTAATATAGTGATTTAAATCTATCTTGTCTCGAACACAACCAATTGGAGAGCAGATGAGGTGTTCTAGCTTCTTCCTCCTAAAACTAGTTAGACATTGTTGTTTATTTATAAAATCTACAAAGTATTGTGCTGCTTAGTTCATTTTTGTGTTGTAGCTCAGATAAACTGAAGCCTCTGGACTTAAAATGCTACAACTTCATTTGACAAACTTTTATGGTTTAATGTCCCAAAATATCTACAAACAACAAAGTATTTATTTAATCCGTTTATCATCAAGATAAGCCAGGTGGGCAATTATTTAGTGAATTCAATTGTATACTTATAATTTATGTTTCAATTTTTCAGAAGTCAGACTCTCCTAAGGCTGAACGCAGCAGCAGTGAAGAACCTTAAGAACTCTTTAAATAGAGAATAAAAGTGATTACAATATTTATACTGTTGATACTCTGTTGTTTTCAAATTCAGATGTGTATATTATTTTATAATTTGTAGTTATTAATTTTTTAAAGTTTATAATTACCAAAAATTTTAGCAGTGTTTAACATTTGGTAACATTTTGTTGTGCAGATTAGTTCAACATTAAAATAAGGATTGACAAGTCACCAAAGGCCTAACGGAAATGATTAATTATTGTGTTAATGATTGATGGCATAGGATTGGACACAAATTTATGAGTATGAATAACACATGTTGTCACATGAGCATGTGTTGTGTTAGTCAAAATTACAAACGAACTTACAAATGGGTAACAACGTTATTAAGGAAATCAGAGAGGTTAGTAATTATCTAAAGGAATTTGAAGAGGAAAGAGTTTGTTAAACTTTTTTTACATAATAAATAATCGATAGATCGACGCTTGGGTGTGTTTGGTGAGTCGGTAGCACCATGGACTTTGGGCCCAAGGCAGCAATGTGGGGGGTTTGAATCCTGGTACCTGTCACTACTTTTTATCAGTAGGCTTACTGTACACTGTACAGGTCCTGTACTGCCCCCCCCCCCTGCTTTGCTGGATATGTTTCAAGTACAGGTCCTCTGTGGACGGGCAAATGCAATGTTGAAAGAGGACGCCAACCTCTTAAAAAAATAAAGAGAAAACAGAAGGGGTATGGGGGAAACTTTGTCTGCTGTGCTGCAAAGATTTTGAACAATTTTGAAAATGTGATTAGAGAGTTGTGTTTAGATCTACTATTGTGTTGTTTGCTTGAAGTTCACTTTTCTTAAGAGTTGCATCATATTTTTTTAACTGTTAAGTTACAACTTCATCGTCATATATACCAAGTTTTATTTTTTAAGATATTGCAAAAGTAATGCCTCAATCCAGTTTAGTAATAATAATAATATATAAATTACTTCCTCAACTGTTTTATTATTTTAACTTTATTCTGTGTAATATTGAATGATTATGCACTGCAGTGGCTAATTTTACCAACTAATTGTTATAGCTTCTTTTCAGTATGTTAATTACTCTTGTAAAAATCACAGTAATTAACAAAAAATGTATTTCATATTTTATAAAAGCGTTTTATGTAATGAATTGAGATGCCTAAATTCATACTACTGTAATATGAAGAAATTGTATCAAAATAAATTATATGTATTTGTAAAAGTAAACCCCCTATGTATTTTTATAGTACTTATGATTTTACAATTTTAAACCTTCTGCACTGTGGAACCATACACAGTTTTATTAGTTTGCTGGTTATAATATAAATAATGTTTTACTCAAAACTTAAGTAAAAATGTCAAGTTAAAGTTCATATTATTTACCCATCCGTTAATAAAATGTCTAAGTTCTTGTACCCTTTTCTAATTTGCTTATTGAATACAACTTTTCATCATACTGTCCGGAAAGCAGCTGTTTTAGCTCTCTAATCGTCAGCAAAATTATTGTTTTCAGGTAACTTAAATAGGGAACAGAAAAAACATATGGTAAATTTTTCGGTTTGCTAACCTCAAAATTTTATCAGTGCATTATGAAAACGCTACTTACTACACAATATTTAAAGTCATGTTTGTAAACAACAGTAATATGTAAACACTAAACATTAATAACAACTTTTTATAACCTCAAATTATGTGGTCTAATTTTAGCGAATTTCCCATATAGGGAATAAGCTATTACCGTTTCACCCATGGTACGACCTGGACTTGGGACCGATTTACTTTTTTGTTTTGAGGTCCCTATGAGGCCAAAAACCCCATCCGTTCAAATTCATATATATATATATGTGTGTGTCCGTCCGTTAGCATAATAACTCGAGCAAAAATTATCTGATTTTTATGAAATGTTGTAGGCCTATAAACCTAAATTCATTTGAACCAGCATGATCGGACAATGGTTTTATAAATGAGAGGCGTAAAACTTTGATCCTAAATCTCAACCTGGCACACTTCAAGATACAAAAAAGCTATAAACAAAAACAAGTTATAATAAAACTTTATGATCCCCCCCGTTTATGGGGTAAAAATTTGTTTTCCCATTTTTGACCCAAAAAACATAAAATTTAGCAATTTTGATCAACACCATTTTGTAGAGCTTAAAATAACAAATAATTTAGTATATTGAACGTTAACATGCGCCGAATGATTACGGAGAAAATTCCAAAATATTTTAAATTAAAAATTCCCATGTTATTCTTATGGTGGAGAATTAGTTAACTGTTGATTTGGAAAATGGATTCATATCTTACTAAACTATAAATATTTGACAAAAAACTTTTTTACCCTCCCTTTTGCAGCAAACCCAAAGTACTTGTTAAACTAATTATATTAAAATAGGGAGTAAAGTGATATTTTTAAGGAGACATTTTAGTGTAAATCCAATCAGGCAAATGGAAATTCACTTAGTCTGCTGGTTTGTTGTGGCGGGGATATTATTAGAAGCTTATTTCTACAGTATGATGAAAATAGTTGTTCATCACATGGAGCAAAAGTGTCTTTTTGGTACTTAATCTTATTTCGAAGCTCGGCTGCGCCTCGCTTTTAAACACCTTGCGTACCAATAAGAGCCACTTTCGCTCTTAGTGAAGAAAACTACTATTTCTTGTTCCTTATTACACTATATCAATTGTATATAAATATATAAGACTGTAAATACCTACCCTAATTGAAAAGTCATTGCATGAATTGGATTTTATTTTAAATTTTGGATCTTGTTTGTTGAAAAAGTGTATACTGTATTTATTAAAACTTTAACATTAAGTAGAAATTATAATTTTAATAAACACTTGTAGGTTTTTTTTTACATGAAAAAAATAATACTGTTAATTTAATATTTACACTTTTTATATTGTGATATAGTTTTACATTTTAGTATCATTTGAAGGAGCTAATTACAATTTTATCCTGCATTTTACTGATAATGATTGAATGGTAGTGATAGTTAATGTATATTTGTCTGATGTGCATAAAGTTGTATGAATCTAGTAAACGGTGTTTTTTTTTCATTTTATCCCTAGCCCAAAAAAGTAAACTAAATGACATATTTGTTTATATAAATATCAATCTTCTGGGAAACATTAGTTTAAACTAGGTGGCGTTCGCAGAGGCATCCACAAAATTGAGCGGAGTCATCAAGGGTTTATATTATATTGTTTTGGTCATACTGCAGTAATACCAGTCGTTTTTAATGCATGCGTTGCAGGCTAAAGTAGCATTTTTACTCTTTAGGAAGTAAAAATGGTTTTTAACCTCTGGGATGGAGTAAAAATCAGCTGTTGTCAACTCAGTTGTAAATTTCTATTGTAAACGATTGTATGTATCGAAATATGTATCGATTCGTGCTTCGTAATTATTTTAACCTACAGTCTACAGTCTCTTCCCATAGCGTTTTAGCATTGCAGATACATTAATCTATTCCCACACTCAACACGCTCACCTTTACTACTTCCTTCACCACCCCCTACGTCGTGGACCTATTTCCCTCTCTTCCCATAGCATTTTAGGATTGCAGATACATTAATGTAATTGCCAAAGACAGTTCCCACACTCTGCACTGCTAGCCTTACTACTTCCTTCACCATTTCCTACGTCATAGACTTGTTTCCTTCCCTTCTCATTGCATTTTTGGATTAAAGATACATCAATCTAACTGCCACAGGCGGTTTTCACACTATGCTCATACTTTACTACTTTACATCGTGGATCTGTTTTCATCACTTTCCATAGCAATTTAGTATTTTATATGCGTTAATCTAATTGCCCCAAACATTCCCCACACTCCGCACTGCTAGCCTTTACTAATTCTTTCACCATTTTCTATGTCGTGGGGATATTTCCATCCCTTCTCAAAGCATTTCAGCATTGCAGATACATTAATCTAACTGCTACAAACGGTTTCTAGTTCCCACACTCCACACTGCTCACCTTACTTCTTCCTCCACTTCTTCTTACGTCGCGGACCTGTTTCCCTCTCTTCCCATAGAGTTTTAAAATTGTAGATACCTTTATCCCAGACTCCGGACAGCTCACCTTGACTACTGCCTTTGCCACTTCCTACGTCTCGGACCTTTTCTCTCCCTTCCCATAGCATTTTAGGATTGCAGATCCCTTAATCTAATCGTCATAAACAGTTCCCACACTCCAGACTGCTCGTATTTACTACTTCCTTCACCACTTCCTACGTCACGGACCTGTTTACCTCCCTTCCCATAGCATTTTAGGATTGCAGATACCTTGATCTAATCGTCATAAACAGTTCCCACACTCCGGACAGCTTGCCTTGACTTTCCTTCACCACTTCCTACATCATAGACCTGTTTTCCTCCCTTCCCACAGCATTTTATGATTGCAGATACCTTAATCTAATCGTCATAAACAGTTCCCACACTACGGACAGCTTGCCTTGACTACTTCCTTCATCACTTCCTTCGTCACGAACCTGTTTCCATCCCTTCCCATAGAATCATAGGATTGCAAATACCTTAATCTAATGGTCATAAACAGTTCCCACACTATTTATCTGATAGGGACAACCGGACTGCTCGCATTTACTACTTCCTTCACCACTTCCTACGTCACGGACCTGTTTACCTCCCTTCCCATAGCATTTTATGATTGCAGATACCTTAATCTATTCGTCATAAACAGTTCCCACACTCCGGACTACTCGCCTTTACTACTTCCTTCGCCACTTCCTACGCCACGGACCTGTTTCCCACCCTTTCCATAGCATTTTATGATTGCAGATACCTTAATCTAATCTTCATAAACAGTTCCCACACTCCGGACAGCTCGACTTGACTACTTCCTTCATCACTTCCTACGTCGCGGACCCGTTTTCCTACCTTTCCATAGAATTTTATGATTGCAGATACCTTAACCTAATCGTCATAAACAGTTCCCACACTCCGGACTGCTCGCCTTTACTACTTCCTTCATCACTTCCTACGTCGCGGACCCGTTTCCCTCCCTTTCCATAGCATTTTATGATTGCAGATACCTTAATCTAATTGTCATAAACAGTTCCCACACTCCGGACTGCTCGCCTTTACTACTTCCTTCACCACTTCCTACGTCACGGACCTGTTTCCCTCCCTTCCCATAGCATCATAGGATTGCAAATACCTTAATATAGGCTAATGGTCATAAGCAGTTCCCACACTGCGGACAGCTCGCCTTGACTACTTCCTTCATCACTTCCTACGTCGCGGACCCTTTTTCCTCCCTTCCCTTATAATTTTTGGAATGCAGATACCTAAATCTAATCGTCATAAACAGTTTCCACACTTCAGACTGCTCACCTTTAGTACTTCCTTCACCACTTCCTACGGCGGGGACCCATTTTCCTCCCTTCCCATAGAATTTTAGGAATGCAGATACCTAAATCTAATCGTTATAAACGTTTCCACACTCCAGACTGCTCACCTTTAGTACTTCCTTTAGCACTTCATACGTCACGGACCTCAAGCTAATGTCTTCATTTGATTATATTTATGATTCATACCGTTTCTGTTCTAATATCTGTGGAATAATGCTATCGGCTTTTTCTTTATCTACTGCATTCAAAAGTCAACAGCTGATCATATGTCTTTGTTTATGTGTCAAATACTGCTTCCATAAGGATTACATTGAAACTTTGAGACCCAGTGAGTCGGATTCCTGAGAGTTATTTTTAACGCCATATAGATGTTGGCACTCACCGATATGGTCTTTATCACCATCCAAAATTTGAAAACGATTGATTCAGCCGTCTAGGAGGAGTTTGCGTATTACGAAATGCATAAAAGTCGACGTATAAGAGCTTCGCTCAAAAAATGTAATGAAGCTGTCAACTGCCATGAACATATTCAGGAAATAATTGTGTAAATTAATTGACCTATTATTATCTATAGACTCCTGATAATCCAATATTGTTTATACTTTCCTTATGTTATCTAATAGCATATTGTGAAAGAAAAATATTTATCACAATTTGTAAAAAAATCCAAGTTACTATGACATTTTGTTATTTGGAACTTGATCATAAAGTATTGATCACCATCAACAACAATGAAATTTAAACAGTAAGAGTACTATAGCCCAAGAGCCCATGACTGCCAGACCTAGCTTCGTTATTTTATAAAAGCTGAAAGTTTCTCAGCACATGCTCCCAATTCAGTAAAGAATGATCACCGACTATGAAATTAAAGATCTTATTTACTTTGGCAACAAAAAGGTAAAAAAGGTTGACCTTCATTATATCATTGTTGATAAATCTAATTTAAAGTATTAAAAGTTTAAAAGTATTTCAGAACACATTTTAATAATGAACTTATAATCATAACAACTTGAAAATAAAAATAAAAACATAATCACATGTAATGAAGAATCATATGACTTTAAATTATATTCTAACACCATTGCCAACATAAAGCTTGGTTCTCTCATGTTTTCTTCGGAGGAGTGTTAGAAATAATTTCTCCTTTGTCAGACAATTAGTGCAGTTTTAAGTCTCTGCCAGACACCCTTAAACTTAGGTATGACCAAGATTAATTTTCGTCATTTTATTAAAGCTGAATATGGTTAAGTTTGGGGGGCTATCAAAGGACGTTTCCTCAAAAGCCAGCCACTTTTAACACGTTTGCTACTGCAATCGAACAAAATTTTTTATTGACATGGACCAGCGACGCACATATCGGTTTCCACCCATAGACCGCCGTCGCATCTAGTCACATTAAAATAGACTGCTGTCGTATATTTGCATCAGGGTTCTAATGTTATTAAAATGCTTATATCTTTGTAACGGTCTATTTGAATGCTCTGAATTCCCTGCAGTGGTCTACAGAGATGTCTGACGCACAACTGCGTCGCTTGGTCTGTGGATATGATGATTGGTGACGTCATATGATAGTTGGAAAAACTGGTCTTTACTTTTCTGCATCACTGTATGTATGTATGCAGTATGTATACTGTTCCTATGTAGCTTTTATATTTGTTCAGTTATAAACTGTTCTTGAATAATCTGTTTTTTTTTACTTACCTTCACCTCAAAACACAAACAAAAATGAACTGTCGCATATATGCAACATTTGGTCTATTTCAAGAAAACTATGATAGTTTTCACTATTGTCTTCGTTGTAGACCGGGTGTCGCAGATATGCGACATTTAAAGGTTAAAAAAAAACAAAAAAAAACGAATAAATTATTTACAAACACGATTGTAGCGTATTACGATGTAAATGATCACTGTTTTACAGGTTTTCGCCCGTGGTCTGTGTGTACTGTTATCGAAGTGACAGCCGGTCTATGTGTAAGATTCAAATGTATACCTTGGTCTGTGGCAATGACCGCGGCGTCGCATATATGCAACGCTCAGTAACGAACGTGTTTAAGTCTGCCATGAAGGGTTTAACATGCAAACGGTAAATTCAGTTCCAGTTTGGAATAGGATTCTGTGCCATTTTTTGAGTTTGTATGATGAAAAATTGACTATTTCCTGTATTTTAATTGTAACATTAACTAGGCAAAAAGATTTTGTATTGGTTAAGGGATAATTTTTAAAATTTACCATCACCACAAAATACTTGAGTTGAAAAATTCTTTATTGTTCTTTTCAAATACAACAGGTACATACAATACATATTTATACACTAAGGTTGTACATAAGTATTACATGTTATTGTATTTTTCAAATATAAACTAAAAACACAATACTCTTCACAACATAAATCTAACTAATTATTTTATTAAATAACGAACAATAAAGCCCTGAGGTTACAGAGCCTGTGCGGGAAACAAACATTTTTGGTAGTTGGAGCAACTCGTGGTTGGAAAGTCCAGCCCGTCACCATTTCCACAGTATTTTTATTACAAATTGAAAACAATATATAAAACTAGGCTTCAAACAATAGCTTTAACACAGCAACCTATCACAACAAAACTTTATCTACCTATCTATTTGAAAACTGACCCTATACTGTCAATCTTCGTGATTACAGTACTATTTTGGAGTGTCCTGAACTTACAGCTTATTTGGACATATCGAGCATCCCTGAATTGGATTGCTGTTACAAGGAAGGTAATAAAGTGAATTTTCAGTCAAATGTTAATTCCATAACTTAGTATGCAATAAATAAATTGGTCTAATTGTATCTAAATATAATAAGGCTGTTAATCTTAATCATGTCAAATTTGGACAGTTAAGTCAATTAAAGTATGTTCTTTCCAATTATGTAGTTATTTTTGGTCTCCGGAAAAAAAAACCCTTAAAAATAAGTGGCCTCTGAATAGTACCAAAGTAACTTTAAAACTACTCCCTATTCTAAATAAGAATACCACGGGAATTTAAATGTAGTTTTTTTGAATTCTTTCTGTAACTTTTAATTTTAAGCATACCACATGATTTCAATATAAAAGATAATTTGGTTTCATAAGCTCAACAAATGGGTAATGAAAAATTGAAAAATGATTAGAACACTATAGCTCAATATGTCTTATGTTGGGTTAAAGTTTTAAGTCATTGGTTATGAAATGTATTGCGGATACCACCTCTTGGCTAACCCACAACTAATTAATAATAGAGAAGGCCTGGAAATTAAACTCAAAACTCTTACGAAACAAGATTTATTCAAAAGTTAAAACAGATATGTAAGGAATAATGATTAACAAAAGTTAAGCCGCGTTCACACGAGGCCAGTTGGCAGGCAGGCTACTCGCCTCTGGTAACTAGACGCAAGTAACCTGCCTGCTCTACTGGCCTCGTGTAAATGCGGCTTTAGATTAGTCTTGAAAACGTTAATAATAAAATTGATGAAAACCCAATAAGGATGTCTACAGAACATCCTACACTACTGAATCTCACAAACAGACCCCAGATCAAATACACACCTAAAATAAACCTATGTGGTCAGCATTACAAGTTATTGTTTTACAACACTTCCAGCCTACTCTACAGTGATATCATACACTTCCTCTTTACCATATAAACCTCCTTCCTTCTATTTTATAAAAATATCTTGTACAGTATATTGAAAAGCTCGTATAAAATTAATTAGCCCTTTGATTCTTTTTGGTTTATTATCATCCCATAGTCTAAAAATGAATGTAAATAAGTCGTTATTCCAGCAATAAAGCTGCTGGAATATCTCTCGCATATGGAAAACTTGACTGAGTCCCCTTCTTCATGATGGATATAGCTGCTATTTGACAAGACACAGAGATTTTCCTTTCAAAGCTCATGTCCGTTCGATATGCAAGGAGATAAGCCAGCGATCCTACAAATACATCCCCAGCGCCCTGAAAAAAGTGATACACTGTTACATACAGACTGCAGTAGCTGTATGTATTTCTGGGGAAAACTCTAAGAAAGAATCATAAGAAGTTTCATAGTTTTTAGCTTCTGACTCACATTTATTCATACAAAGTAAAATGCTCAATTATCCCCAGTTATGATGTGGATTATTCATAGCCTGCTGGTTTTTAACTTATAAAATGGACTTATAAGTTTTAAAGAATTGGTTCTCGCCAAAACTAGGATTGATTAACACCAGGTATTAATTTTTTTTTAATTTAAGAATATTATTATTTACTCAGTGGCATAGCCAGGTTTGGACTGGCCTGAAAGAGAAATGGCTCGAGCGCCCACCCCCAAACATCGAACATCATCCTGCTTTACACGTATCGACGTATCCTAGCAAAATGGTTGTATTCTTCTGTGATCATGAAAGCTGTATGAACATCTACCACCACCATGCTCATCTCTTGCAGTTGCGGTCTACTGCAATCATGGAAAATTGTGAAATTTTTCTGTCACTGCAGAGACATATTGCCACGATTACCATCACAGGTGCATTACGAACATCTTCCGCAATAACGGGACCATAACAAACATTGTCCGCAATCATGGAGACATCATGATCATCTCCCTTCGCGATCTCAACCAAACCCTTTTGTCAAGGGGGTGGATTTTTACCTGTAATACCCTCCTTGGCTACGCCACTGAATCATATAAACTGTTATAGTCCTCGCCACTCTAACTTGAGGCAGTCTAAGGACGCACTAGATATACAGGGTGCGGCCTTGGGCTGCCGCAAGTTAGGGTGGCGAGGACTACAGAGACTTTATTCACACATTTTTAATCTTACTCAACATACCACTGTATCCACAGGATTCTTCACTGGTTTCCCCTTCTCATGTTTTATATGATTGTCACTCTGGGGGGAACTATAAATTACTCCCTTTTCTCCCAAAGTGATTATTACTGTTTTACATCCAAAAGTCAACAGTTTCTTCAGAGCAGCCTCACACTCTAATACTGTTGTTGTGGGCAACCCAGACATTATTTGCGCCTGTAAGATAATGACTAAAGGTAAAAAAAAATATAAACAAGATTTTTTCCTCCAGGAAAAATAGACTACCATGATTATAATAAAATTACTTCTGATCCTTCCTTGGAGATAATAATAAGTAACAAGAAATGATCGAGGTTTGCATTGTACCCTTACATAAAATTCAAAATTGTAAAAAATGCCAAAGGCATACAAAAATATTTGGTTGTCTAAGGTTGGAAATAATTGCACTGTAGCTAATATTAGAGACAAAAATTGAATAAAATGTTCCAACTTCAAGATACAATTTTTAACTTTCACTAATCTTTTCTTGTATACTTATGTCAATGCTTCTGTGTTTAACACTGTTCAATGATAATAAGTGTTTCTCAACATAATCTTGAAGTCGAAACTTCCTAAATATTAAAATATTCTGGTGGAAAAAATGTAGCAAACGTTTGATGATTACCTCAGTTTCATTTACACATAAGATGTCTGTGTATCTGTACAATTCATCATTCAATGTTTCAACAGCTGGGGCAGCATTTACAATCGTCAAACCTAAAAAAGTAAATTAATTCTTGTAACAGTATGGCAATTGACATAGATTTTTTTCAATTCCATTGAGACATCCTCAAACATGATAAAGAGATGTAGACAATTTTGAACAACTAACTCTGGTCTATCCAAGGAATCAAGCTTTGGCATCTTACTAATATTATAAATGTGAAAGTTTGTGTGTTTGTTTGTTTGAAGTTCAATCACGCATAAACCACTGGATGGATTGGGCTGAAATTTGGCATGATGATAGCTCACATTCCCGATTAACATATAAGCATATTCTTATCTCAAAAATTCTTTCGGGCTCCGCCCCAGTGGCTCTGTAGTTTCCCATGTTAACCTTATGAGTATCTATAATGTTAAAACGAAACAGTGTTTTTTTATTTCACGATTCTGAATCAACCACTCGACGGATTTTCATGATTTTTGTGTTGAAAGAAAGATAACTTTGAGAAATAGGGAATGTCGAAGCCATAATTTTAGTTTAGGGTCCCAGTTTTTTAGAAATTGAGTTTTAATTTTTTTAAAGTCTAGCAGCCGACGCTAAGATTCTAAACTAGCTTTTGGCATAAAATAATTTGCTTAACATAACAGCTGTAAACATTCAGCTTTTGTGTCACAAATTCAGCATTTGGATAAAAATGTAAAGACATACTTAGGGTTGACTTATTTATACTATGTATAATGCCAATCATTGATACGTTCAATTCTTCTGTAAGAATATGACAGATTAATAAAATATACATAGTAAAATACTAGGATGTTCAAATTATTTTTTAAAGCAATCTTTGTAATCTTTGATTTGTTTTAGAGCAATATAATTTGTTTTAACTAACAGCTGGTTAAATATAAACTATGGAACTATGAGGTTATTTTATTTACTCTTATTTTGACATTGATTATAGGCAATAAGTAAGATTAGTAGAGATAATATATTAGACCACAGTTTAAAATAGTTTAGACCAAAATTAATTAAACCACAATACAAATCGAGGCTTACACGAGTCTTAATAAAAAAGGATAAATGCAAATTATTTTACTGCTCCATTTTTCAAGGAAAGATTAGAAATATAACAATGTTTACATGTTTTAATTCTTCATGGTAGCTTTTTGTTTACAATTATGTTTGTCTGCTTTAACTTTGTTTGGATTAGGCCCGGGAATATTGATGTCATAAAAAGAAGATCAAGAATAATCAGGAATCACAATTTTAAATTAACACCACAACCTCAGCCGGGTTTTATACAAAGATAAACAGATGGATGACATAGATTGAAAACAGCGTCAACATTGACCTAGGATACTGCAATTAGACAAACCATCCTTTTATGAAATCGTGTTCAGTTGTGGTTACGTTTGGGGGTGCCTATATCAGCGCTCCCAAACGTGAAATATCACTTTTATTTTAACTATGAATATATTGTAGTTTAAATTAACTAATATGGGAAATTACGATGTACATTTATTCAATGAGGGTGGGTAATTATCAAGGATAGAACTGATAACGGTATGGATAGTAAACATTGACAATTACCGTACGTCATTAGCTTTACTAGCGTGTTTACTTTTTATATTCCTGCTACATGTGACCAGTTCTTTTTTTTCAAATGAATGTTATTTGAACCAAACAGCTGTTTCAAAACAAACTGTTATTGTTTTTACTTTTGTTTGTTTATACTTATTTATTTAGCAATTAATGCAGTGAAATTGATATAAAGGATAGGTGTGACGATTAGTTTTGATGCTAGGACACCAAAGTTAAATTATGTGTACTGTGAATTTTATTGGATATTATCGTTTTATTTTAGGTCGTTTCTATTCAGACCTACTGGAAATTGTGTATAGTAGTTGTATTTTTGGTGATAATAATTATGGAAGAGGCAGGTATGCTATGGAAGGTGGTATCGTTGACTAGGTCTATACACTTCTCAATTGACTATTTCTCTCTACCGTAGGCTACTTATAATCAGAGTGCGTCTGTGCGAATCGGCTGCAAATCTCACTTCAACTCTTTTCACATCGTAAAAATTGCAGAATTGCTGTTTTATTGTAAAATTATCGGATTTAAAATGCATATCGTATAGGCCTATGATGGAATAAAAACATATTTGGTCACACAACATTTGTTTACAAGATTATTTTTCACATTAAAACTGCAAGAAACTTGGCCTTTATTTGTGTAAACTAGCTGATGTGAATTGTACATGGTTTTAACTGACTATATACTGAATTCCCGTACGTAGGACGGGCTAACACCTCGTTCATATTTAAAGGGAATTAAATAATTTAGTCAGCTGTTTCAACTAAAAAAGTTGGTTCTATGATATACAAAAGCATTAAAAAGTTATAAGATTTATTAACAGGCTGCAGCAATATAATTTTTTTGAATTTGAACTAAGCAGCATGTAACCTCCCAAAGGGATTTACATGAATTTGTCAAGTCAGTCGGTTTGGGTCGAGGGTGTTGCCTAATTGTATTTGCCGTCATGTATTCAGATCACCTTGTAGTTACAGGGCGCCACCTCATTTGCCTTAGGGTAGGGGGGAGTTCCATTAACGAGGAAAGGGAATTCCTGGCGAGTTGGACGGTTTCCTGGCATTTAGGTGACCGTAAGGTGAGCCTGAGTACGTAAGACACGAATACGACAAAAAAAGAACAAGTTTTAAGTAGTGACCAAAATGAACACACCTTACAATTTAAATTACTAAAATGTACCCTAACCTCAAGATCTGGAGATAACTGTGAGCGTAAAAAAATCTAGAATTCAGTTAGGCCTACCTAGTTGAGTGGATACTGATCCATTTTATCAAGGGGAAATACATAACTTAACTAGCAAGGGAATCAATACAATACAAATACAAGTAACAAAATACAAATTTACCAGAGAATAATTAAAATATTGACAGTACAAAGGAATTGAAATGTTGTTCAAATTTAAAGAACTTGATTAATATCAGTACAAAAAGGCAGAAACAATTCCTTAACCAAGACAATTCTCAAGTATCGAGTGGATCAAAACATGGACAATAATAACAAGAAAAGACACTTCAATGAAACAAGAAACAATTTAATAAATTTACTACTCTCAAATACTAGAAAACATGAAACAAATTTACTAAGTTTTAAATCTCAAATATTGGAACATGAAACAAACGGTTTAAATATACACTGACAAGTTGACAAATTAGAATGTGGAATTTAAACAGGGTACTATATACATAGGCCTAACCAGGACCTGTCACATTCCTATGAGTAAATTAATTGATTAAATTTCAGACAATATTTTCATGTGATCTTGACCTGCCCCGCTGCCGACTCAGTCACACTCTTAACTCCTACCCATCGCTTGCTATTCGGCTTTTCAATACACTGCCGATAGGAGTTCGTGCTCTTGACAAAAAGAGATTCAAGCTGACGCTACGCCAGAGTTTGCTTAGTAGACCGCTTTACTCCTGGCAAGAAATCTTTGACGAGCCTCTGGTTTTTGTAAATAATACCGCCATACCCGCCATTGTTGCTTAGTTGTATATATATGTTTTGTGTTTAAATGTTTTTAATGTAAATAAGACGCAATCAATCCAACTTTGTTGGTCAAAGATGAAGCAACTAAGTATCAAGTATCAAGTAAGTATCATGAATTTAGGTGGCCACCTGAGATAAACACAATATAATACACAATGAAACAATGATACAAATAAATATAAATAATACGATGAATGTTTGCTTAACCTACGTTGCTTCTTCAGAATCTGAGCGCCCAACCTAACCTAACCTAACCTACCGCTCCCCAAAACGGCCAGGGTTCACTCAGTCCTCCTTTTTGTTGATAATGGGACGGTTCAAATTGAAAACGGAAAAGGTTTGCCTGCACACAGTAAGTTATAACTTAGGCCTAGAACTTATCGTTTTTCACATCCGGTCGGATCTAGGGCCCAGAGTCTCCATGGCGATAGGGTTGGATCGTCCAACGGGTTGGTAGGGTAGACTTCAGTGGCAAGTTACAGTGACACTGCAGTGGCGATGAGGTTGTCAATAGACCAGATCTTGGTAGTCCTACAATCGTCTCTGGACCGTCACTGCTCCCTGTACAACCCAAAGGGAATAGAATGTTGCAATGGTAAGATGTGTGGGTTTAGGTAGCACTTAATGTTTGTACTATAAGGTCAACCACAAGAGTTCTAATAGTTCATCTTAAAATGGTTTAACCCGATGCACTGCACTACCTAGGCCCAACTTCTGTGAACAGGCAATGGTTCAGTCACTCAAAAGGCAAAATTAGCCGGGAACCAAGGTTGGAGTGTCAATAAATGTATTGTTCATTCACTCCAAAGCGGAGATAGCAAAACAGTCTTGTAATTGCGCACTTCAATGGGGTGAGCAAGCTAGTAAGCATTTTGGTTAGGCTAGGTACTATCGACTGAATTTTTACATCATAAATCAAAGAAATAGTAGTTAATGAACATAAAATTGACTAGCGATAATTTATTTTACTATTTTTTTATTTTTTATTTAAGTTTCCCCAAAAGTTACGGTTCTAGGCCTAAGCCAAATTCCAGCCAACAAAATTCAAAGTTGATATAAAAACTTCCTTTAAATCAAACATTTCTGTGATCCACTATCTAAATAGCTATACCTGTAACCTATGGTTGTAATAAAATAACCTAAACTAATAAGGTCCAACCATGTGCTCAACTTGCCAGGATTCTGCAGGCAACCATATCCTAAAACATCTTAGTTTAACACAAAAATCAATTTTTAATTTGACAAAAATTCAACAAGAATACTATAAAAGGACATTTATTTATATAAAAAAGTTTGTTAGGCCTTAACCTCACTACTTCGTCTTTGTATCCAAAATATGAATGAATATGAATGAATGTGTAAATGCTCCAATGCTGCTACACAAAATCTGCCGCAACTTGCATTAAACAATAGATATTCCGTCTTATTTGAAGCGGCTCATAATGACTTATCCCAGAACCAATCAGGCTTACAGACT